GAAAAGCCACATAACTGATACCGCCATATGAGAGCGATGTAGGTGGGACATTTGCCTTGTATTCTTTGCTTTGTCGACATGCAAGACTGAGCATTTTACCAAATCAACAAGATGTCGATGAGAAGCTGTCTTCTTATGCAATGGACAGATCAGTTGATTCACAGCAAAGCTTGGCCCTAAAGTCTTTCCTGGAGAAGCACCCTAATTTTCGCACAAGCCTGTTGATATTTGTTCTTCTAGGAACTTGTATGGCAATAGGTGATGGTATTCTGACTCCCTCAATATCAGGTACTAGCGCTGACATAGCATTTCAATTTTGCTTTTGAATCTTCATGCTTCTTGTCCCAAAAAGCACACTATTTTTTCAATGTATGAATATGCACTTTAAATAAAATAAATCCAATGACTACTGTTTTCTCAAGATAGCAATAGTTTTCAAGCTTGTAGTTTCAACTCATAATGATATTCGGGAACTTAGTATGCTTCCTGATGCATAAAACTCTTATGTAAAAGTAGGGACATAAGTGGAGATTTTTTGGCCCAACCTTGATCTAGGTTAATGACGTCTGCTTCTGATTTAGGCCATTTTTACTTCTCTTTTGGCGTTCATTTGTAATAGGTGAGCCTTTTTTGTGCATCCAGAGGAGGAGAGTTAATTTTATAAAATTTAACTTTAACATGACGTTAAGTTCGATCAGTGAATTTATGCAGAAATAATGTTTTTTTCGGGGCCATGTATATTGAGCTGATCAACTTCTAATACTAAGATTTAAGTATCTTTTCCCTTTTCAGTTCTTTCAGCAGTTTCGGGAGTCAAGCTTAAAATACCAGAACTTCACGAAAGTAAGTCAACCCTTCTATAAATGCCAAAATCTCTAATTAAGTGACTGAACTCTGAGGATAGGCCATCTACTCTCTGCAGATTATGTTGTTATGATCTCATGTGTCATTTTGCTGGGACTTTTCTCTCTTCAGCACCATGGGACACACAGAGTGGCTTTCTTGTTTGCCCCAGTTGTCATGGCATGGCTTCTTTGTATATGTTGCATTGGGATTTACAATATATTCCGCTGGAATACACGAATAATGCACGCGCTATCTCCTGTATACATCTTGAAGTTCCTAAGAAATACAGGCACGGAAGGATGGGTATCACTGGGTGGAGTGGTTCTGTCTGTCACGGGTATGTCTCTTTCTCATTAAATAAAATATAGTACTAGCAGTTAGTCTGCTAAATGGAAGCTAATCTCCCCATGCCATCTCAGGTGTCGAGGCAATGTTTACTGATATGGGCCATTTCTCTCCTCTCTCAATTAGGGTGATTATCCCTTACCTTGACGTACCCAGCATTATTATTCTGGCATCTTGAAAGGAGTTCTCCTTTGAATTGGTTTTTCTCATCTTGAATTCACCTTGTGTTTAACACTTACACATAATTTTTAGGTAGCCTTCACAGTTCTTGTCTATCCTTCTCTCATCCTTGCATACATGGGGGAGGCAGCATTTCTCTCGAAGCATCATGAAGATATTCAAAGAAGCTTCTACAAGGCCATACCAGGCAAGGAATTATTGAGTACCAGGTGGTTAAGTTCAGTCATCTCTGAAAAATCTTAACTTCAGATTAATATTTCTATCGCAGAACCCGTCTTTTGGCCAGTTTTTATTGTGGCAACTTTAGCTGCAGTAGTAGGAAGTCAGGCTGTAATATCAGCCACCTTCTCTATTGTAAGCCAGAGCTCTGCATTGAACTGCTTCCCCCGAGTTAAAGTCATTCATACGTCCAGTAAAATCTACGGGCAAATATACATTCCTGAGGTCAACTGGATGCTGATGTTTCTCTGTCTTGCGGTGACAGTAGGATTGAGGGACACTAACATGATTGGTCATGCATATGGTGAGTCTACAGCATTATGCTGTTCAAACTATTTGCCAATATGTTCCACAAAATGCGCCACCTATTGGTGTGGAGTTTTAATTTTTGTTATGTCACTGCAGGGCTGGCAGTGACCACTGTTATGTTCGTAACAACTTGCCTCATGGGATTGATCATAATAATTGTGTGGAAGAGGCGAATAATCGATGCTATCTCATTTGTTGTGATCTTTGGCTCAGTTGAACTGCTTTACATCTCGTCTTCCATCTGCAAGGTCCCAGAAGGCGGATGGATACCTCTTGCTTTGTCTCTGATTTTTATGGCCATGATGTATATCTGGAATTATGGCACCATGAAGAAACATCAATTTGACATTGAGAACAAGGTTTCCATTAACAGAATAATCTCTCTGGGGCCCAGCCTTGGTATGGTTCGAGTCCCGGGGATTGGACTCGTATATACCAATCTCGTGACAGGCATTCCGGCCATCTTTGGACACTTTGTGACAAACTTGCCAGCATTTCATCAGGTGCTGGTCTTTGTTTGTGTAAAATCTGTTCAAGTTCCCCATCTCAGTGAAAATGAACGGTTGCTTATCAGTCGGGTGGGACCAAAGGAGTATGGCATGTTTCGTTGCATCGTAAGGTTTGGTTACAAGGATTTACAGCAAGAGAACTACAACTTTGACAACAGTTTGGTTACTGGAATACTGCAATTTGTCGAAACTGAAGATGGCTATTGTTCGAAGCCAGCAATGATATCATCAGGAGAGATTGGAAACCTGGGAATCCAGGCCTTCAGTGCTCGAGATCTCTCTTCGCTGGACTTGTGTCATGAAACTAGCACGCATTCTCAGTGTGACGTCGGAGGAACGTCATCAGATATCAACCATTCAGAAGCTCCTCCTCTAAAAGGCGAGACGCTTGGGATATTGAAGGCTAAAGAATCGGGTGTTGCTTATATTCTGGGACGCTCTTACGCGAAGGCAAAGAAATCCTCTCCCGTTTTGAAGAAATTAGCCATAGATGTCGTGTATGCTTTCCTGAACAAAAATTGCAGAGATCCTGATGATGTGCTGAACGTGCCTCCCACTTCTTTGCTGGAAGTTGGTATGGTTTACTATGTCTAGTTTCCACTCGGCAAATCAAAGTTGGCCTCAGATCCTGGGATCTCAAGACGAAGCAAGTCCGAGGAGCTCGGGGGCTTGACCGACACTAATGAAGTTAAGAACAAGACGAGGAAACCTGAAAGCAGGAAGCTTGTCAAGAGGTAAAGTGATTACAGGTTAAAGTACAAAGGAATGCTATGTACACGAGAATGCAAAAAGGGTTCATAATTTGAAAAATAGAATATGATAGCAGAGAGCTGAAATATTGTTGAAATGTGTGTATGCCATGCCTTCTTTTTTCAAACAGAAATCAAGGCTCAGCTCACATAAAGGCAAAATTTCTTTGTCAACTTTCATACAAAAGCTGGAGAATTCGTACTTACTCAGTGTGAGCTCGAAAGGAGAGGGCAAAAGTGAGAGGTGAGTGGTGAAATTTGCTTACTGACTTCAGATGAATGGCCAAGCGATTCAGTTATGTGATTGGGAGTGGGAAGGAGGAGTGTGAATGTCGGGAATGATTACTTGAATTAATTCTTATTCAAGGACCAAAAACACGTCTAATGAAGTTTGGTGGGGTAAAACTGTATGTAGAGTTAAAGAAACCAACCCAACTGAACCGAAGTGTCACTGCATCCTGATTCCCAAGTACGTTTAAGTCCACGACTTTATCGTGCAATTAGAGAAGATAGAGGTGTGTATGAACTCAAGGAAGGAATGATCCTAGCATATTCGCCGAGCACTCGCTAGCGAACTCTACATTTGAATGGTAACTTTTGCTCTCGATATGATAACGGGAGTCGATGCCGGCTATTGGGTATGTAGTTTTTATTGAATTAATAAAATATTTAAGTTATTTAAACAGCGTTAATAGGAGAAGAACCCCCAACATAGGTATTGTTGTAGCACGATGAAATCACAAACTTGGGATTATACTTCCTGGTTATGAAAGTTACACTCGAGGGTCGATCTAACTAGTGATGGGGAGGTGAGGATTAGCGATGTTAATTGCAGCATGCAGAGTACTAATCGTGATTATTTGTAATAATGGAAATTCAATGCGAAAGGAGATAAAGACATAAAAACATGCCATTTGGTGCTTGTGGCCCATAAATAAGAAGGAAAAAAGGTGGTCCCGGCGGGGCTCGAACCCGCGACCTTCGGCTCATAAGACCAACGCTCTAACCAACTGAGCTACGGGACCTCTTGATGTCCATTTGGCCTCGCTTTCTTATTTGACTACATTTCGCGTTCGAAAGCAGTCTCACCTCCATCAAATCGACTGCCATCCAGGCATCTTGGGACAGCTAATTCAGTAGTGTCTCTCCTCTTCTCGCCGGATATGTCCTGCTGCCTTTGTGAATCGTTCGTGACAAGTGACTAATCAAACTCAACTTGTTTTGCTTGTGACATGTAACCGATCAAATTTAACGCGTTCCTCACCTAATTTTAGCATGTCAAGTCTCTGCTCCAATGTCTCAAGACTGCAGGACTTTCTCTCTTCCTCTTCCATAACTTCGGATTAAATCCAATTCTCATATCGATTTATGGCGTCCCCATGATTTCTTCCTCCGACTTGTTTATCCATAATCGAATCCACTAAATCTCTCAATTTTCACAATCAAATCTTTCTATCACCGACATTCCTAACACCGCACCGTGTATATTTCGGCTTTAGCTGGTGGGACCTATCTATAAGCTAATTAAAAAGAGAAACCTTACATTAAAGATAAAGTCAGAAACATATGCCGCACTAACCAAGATAGAATGGCGTAGTGCATTCTGCAGGTTTGTCAAAACAATATAAAAAGGGGTACCTTGCAGAGTCCGATTGCACATGTACCTTTCGTGGTGACTAGACAAATATTAAAAAGACATGGAAGAGGACAGAGAGCACGATTGCTTTAGAGAAGCAAAAACTTCGTTGGCGTTACTAGACTTTCCACTCACTCCTCACCTTTCTCTAGGAGCATATACATCTTCAGCAAAGAGCTGACGAGTGCATACGCACAAAGCACCAGATAATCCAGGAACAGATTCCATTAGCTTCTTAAATCGAAGACAGACTTCATGACTCCCTTACGAAGATTCAACCCAGAGATCAAGAACGCATCTTTTCCTTTTTTATATGTTTCATCCATGTTCTATTTGGCGATTCGGATTTTACATGACGACATGCTTCACTGCCTAATTTATTTCCAAAAAATGATTGATTAAGCCCATAGGGCGAGGATGGACATAGATGTAGAACCAAGAGTAAGTGCAACTAAAGATGCCTTCTTCAACCACGGCCCGGATGAATCCATCAACTTGTTGTGGAAAAAATCCGCCGCTATGAGATCGACAAGCGCCATGTAAATGAGTATACCGGACGACAGAGATCCCAGCAGACCTTCCATAATCAATGCGTGAGCACTACTGTCGTCGTAACCTGTCAGCGAGAACACGATCATCCCCAGTATTATCCCCATTGGAGTTGTCACTGAGAACATGAAGCACATGTAGCTCGTCGTCCCGAAGTTGAAACCCGCCTGTCATCATTTGAAGTTCGTAGCATCAATTAGATAATACGGCCAATCAACCGACACGTGATTTGAGCGATCAAATGCTGTGCAACTGTATTCTAGAATTATCTGCATGGTCCGGACACACATAAGTGACATAACAACTCAGACCAAATGCTTATCGAGCATTAACTGGAATAATGGAAATTGCAGGAACGGAGCATGCTGCATCTCTAATCATTGTGCAATATTGGACTGAATCCACGAGAAAGTTCATGATAATGCAATGCTAGGGCTGGCCTCGCACAACCACTTTGAAAGTACAAAGAAGCACCTATGAGAAGTGGACGAATCTACAGATCCATGATTTATCAACACTTAAGGAAGTTACTAACAAAGAAAAATGAAAGTTCCCGAAAAACGTTAAAGAAGTACTATCCCTTAATAACAATTACCAATAAGGAATGAAAAATTATCATCATTTGCAGAGTTTTGCCACGAGAAGAGGACCTGTGATGGTCTTATGCAATAAATCAAAACTTTTGCAGACAAAAGTGAGGTCTGTGTATCTATACCATGAGAAGAGACGGCTATAGATCTGGAGTGAGTAAAACTATCAGTCTATGGCGGTGACCAAAGGAGAAGTTCGTGACTTTGCTTGTGGTCTGCAGGGTTTCAAATTGATGAAATCTCAATACAATAATCCAAACTTCCACAGTCAGGATCGAGCGAAGGCTAGAACCGAACTTCCAAGTGATAACCCGATTGGGAATACAAGCAGCATTTGAAACAATGGATTCATCACCATTCAGATGACTTGTCCGTGTCGGTGTTCTCCACTCTTTATGACAAATTATCAAACATTTGGTGATCATTCGAACGCATAATCACCAATATGGGAAGTGGAAGTATTAGCCTTCACAAAGATCCCGCGCAACAAGGAACACATCTCCCATCCTTATTAACTAGCGAAGATTCACTAACTCTATCAGTACCTTCCATAATCAGCTGCTAATTTCAAGATAATCTATAGCTAATCACACACAAAGAAGGATATAATAAGCAAGTGGGGCCATAGCCCACTGAATTTCCACACACTCAACCTAACAATCGGCTACTAAATTCCGATGAGCTGAAGGATCCTAACAAAGAGAAATTAGCAATTGAGAAGCAAGAAAAACAAGGTTTTTGGACGCACCTGAGCTATGCAACCGCCGAGACCCATGCCTTCGAAAATCTGGTGAAAGGCCAAGGCAGCGACGAGGGGCCTGATCGTGCATTGGTTCTGGGACATGCCCATCGTGACCCCGATTATCACCGAGTGGAATATAATTCCAATCTCCAGCACCTGCGACACCAACTTCTGCTTCAGCTTCACCAGTTCCTCGGCCTGATCGGCACCGCAACTGGCCCCGAGCTCGGCCGATTCGACGACCCCCAGCTCGGCCAGCTTCTTCTCCTCGTGGGTGCCGATGGGCTTGTACGGCGCCTGGCTGCTGTGCTCCACGTGGGAGCTGGCGGTGATGTCGACAAAGAGGGCGAGGAGGGCGCCGAAGAGGGTGACGAGGCCGGCGAAGGGGAAGTCCTTCCAGGGGTGGCGGGAGGCGACGGCGCAGTCGGAGAGGGCGTCGAAGGCGTCCGGGAGGACGTGGACGAGGGAGGTGGAGAGGATGACGCCGGCGGCGAAGCACTTGATGGCGAGGACGGCCTTGTCGTAGGCGGGCTTGCCTCGGAAGTAACGGGCAAGGAGGACGGGGGAGGAGATGCCCACGACGCTGGTGACGAAGATGACGAGGATGGAGATGAGCTTGAGATGGGTCGCCGCCGCGCTGTCCCTGCAGGCGAGGCCTCGCGCCGTGTCGGTTACGCACCTTACCATCCCTTCTTCTTCTTCTTCTTCTTCTGTTCTTTCTGTTTCTTTGTTGTTGTTGTTGTTGCTGGCCTGCACGGGTTCAGCTACTGTTCAATTCTGCTTCCACTAACTTCCGGTCTTCTTCTTCTTCTTCTTCTTCTTCTTCGTCTTCTTCGTCGTCTGTCGCGGAGTCTCCTCTGGAGATGATGACCAAGAAGATGAGAAACGGTCGTGGGACCTCTTGCATTTAAAGAAGAGCTGCAGCTGCTTCGAGTTAACGACAGTGTGGGAAAAAAATCAAAATTTTACGAGGATCGAATACAAGGCGGAGTGAATTGGAATCTCATGTTTTTGTAACACGATCACGATCGACTGAAAATTACATTTGTCCTAGTATTTGCCGAGGAGGGCAGGCATCGCTAAGGACAACAGTGTCGGGGCCTCAAAAAAACAGATGTTTGATGGGACGCTGCCTAAGTTTTGATTTTGTATAATTTGATTTGATGGGTGGGAGTTTTTCTTCGGTGGAAAAGTCGTCTACTCAGCAATTATGGTGGAAAAGTTGGGCATTTGCATTGACGATATTCGCTGCAGATCCCCCGAATTCTCGTCCACTAACTTGGAGGGGGTTCGGCCACGGGGGTTGTTCCGAACTTTCAGTGCAAGATGCGCTTCTTTCTACCTGTTTTCGAATCTATTCCCTATGGTATGCACAGACAAGAGAAAGTCCGCTGGACTGGACTGGTGTTTTGCAGAAACTCTCCGTCTCTCGAGTCGGATAGAATTTCGGCTCCCCTGCACGATAATTTTTTTTGACCTCACCTTGTGAGAATAGCGAGTGTTTATCTATATGTGTTGCTCCGGGATCCTGCGTCTCCAAGCGGCTCGGATGAGCTCCGGCGTTCCCGGGGGCACATTGAGTGATGAGTGTACGATGGTTCTGGACCGTCAATTTCACTATCGTCAGTTTTTGTAATATTGATGGTGCATTCGGAGCATTTTGAGTATTCGATCGATTTCTATCGAGTGCGACAGTCTCTCAATCGATACGTCTTCGTGGGTTTGCAGTGAGCCATTTTTGGGTCGGGTGAAAAAGTGGGTGGGTTCATATACACATTTGCCAGGCTTTACTATTCTTTCTTTCAGCCAGAATTTGCAAGATCCGCTACCTCTGGATCAAAAGCGTCAACTATTCTTACGATTACATAAGTCGAGCTAAAGCCCATAGATGTGTTTTGAATTGTGGACCGTCAATTAACACGTGAGGCAAGGAATAAGGATCAGAGTCCGATTTTTTTTTTAATTTTGATGGGCCTAACTCGTAATCCAGCTCTCCTCAATCCCTGGAGATTGCGACTTCAGAGACCAACAAATTACCCTTGAGATCCAATCCAGCCCATCTTGAAAAAATTAGTCAATTCGAAAACAGAGACGATAGTAGTTTTCTTATTTAATTTTAAGAGGACCCTTTTGGGTTTTTAGGAAGTTGAGAGCAAAGGAGATGTGTTTCCTAGCAAGTTTTCTGTGAAAAAAGTAGAAAAAAAATCATCTAACCAAATCCGACCTCATGACAAATTCATCGGATCCCCTAAGAAATCACAATCATCGTCTGTTTGATTTGTTACAATTAAGGAATTAATGTGTATATATCTTGCATAATTTGCGTGTGCAGCAAGTCGTATCGACGCTCATGTTATGTTTGTAAAGTTTTCATATCCAGAACGCACCGATCAATGGAGCTGCATGATTAGACCTTCCATCCACATAAATCAAGAAACATGAATCAACCTTTAATTGTTGCCATGCCGGCGGCTCACACTATTGATCACTACGAATGATCCCGAGAAAACCCATAAAAGTCCGTGCACCTGCGAATCATAAACCTGTAAGTTTGCTGCAATTGCCATCGTTTTCATTTGCCCAGTGCGCACTAGCGATGCCATTCAAAGCCTCACCAACGTTTCCATCATTATTATCACTCTAATCATCGTCGAGATAAACTATTAGTGACCCTAATTATTTCTCGAAGGTGCTTCTAAAGCACAAAAAAGGATCGATCAGAAAAGACGGCTCGGAGAGAGTTTCCATCCATGGCAGGAGAACAATCAATATTGCTTTACCTAATCTCAGTATTATTGATGACTTGAGAGCCTCCAACCAACTTGATTTGTCTCTTTTTCCTCTCGAACTGGAAAGCAATGGGCATTGCAGAATCATTATTGCTCCTTGAATTTAGTCCACGTCTTCCATAAACAATTACAAAGATACATCGGTGTTGCTCTTACATGAACATACATATCAGCTCGGCCTAAAAGTTTAAAAGGCCTCCTCATCTTCATTCACATGGCTTTTTCCTTCATTTGGATAGGGTTTCAGTCTTGGAGAAATGAGAGACCAGGTTTCTCAAATTTGCAGTGTTATGAAAGTTAGAATTTCCCAAGTGAGGACAAGTGAACAAAAACAGCTTGGACTACTATGGAGGGAGGGGCTACATTGGTCCACACATATACAGATTGGTGCACAGAGTGGAGGTTTCGAACAGAGACATTGGATGGTGGCACCTAATTAAGGAAATCTTCTTTCAGATTATTTATCAACCATGTGAAAGGAACAATAAGTAGGAACAACATCATGTGTGCATGAGGTGGGGGCCCCAGGGTTTCTGGCTCGTACTTGGAAACCATAGAAAGATGTACAGACCATATACGGCGTTTCCGAAAAACGCGGCATTGAATTGCCCTGGTCATATGAGCCGGGTCCCATTCTTTACATGAAATGGATTGTTGACATACTATCAATATTTCTCGAGAGGTTTAATTAATGTACATGTGCTCCATTCGATAATCTCATAAACCAAGTCGGATTCCAAAATCATGTGCGATATTTAATTCACACCATACTCATCAGACAACATTTGGCCAAGGCTTTGGAGGGCTGTCACGGTCATTTTGTGCCCAAGCCCTACATGTTTTTCTTTTGTGGTTGTACCTATACATCTCTAGGGTCTACAAAAAGGGCTCTTGTTGGGGGGCTCCTTGTGATCTCTTGTAAGCTGCTTTGCTCCTCATTGTTCAAGGCCTTGATGCACCACAAGTCTTCAGGGCAGGAGAGCAATTTCCAATGTGGGATGTGAAGCCTCACTACGTCTCTGGCTCCGATTTCCGTGACCACAAGCTTGCAATCCTTGGACTTGCGAGCCATGTTCCGCACGAATTGGCACAGGGTCCGAACCAGCAGAGCCGAGGACTTGCCCTCACAGTGCATTCCGTACATGAAGTAAAATCCAAATGGGTCGACAAAATCCGGTATCGCTGGGACTTTAAAGCATGGAAAGAATCGGTCCATCAACCTACAACTCTTGGTGTATATCAAGCATGATAAAGGTGCTCTCCCCTGCACCCTAAGCTTGAACACCTCCGCACTGTTCCATACACTAACCATGGCCCAGTCCCTTGGACCTCGCCAATACTCCAAGCCGGTCGATACGCTCTCGTATCTGATGTCTTCCCATGCTTCTCCTTTGTAGTAAGCCACCCATGTGCCCAAACTCAGCCTGTTCTCAAGTATATTATCAATGTCGCTAGGGAAGAACTCGGCCGAGCTCATGAACTTCTGGTACAGCAGCTTGGCTTCTTTTGTCCCGAGCTTCTTGATTTCGACATGCGAAGGCAAGTGAAGAGCCCTGTAGGGGCTAACAGGGTTCACAAGTATAGCAGGTGTCCGGAACTTGACGTAGCCAAGGCTGTCGACGAAGAGCTTGATGGAGGCTTTGTTCTCCTTGTCGGTGGCCATGTATGCGAACTCGACGTGGTTGGAGACGAACCATTGTTCTAGAGAGCGCACCAACCTCGAACCGACCCCTTGACGACGATGATGGGGTGCAACCCTCAGGCCAAGTATGTAGCCCACCCTGGCTAAACCTAAGTTCCCATGAAGCCTCGCCATCGTCACCAACTTTATAGAGCCTTGGATGACACCAACCAATTCATTGTCCGACTCAGCCACCTAACGTAAAATGATACCCACGTACTAATGTCAGCTCTTGGATAAGACATAAAGAAAAAGAGAAACAGATCATCATTCATCATCGAATGGAGAAATGATGCGCTCATGATAAGGGTTTTTTTTTACCAGCATGTAGAAAGAGGGACTATTTCGGATCCTACAGATGGGGTCACCCAAAGTGTCAGTGAAGAGAAAGACGCGATCAGCTGGCCCTACAATCTCACAACCTCGCTCCAGCTCTTCCACGCGAGCGCGATCTTTTTCACCATCATAGCTTCGTATCTTGAGTTCTCTGTACAGTACTTGAACCATTTTATTGATCAATAAGGGGACTCTGTGAGGGCACTGCTAGGTGTACTTGCGGGCGGCTGGATTATGCAAAGAGAAGGTGGAGGAAGTGAGATTAAATAATAAGATGAGATAGAGCGAAACTTCAGGAGAGATATAATGCCAGTGACTTAAGTATTGCACATGGAGGGAAGAGGAGAGAGCCTTTGGCTATGATTTATATTGGAGAGGAGAGAGGGAGAGAGAGAGAGAGAGGTAGGGAGAGGGAGGGAGGAATGTGTTTTCTATCACCATCAAACCTAGCTAGCTAGGGGTTTTGATGAGTACTAGATAATAATATCTAGAAGCGACGTGAGAAAGTTTATAATTTTCTATTTTAGATATAAATAAAACTCTCGAAGAATTATCATTGTAACAATCAAATCTATTTTAGATGAGACTAGATTCCAAAAAAAAAAGCGGAAATAATCACATGCGATGATGATCATTTAGTAGTGAATCTTATTTACATATTATCATGAGGCATCATTCATCCGATATAAAACTTAGGGCATCATAAACTCTCTCACTTAAACCACTAACTTAATCATCAATGATGAGCTATACTGCCCAACGATACTTCCCCTTTTGAAATCCGATCTATTCTTATCAGATTGGCATCCTAAAAGTCTGTCGGGAGCCGCATTTTATCCGAGCTCTCTCTCTTTGGCGATCACCTTTCACCCTTATCAAATCAGGTTGCACCGGTTTCTTTGCGGTTCAAAATGATGTACAAACCATCCGAAATATGCTACACGATTTTGCAAATCAAATTTTTTTTTCCATTGTACGTCTAAAAATCATTTGTTCTTATTGGCCTCTAATGACAATATTCCTAGACAGCAAAAAGGTGATTGATAATGAGTGAACGGTGTGCTTTTGTCGTCTAGCATTTGGCCATCATTAGCTTAATTAAGCCCATCCACGTTGGGATCACCTCAGCCTCACGCCACCGTGCACGCCGGGGCTGCGTGCGTTGGTGGCCAGCCCATGATTTCTTCCTCCAGAAATCAAAAGCAGAAAAGTGGAAATCGATCCATTATATTCCAATATCCAGTTTTGTCTTCATATGGCAAGATGGAATGGCGTACCCTCCCCATGTGTCGACCACGCCCATTAAATATCTCCTCAGGATATACGACGCTAGATTATGGCTTTTTCAACCAGATATTCTTCATACTCTATTCACGAGGCAACATTGAGTTTGTGGTTCCCAATGATCGTATGCTATTCACACGTAGATTATATATTATGTCGTTGGGGACAAAGCTACGTGTAATTGTATGTTAGCGGGAGCTGCCAATGATGAAGTTGCTAAGTTAATTAATCTAGTTTAAGAGGCTTGGCCCAATTGCTAGTCTAGGCTTTCTTTTGCAATTGTATAAAATTTTTGTTCTTAGTTTAAAAAAAGAAAAGGGACGAGTCCCCTTTCGCTTTCAGGGCACACTGAGCATTTAATTAGGTGGCCCATTTGTATTTCTTGATTTGCCTGCTGCCGCTTGCATTGCCTTTGAGGGGGGTTGGTCCCGCTCGACACTTAGATTTATGAAAGCGAAAGTCATTCATCCCCATTAGTTCGATGCCCCTCAGCTTTTCATCTGAGAAATACACAAAATACCCATTGAATCTAACCCACATTTTTTGACAAAACGTGCTTCTGTGCGCGGGAGTGGAATCGACTGAGCACCCATGTATTTGTTCATTGATCGAGAGAGGCATCATTAGGATGGATGGAACTCGATTAATTTCGACATTTTTAAGCGTTGCGAGAGCATTTTAATATAGGGAACCACCTTTTCACTTAACTTCAACTACCCTTTATCTCTCTATTTAATAGAGATGGAACTGTTGCCTAGCCCTTAAAATAAGTTAAAGTAGCCCGAGTGCTGGCCACAAAAAAATCATTGGAGTCTAGCTTTTTTGGTTCAAAGCATCGGTTTTGGGGCTACAGTTGGACTGGGACATAAGAAGATCTCTGTCTTGAGGTTTGACTTACGTACAGGAGAGAGCATATAAGGAGATGTCTATTTAAATTTAGAGGCTATCGGTTTTAGGGCGAATAAGTTCTATATCTCAAATCAGGAACCTATCCGGGAGCAAATCATGTTGACTCTGAAACTGGCTTGGAATTTAAAGGGTTAATCCGGGAACCGGTCAAGGCTTTTTTTCTCCTTTTGTTTTATTTCATTTTGCTATATATAGAATATGCATGTTACAAACATGAAAACAATTCATTCTACTTGAGAATAACATATACAATTCCAACAAATACATTCTGTTTAAAAAAAGAGTAAAATAACTTACTCAGGGTTAGAGATAAATATGTTCAAAACCTATTCGATTCTAGGTTCTATCCTAGAACCTAGGAACCAGCCTTGTAGGTTCTAGGTTCCAGGTTCTTGAGTAGAATTGCTAGTTCAAGGTATGGAACTACGAATTGAACCGATCAAGGTCGATTCTCAAATTTTGTAATCGGACCAATCCCCTTGTGAACCGATCAATAAGGCCAGTTCCCAAGTTGAACTAGCTTATAATTCAATTCTCATAAACATATTACAAAAGGCATCACAATAGACACAACTCATCTATCGCTCATTCTCTCAGCACCTCACAAGTACTCCATGTAACTTGAAGGTATCACAAGAAGATCTCCATGTCTTTAGTTGGACTTACCTACACGATGAGAGAGCATAAGAAGATGTCTATTTAATTTAGAGGGGATCGGTTTTAGGGTGAATGGGTTCCATATCTTGAACTTGGAACCTACCATATTTGGGCTCGATTCCCAATTTTGGGAATCAGGAGCTAACCATGTTGACTCTGAAACTGGCTTAAAATTTCATTGGTTAATCCGAGAATTGGTTGAAGAGCTAAATTGGCTAAAGGGATGGGTCATAATTATTATGGAGAACCTGCATGGCACTTGCCATTCGTTGGTTATTAGGAGCATCCCGAAAACGTTTGAGTCGAATCCGGCAAACATAATATTTGTTTTATTATATCATATTTCTATACGATAGTCAGGAGTTCGGGTGCTACAGATTAGCTGCTTGAAGCTTGATCACTAGCCACTTCCACCAGTGGCGGTCGCACAAGCAAGTGAAGTATAATAAGCCAAAACGGGATGCTCCTAAGATCATAGAAGGAATTCATTTTCGCAGCCCCTTGACCTCTTCTCTCAAAAAAGATGCTGGAGGAACTGGATCGAAAAAAAGAGGTATTCTAGTTGTTGGAGAAGAGTTGAGTTGCGCTGAGATACTTACAATTACACAAGCTCAATTAATGGCCGACCTCTTTTCATGATATTCTCCACTTGAGTACACAGTCCCAACGTGTTACATAAGGCAGATATTCGCTCCAATATACGGTTTGCTTCTGCTAGTTGGACAATCAGCTTCTTCTCCTATGCCACCAATTGGTACTAATGGATTAGGGTTGACCCCACGATCGGAAAATAAACAAATAGTTAATATATTAAAAAGGCTTTTTTTTATTCTGGTTTTATTTCATTTTATTATATATATAATAACGTATTCATTTCCAACAAATACATCATGTTTAAAAAAGAAGTAAATCTAACTTACTTAGGGTTAAAGGTAAATTGGTTCAAAGCTGTTTGGTTTCGAGTTCTATCGTAGAACCTAGGAACTAGCATTGCAGGTTCTAGGTTCCAAGTTCCCGGGTAAAATCGCCAGTTCAAGGTATGGAACAAGGAATCGAACCGATCAAGGTTGATTCCCAATTTTTGGAATCGAACCAATCCCCTTATGAACCGATCGGTAAGGCCGGTTCAAGCCAGTTCCCAAGTTGAACTGGTCCATAATTTAACTTTCATAAATATATTACACAAGGCATCGTGATAGACACACACAACTCATCTATCACCCATTCTCTCAATGTGATGGCCCAGGCGGTGGTGCGCGGGGAGGAGGGATGGCGTTGCGTCCGCGCCTCGGTCCTTGGACGTGCGTAGAGAAGGGGCGCGTCTCTTGTCTCACATCGCCTAGAGGAGGGGTTCTGGACTGGCTTATAAGGTTCGGGATTCTCTATCTGTACGTACGCATTTTCTGGGCAAAGCCCAGAGGAACAAATCCGTGATACCGATATTATCACACACACAAACCTCGCAAATTTATGGTGGCCTTCGTTCCAAAGAGAGATGCCGACGCCACGCGCTGCGTGTTGCAGCTGGGCCTGGGATGTGAATTCCCCACAAGAGGACAAATTTCCACAGATCCACCCAATACCTCACATTGCTCATTAATATCCAAGCCAATCCATCATGTGAAGACAAAGATTTCACTTAGCCTAATTCGTATACCAAACTCCATCCAAAACCGTTGGAATTTAGCCAGACCTAACTTCTATAATGACCTAGATTCGATTTAACATATGTACTAAGTTAACACGTAATAAATTTTTTTTTTAAACTCGTGAACGCTCGTTCTCGACCCCGCCCTCCTCTCCCCCTTCGCAAATTGTACATCCTTATTCACTTTGCTTCCCTCTTAAGGAAAAATAGGTAATTGAATTTCCGGCCCAATTAATCTTCACGAAGATACGTATAAGATCAGATCTAAATGGATAGTTGGGAATAAAAAAGTATGTCACATCCGAGTTGAACGCTCCGACGCCGTCCGATATTATTGAATTCTCCCCCCCTCCCCCTTCTTCGTGGCCAATCTTTAACCTACTCAGTTCCAACAACCCCCACGCCAGCACTTTCTTCACTAATCATAAGACCCCCGTTCTTACCGGAAAAAGACACGTAAAAGAAGAAGCCCCATTATATGATACGCAGCCCCTTAGCCAATCGCCAAGTGTACCAGCGTGGAAAGGAAAATTCCCTTCTGGGCCCCGAGACGAACGAATCAAGACCCGGATGCCCTCCTCCCCCCCCCCCCCCCACTATCTTCAAAAGGACGATGGTGACATTGCTTTTCTCTTGTCACTCGATTCATGAGAGGGAATAAGAGAGAATACACACAGACATTCGTGTTCTCGTAGTGCTCCGGGAAGCGTTCATTCTGTCGTCCTCGTTTTTTCCTTGCGTACATCATGCTGTCTGCACTGTACTCCATGCTTTCCTCTAGAGGATTTTGATATGTCCTAATGCTTCCACGTGGAAAATTTCTGCTTCGTATTTTATTGCTAGTGCGTGGGGTGAATTCCAAAAAAAAAAATCCCAAAATTAGGTCAATTCCTAAATCTATTTTGAACTTTTTTTTCTCACAAAAAACCCTAAATTTTAGGTTCAATCCCAAATCTGCCCCGAACTTTTTTTTGTCTCAGAGAAAATCCCAAACTTTAACTTCAGTTCCAAATCTGCCCAGAATTTTGTTTTGTGTAAAAAAAATCAACAAATTTTATTTATTTTCAAAAATATATCCCCGTTATCCGATCCCAACTTGACGCGACACTTCGACGTCGATAACAAATCCACGTCAACAAAGTAATGGGACAATAGGTACAGGTCGATGCTGCATTTCCATTTCGATAACAAATCCAATCCAATAAAAATTATTGTTAGGAACGATAACAAATCCATCCCAAAAAACTTTTTTTAGTATAAAAAAAATTCAATTTTTAGGTTTAGTCCAAATTTGCCCCGAACTTTTCTTTGTCTAAAAAAAAGCCCCTTTACTTTATTAATATGGATTTGTTATCGGCGTAAAAGTGCCACGTCAAGTTGAGATTGAATCACGAAATGTATATTTTTTAAAATAAATTGAATTTTGATGATTTTTTTTTACACAAAACAAAATTTGGGACAGATTTGGATTGGACTTAAAGTTTGGGGTTTTTTCTTAGACAAAAAAAAGTTCGGAGCATATTTGAGAGTGGACCTAAAGTTTTGGGTTTTTTTTAGATAAAAAAAGATTCATGACAAATTTGGGACTTGACCTAAAGTTATGAATTTTTTAGGGAATTAGGCCCTCGTGCGTGTGGGAGACAGAACCAATCGCGAAAAAGATTTAACTTTTCAAATCGAAGGAATGAAATAGCATATTTTGCTTGCAGTTTCCTCATGTGAGCTATATGATCCACAAACTACTAGTTTTGTAATCGAATAGATAGATCTTGAGCTTGACCGAGCAAGTACACGTGAACGAAGGTGGACGATAAATCCTCAACCATATGTGTCGTTGGTAGTATCCACATCTTCTCGAAAGCTAGGCCCGACATGTATGGGGGCTTCGGGAGTTTGGAGGAATGTGATTGGTCGAACCAGGTTTTCTGGGGGATTCTATCCTTTTCCGAATCAAGACAGATCTCAAATCTCAACACCAAGTTCACTTGCCACAAGCGTGCATTCCCAATACCTTGTCAACAATCATCCTTATCCTCACATGCCCAACATCATCAACTTTGGCCACACAATACCACCACGTATTGCTGGGAACATCTTCTTAACATCACAGGCAGCACCGAATCTCAACAGGCAGCGGAAAAAGAGATCGATGGCAATAACAAGTGGAAGTGGCTTGGGTTCGTTTTCATTCGAAGAATTCATTGCGTAGATACATGGGAATTCCATTTCACGTGTCCATGAAGGAAGTGGCCTGATCTAGTGCGCCGAATGGTTCAGACTGCTTCAACCTTACTAAAGTAAACAACACACCATAGTTTAAATCCGAGGTTATCGAATGAAAATGCTCTTGAGTGGAAAAGAAGCTGATAACCCACCAAGACACCTGCAATCTGAGTAAGGAATATCTTGGGAAAACCATCAACATCCACAACTTCAAAGAGAGTTAACAATAGGGAAGAAGCAATCTTCAATCGAGCATTATATTTATATTGTCCAAACATGTTTCGACGGCAATGAAAAGACACGATCAAATGAACAAATTCAAATGAAGATCGCAAACATTCCAGAAGGGGGGAAAAATCATGTCACCGAAGCATCTGTCCTATGAGCTTAAATTCCAAGAGGTATAATTCCACATATATACATGCATTTGCTAATCCAATTCCCATCTTACACTCAATCAGCCGTAAGATAAGAATTCACATAAACAGATACTGCAGAAACTTCACATAAACAGATACTGCAGAAACTTCACATAAACAGAAATAACACTTATATATGAGAGTATATGTACACGCCTAAATAATCTGATGTGCCTACTACTGACTGTTGATTCATTGTGCGACAGATCTAAACATGGATGTCCACTTTCACTACTCGTGCATTAGTAAATCTTGGCCCAATAGGTAGCCGGGGCTCTTAGAGTTGCTTCAAAGAGTTACCGCGTTGTTTGAATAGAAATTGTAGTGATCCAACCTCAGTGGTCTTAACAATTGTAGCTTTGTGTGTCTTTGGTGATCCACTCAACCGATTAGCCCATACACCACTACTGACTACATCCAAATTTTAGAGTGCACAGAAGAAACTTATAATCTAGCATACCAGGGGCCAGGAAGAGAGCAGCCACAAATCCTAAAGTGACAGCTTAGAGAGTGAGTTAACCCTAAAAAACCAACTGTAAACTTTTCTCAAACAACTTCCATGAATCTTAACAGTTAGTACCCACTTATCACTAAAGTCCTCTTCATTCTACCATTTCTAAGACCATTGAGTCAGTCTATGCAAGGTCGATATCAACAGATGAATTTTTGAGCTTGCATATTTAAACAACGAGGTAACTCTCTGATATATTCAAACACTGAGCACTTGTATATGTTTTTTGTAAATTGCTTTCCGCAGTTAGCATACACACCCCTGATATGGCCCCAAAATGTAGCCAGAAACTCACTACTATCTAAACATTTTCCACAGAAACAGCTGTAAGCCTGTGACATGATGGTAAATCAATAAACGACTACGTTCGCATTGATTAGTATTACCTTCTTGGTATGTGATGGGGCTCCAACCCTCCGGAGAGAGAAATTGCCAAAGCAAGGAGAACTGGGTGGAATAATAGCTTGCTTACTCTTGATCCACCACAAGGTTTCTCAAATGGGCTTTAATAAGTATACACAATCAATCACTTATATTTTCAAAGATTGTAAGCTGCACATACAGATCAGTGATGATGTCAATGGACAAACCATTCATCAAGTGGGTGTAACATAGACAGTCTCGAGTTCCCCCTACTCTATTGTCATTTAGTTTCTTCTGTGCTTTCTTCATGGCTCTTCATAGGTTCCATTTGATAACTCCTCACCTGCAACACCGGTTGACCCATTTGATAACCGATTTGTGCTGGTGGAATTTGAATAAGGGGAGTATGTGGAAGCAGGGCTGCCTCGTGAATACCGGTTTTGTGCTGCCGAGCTATTTCTTGCAGCCTTTAAGCGAGCCTTTCTGCCCTGAAAGGAGGAAAGAAGCTAGATAGTAAACAATTATGAACCTGATCATAAATGAAATAAAGCTATTCAACCTAAGATGCTCAACTATAAACTCACCCAAGCTTTGAAACAAACAAAGCAATTCAAACTAAGAGCCAATTCAGTGCATTCAGTTTACACCTAAAGCATATTCAGGAACACAGTCTCACCTTGCCCATGCACTTCTCCAAATGAGGAGCGAACCTTCCAGCCATAATTGATCGTCCACAATTCATGCAGTCAAATATTTCACTGGCTACAGGGGGATGAGTCTGACCAAAAATGTCAACCACATACTTGCTATTTGTTTCACCGCTATTACTAGGATCGGCAGCCCTTACACGAGCTTGGGTGGAAAGCCTCAATTCTTCCTCTTCATCTTCTAAATTTCTATCAAGCCCCAACTTTGCTATTCGATGACACTCGGAGGCAATATCAACAATAATAGAATCGAGGAGATCTCCAAAAAAATGAGATGAAAGCTGGAGCGAAAGAGGAAATAGCAGAAAAATGCGATGAGAGAGTGAACAAATTAATAATCTAGCTAAAAAATAGTTTCTGCAGGAGTCAACATCATCACATAATTACCTTACCAAAAAAAAAAAAAAAACATCATCACATAATTGACTAATTCCAGAAAATTGGGACCTTAATCAAGCTTTATTTATAAAAAAACTATTTCTGGGCAATCTTGCTGAAGCTTGAAGAATGAGAAAGGATTTAGCCATTCCATATGGAACATAATGGAAGAAAAGCTACTATAGAAATCAAGCAACAGGGGAAGCAGAACAGTTAATTCGAGTAGAGATGCAGAAAGGCAATATTGATTCCACAGTGAAAAATTGTTGCAAGAACTGAAACCACTCAAAATCTTCTGAACAGTTGAGACGTCCGCAGTGAAATGAAAGAAGAAACAAAACCAAATAGAGATGCTTCTAACAAGTACTCTAAACAGAACTCCACTGTGAAGCACGAATACAATCCAAACAATGCAACCCTGTCATTTCAAAAGGAACTTCTTTGCAATCTTCCAGCTTTAGCGAGAATCAAAAAGGCATTCAATAGCGCAAAAACTAAAGGTGGTTATTTGCTTCAGGTACAGACAAATCCAAACAAACTTCGTGGATTTCAACCACATCTTTCTTTTGCCCTTCATCGTGCACTGCACAATTCTCCAGCGCAGATAATTGTTGCGTATCGCATTCTCCTGTCAAAAAGCAAAGACGAATCACCTGAGCATCTGGTGATGTATTATCCTCACGCGATGCCGACATGATACCTGAGAAACTGGGAAGAGAACTGAAGCTCAGTTTATGCTGATTAAAAAGCTTATCTTGGCAATGGATGATAAAGTAACTGGGAAAAAGCTCTGTTACTGGCATATTTACGAGCAAGATTGTACCCACAACCTGTTGGCAATAGACTTGGGCATCTTAGCAATTGCTAAGAAGAAGAAGAAGAAGAAGAAGAAGAAGATTCTATTCTTACACTATACGATGAATATGTAATCAACGACATCATGCGGATAATTCCAAATGCTGGCAACATACATGGGAATCCACACGGGAGTCTGAACCATGCCTTGAGATCGATCGCGAAGATCATACAACTACAGAAATTCACATGTTCACGCCATGATCCAACAAGAAGATCATTCCGTGGTTACCTGAAATCGCTCGTTGGCCGCGGATCGCTGGCGATCTGTGTCGCGGGGCGTGGCGCTCGCCGGCGATCCTGGTGTTGAAAGCGAAACCCAAGAAGAGGCGAGCGAAGAGTCCGATTCAAAACCCTAGCAGCCGAAGGAAGGGGGAGACTTTTTGACTTTTGACTATAAATCCAGAAAATGGCTGCAATCATTCGGCAATTAACAAAGACTAAAATGAAAATACTTAGTTAAGATTTCAACATAAAATATAGTTATACCATGTAACATACATGACATAATTTTTTTTCTCTTTAATAATCAAGGGTGCAGCCGTAATTAGATGGCTACCTTAAGGGGAACTTAGGGCGGGAATTAAAATACGACCATCGGTTCTTGAGCTGAAAACATGAAAATGCCCATTTTGTTGCGTCAATCCTAGAGTGGGTTTAAAAACCTACTACTTTTTATCACTACAACGCCCTCAATTATACTCTATTTAAGGCTCCGTTCGTTTGGCGGAAAATATTCTCCCGGAAAATATTTTCCGGGTTTTCCGGTGTTCGGGGGCGGAAAACGTTTTTCGTGGGAAAATATTTTCCTTCCCCCCTCACAAAATAGCCTAAGTCTACGGAAAATGACTTCCGCTTCTTCAAAAGCGGAAATCATTTTCCGGAGCTTCTTCTTCTTCTTCTTCTTCACTAAGGTCGCCGGCCGCAGCCGCCGCCGAACGCCGGCCGCCGGACGCTGCCGCCGCCCGTCGCCGGCGAAAAATATTTTCCGAAACTTTTTCATATTGGTCGCCGAACACCAGAAAATTATGTTCCAGGAAAACATTTTCCAGGAAAATGACTTCCGGGAAAATATTTTCCAAAAGGAGAATATTTTCCGCCAAACGAACGGAGCCTAAATTGGATGTTCTTGTTATATTAATATTTAGGGTGGTGCTATTTCCACCTCTATGGGGGGCCCCAATTTATTTGCTTTCCTTCCTTTTTAAATTTTTTTATTTTTATTTAGGATCTAGTTCGAGCTCCCCGGCACTCGCCCTCGCCCTCGCCGGCCGTAGGGAGAAAGAGGAGGAAAAAAGAGAGAGAGAAAAAAAAAGAAAGGAAAAAAAGAAAATAATTTGATAATTATTAAAATATTATTTAAAAATATTCACGTCAACACCGACCGTGCCACGTTAGTCAGCCGAAATTCACGTCAGCAATATCCGGCCGAAATTAGTCGGAAGAACTGGATTGGCTTTACATCAAAAGCTTTATAACTAAATTGACTCAATTAAAAGGTTTAGGATTAAATTTGCGCAAATACAATAAGTTTAGGACTTTGTTAACACTTTTCCTCACTAACTATAAGTAACATTGTTAAAGAAGAACCATTTATGTATTCATGTTTTTCGAATGTTCTAGGAATGAATAATTTTTTGTGGTAAAATCATGAATGTCCATCCGCCTATCTCAAAAAGAAAAAAAAAAGAGAAAGTAAATACTATAGCACATATCTTGGGTTATACATATTTAATAATTAGTAAAAATCTTCATGTTGCTTCTTCACATGACTAATAAATGGAATCATCAGACTATATTAACATCAAGATCTCGCGCTCGCTACAAAACGTGCATCTGTATCATTTACATATGATGTAAATATAAGTTTCTATACCTTTGTGTAAATTTAAACTGAAGAAAGCTAACCCAAATAGGGAAGCCATGATAAGATCAACATTGTGCTGCTCCAAAGTGTGATATCGTTGTGTGAACACCCTCCAACCACTCACCACTTAAAATTGGGGGTGTGCATCGGTCTCGATCCAATTTGAGAACTGGACCGGACCAGTCGGATCAAACCGAGATGTTCCCAATTCCACATTTTGGAATCGAGAATAACAGGTGAGGTTCTAGGTACCCGAGAAGGAACCGTATTGATCGGATAGGGATAGCTTGGACTAGCCCAGAGTGTGTGTATATTTATTTATTTATTTTTAATAGTATAATCCATAAAAAAAAATTTAAAACAAAGTTTTAATCGAGCAGTATGTTCTTGATTTTTTTATAGCGAAAACCATAAAAAAAAAGCCTCCGGTTCCCAAGATGATCCGGGAATCGAACCAAGACTGACTGATATGGTCCTATTCTAAGATGGATAGGGTATGTTCCCGGTTCGACATATTAGGAATAGACCCTGTCTGGTCCGGTTCCTAATTTTAGGATGGGACGGACATATAGGAACCGACCCACCTTGAAACCGATCACCCCTCTTAACGTCTTTTCTCAACTAGTCAAACTAATATATAGGAGAGATCAATAGTAATTTAGGTACTATTGCGAAATCACTGCAATGTCAGTATTTGTAGCTGTTTGATATTAAGGAAAAATGACACAAACAGTCCCTAAACTTTAGTTAAGTGTGCAATGTGGTCCCTGAACTTTTAATTTGTTCAATGTGTTCTTTGAACTTTAACACAATATGTAAGGGAAAAGTGTCAAAAAAGTCATCAACCTTTTGCATTGGTATCAATTTAGGGTGCGTTTGGTACAGCATTTGGAATGCTACTTTGGGAATGCAAATGCCTTTGGGTGGAAGCCCTTTAGGAAAAATGCAAATGGCGTTTGGTAAAAACTCATTTGCAAAGCTATTTTGACCCAAGTGGTGTTTGGTTAATTTTTTTTACAAATGGGCTTTGAGGGGTTTTTTAAAAAAGGCAAAAATACCCTTTGCCGGCTCCGGCGAAGGGCTACGGCTCCGGCGAAGGGCCACGGCCGCCGGCGAGCCGATCTCGCGCCGGCGGCCGTCGCCCGTCGCCGAGCGACCCCGGCGAGGGACGCCGACCTCGGGCGACGAGGCCCGAGGTCGCGCGATCCCAGCCGACGGCTGCCTGGGTCGCGCGACCCCAGGCCGACGGCCGCCCTGGGTCGCGCGACCCCAGCCGACGCCGCCTGGGTCGCGCGACCCCAGCCGACGGCCGCCCTGGGTCGCGACCCCAGCCGACGGCCGCCCTGAGGTCGCGGGACCCAGCGGCCGCACTCCGGGCGCCGCCCGACCCCGAGCGGCCGCGCCTGGGCGATCGCCTGACCCCGGGCGGCCGTCGCCTGGGTCGGGCGACCTCGCCGGACCTTCGCCGTCGCCGGCCCTTTGCCCTCGCCGGAGTCCCTTTGGTGAAGAAGATGAACAGTAACGAGAGGGCAAAGCCGGAATATTGAAATTTGAGTGAGGGTAGTTTGGGAAGTATAAAAATGATTTTGGCATTTGGTTCAAGGCTGAAAGTCCAAAGCTAGTCCCGATCAAGATTGGGCTTTCAAAGATTGAAAATGCTAGTTTTGAGCATTTTCAATGCTCAATGCTAACCGTTTGGTTCAGCATTTTTGGGAAGGGGCTTTCGGGGCTGAAAGCCCCTTCCCAATGCTGAACCAAACGCAGCCTTAGTCCTAGACCTTTTTTTGGTGCCAATTCAATCCTAAACCTTTTGCATTGGTGCCAATTGAGTCCTAAACCTTTTTTTAGTGCCAATTCAGTCCTTCGACACGTGAATAGCTATTAGTGGAAATAACTGAATTGGTACAAATGCAAAAGGTTTAGGACTGAATTGGCACTAATGCAAAAGGTTTATGACTGAATTGATACAAATGCAAAAGGTTTAGGGCTGAATTGGTATCACAAAAAGGTTTAGGACTGAATTTGCACCAATACAAAAGGTTTAGGACTAAATTGGCACCAATGTAAAAAGTTTAGGATTGAATTGGCACCAAAAAAAGGTTTAGGACTAAATTGGCACAAATGCAAAAGGTTTAGGACTGAATTGGCACCAAAAAAAAGGTTTAGGACTAAATTGGCACCAATGCAAAAGGTTTAAGACTTTTTTGACACTTTTCTCCGATATGCAATATGGTCCCTAAACTTTTAATTTGTTCAATATCGTCCTTAAACTTTTGGTACATGTTTAATTTGGTCCATGAACTATATGAAAATGTTCAATATAATCCCTGCACTACAATATAATCCCTTCCATTAATTTAAGTGCATGAATTATATTGAACATTTTTATATCGTTCAGGGATGATATTGAATATGTATCAAAAGTTCAATGACCACATTGAACATTGAACCAAGTTCAAGAACTACGTTATACAAATTAAAATTCAGAGATCACATTATATATTGGGCCAAAATATAAGAATTGTTTGTGTTATTATCCCTAAAATTAATGGACGTAGGTCTCACCTTTCTGCGGTATTTCACACCATCAATAATCTAAACGACATACCTACTGTGACTAATTCCTCTCTTACGTGCAAACATGACATAAAATGATGAGCGAACTAGAAGAGAATAAGATGGACGTAAAATGACTAGAGAAGTTGATGTTACCAAGTTAAGAGGATTAAATTACTCCAACTTCGGGTTCTCGTATTCTTAAGACGGATGCATGGGGGACTTTATTTAAAAACGCAACTCGTGTTCGGAACGGGTTTTGGTTGTATTATAGATCAATTGAATTCAACTTAGGGATAAAGTTAGCCGTGTCATGTGGACTTAATTTAAAAAACATGACATATATATCACGTAGACCAATATCATCTCGATCATTAATCATGTGGGTTTTATGGACCACATCGTTAAGAGTTGACATTGATTTTCAAATTGAAAATTCTCTTCCACCCTAAGTTTTCTTGTTTCTTTTGAAGTACTCCACGCGTGATGACGTTTTCATGTGCATCGCAATCAAAACATTCTCGCCACACATGTTACACATCGGGTTAATCCCTAGCATAGAAAAATCTTGGGCATAACATGAAAAAAAAAAAAAAAAACGTGTCGATTAATGGACCAAAAAATAATTGTTCAAAACAGAACTCTTGTCATCCTCTCCTCCGCCCCGAAAATTTCCGGTTCTGTTCTGTTTTCCCTCGTTACAAGCTAGAACTTAAAATAGCACGGTCTTGTGTGAAAGGCTGTCCTGTTTTTTTACAACCCTGCAATGTTCCTTTCTTCGATATGAAGGAAACTGTGTTAAGCTTAAGAACCTTAATGCTTGATGTCCCTGATCATGTCATCCCCTCAAGTGTAAACAGCACGATACGGCTGCGATCTTATGATCTCTCACAGCTATGAATCCACGACGAAAAATGCAAAAACGATGCAAAGCCGATTCTTGTGCCTCCGGATGTAAAAGGGGACATCGGAGTGGAGTCCTACTATACGTTTTACAGTCACGACATCGTGTTCGCCCAAAAACCCGTGGATGCAACAGGCCCCCGAGTTGCTCGGAATTCAAGAAGGGCGATAATGAAAACGACAAGGAATGTAGAAGTACCCCACAATCCGGGGATTCATAATCCAGAAGTGCTATCCAGCGGATGAGTGGCTAGAGCAAGAAATGTGTTGAAGTTTGTGATATTAAGGGACAAAAGACACAGGGGAAAGCAACGAAAGAGCCTTGTGTCAGTGTCCATCCCTCCCAACAGGCCCACGCTTTACTTGCAGGACTTTAAATCCCCGCGCTCCGTCCCATGGGGCTCGGGTGAGATGTGAAAACAAGGCTCTCCAAGTTTTGTCGTGTGTGTGTTAGAGTCAACATGCATTGAAAAGGAAAGGAAAGAAACTGCGAAGCAAGAGCGAGTGAGACTGACATGGCCACCTCCTTCCTCTCCTCTCACGGTGTCCCCGGGACCTCGCCGGCCATGCCTCCCGACACACGACCACCGGGGCTGCAAGATGAGCTTCGCTTCTCGCCCGACAGTCGATATGCCCTTCATGGAGAGCTCATGATGCTCATGCTCCTCCTCGTCTTCTCCCTACTCCTCATATTCATCATCGTTCTTCCACGTCTCAAGAGTGCAAGGAATTCAGAATCAGGATACACTGACTCCACCATCCAGAGCTCCCTCCCTCCCCTTTACTCTCGAAGTAGTCAGTAGTATAACAGGATGGATGCGGACCAATCGTTGCTTCCCTGCTGCAGAGGACATGCTACCTTCTGCAGAAGCAGCATGCTCTTTCTTTCGCTGGAGATATGGTGCTACAGCTTCTCTTAGATGTTATCTGTATGTGTGTCGGTTTACTTTACTTATAGAGCTACTAACTCTGTTAAAACTATCACATTGGCTTGACAGAAAGCGTAGGTAAAATTCACACGGCTTCTTGCTAGTGTAAATTATGTACTCTGTGCAAGCTTGTTTTGCATTGATGAGGGAGAGAGTCCAACAACAATTAAGCAAAGCAATTCTTGCTACTACAACAACAATTAAGCATAGCAATTCTTGCTACTACCTCACAGTTTCCTGAAGATAAGAACTCCTATATCCTCTTACAGTTCTCTAGCTTTCAATTCATTTCCTGTTGCCAAAGCAGTCTTCTCCGGGGGAACAACTCCCTATACCTGATGTGCTGTAAAATATGCAAAGCTGGAGATAGCTCAAAGAAGAACTCTCTGAAGTAGCTAGCAAGAAAATCTCTAAAGCAGCTGATATGAAATACTGATGCTACTCCTTTCAGGCTAGATTGTCGGGCAGTCCCGCGCCTATCATCTTTTATCGCGTCCTCGATCACAATTTTATTTTAGCGATTCTCAAGTTAATGGGGAAACTAAATTCAATCTAAATTTCTGAGGAAAACACACGCAGCAGTGTTGACAGGTCCACCAGCACATTCCTATCTCTTGGAATGGAAGTATGTGATGTGAAACCTCTATCTACAGAAAAATTGAATTTCCCACAACACAATGCTGTACTAATTTAGAATAAAAGAATAACTTAAGTACACAATAGTAGTGCAAACTATGACACGGCGCGAGAGTAAATTTTCTGGGTAAATAATACTCAAATGCTGCAAATTTTATAGCACTTTGTGTAATATACTCGCGTTACCTACTATAATGAATGTCACCTTAGCCAAGACGCATTCCCAATCTCTGACCTAAAAAGCAAGGCTCCGCCAATATAGAAGTTAAGGGAACTGTGAGACTGTCATCAAGCTCAGAACTCAGAGGATGTTATTCCATCAGTGCAGATGCAAGAGAGACCATCAAGAAACCTGAAACCATGTCCCAACTTCCCTGGTTTTAACCAAATGAAGAAAAATCAGACATAAACCTGTAAACAAAGCATATTGCACCGGTCAGGCCAAGACTCAAGCAGGTTTTAGTTTGCGGTCAATGCTGAATAATAAATAATCAAAGTGAAATACTACCAGAGGTATGCTAAAAACCCAGCAGAGACCATTGCAATGCTACCAGCTGACAATTTATTAATGTTGTAAGGAATTTTATGATGGCCCAAACTGCCTTCCATCATGAAAACAAGCAAAACAGGTGTCTTAGCATAAGATTGCCCTTTTTCCATTTTTGGATGTTTGGGCAAAGGAGACCAATCAACATTCCACTAAAAGAAAAGGCATACCATGTCACACACTTGATATCTATGTATCATCTAAGCGTTGACCAAGGAAAATATCATCTATTGAATGAAGGAGATACCTTCATGCAATATCAAATTTGGCATTAACCTCTCTAAAAGTATTTATCAAGTAGGCAAGGGTCACATCCCATGACATTGAACAAGTCCTCAGTACATCTTCCCTTTTATTTTGCAGTACATTATCGAACATGCCGGCGCAACACAAGAAAAAATGGGAGTTAAGATTACTACGCCATCTCCAGCGCAGACATTGCATATTACTGCAATTGCACTTGGCAAAGTCGTCCAGTTATATGCACAAGCGAACCTAATTGTGGAAGCATAGAATAGTGGCCCTCAAGAATTTCTATGAAACAGAGATGAAGATGATTTCAGTTTCAGAAGTTAAAGCAAAGCTTTGCGGAAACAAAATGGAAAAAGAGACAGACAACTGATCAACAACGAAAATCTGAAGAAACCATTAGATTGAACCTCTTGACAGAGTAGATCACTTATCAAATAACTGATGTAAGTAACATATATTCTGATTGTGGTAATGTAAACAATGCAATCTGAGTTTACTTCTTTTGTCAATGTAACGCAGATACAAAATAACTCGAGTTATGATGCTGTGGTCCGCAGATCTTCTCACAGACTTCACTGTCGCCTAAAGTTTCCAAATGCCAGATCCCACAACAAGCACAAGTACGACGTTAAGCCCTGGAATTGTAGCAGCTAAAAGGCACCTTGATGCCCAGGACTGCAATGCATTAGCAATGGCCACTTCACCAAACAAATAATCCAGCAGAATTTTGAAGAAGTCGTTTACTCGCGAGATTACCTGAACAGTGGCCAGCAAAGCATGAAGCTAATCCGATGCTCACATGCTTTGGGTTTCCAAATGAGGAAAACAAGATGATTTAGATGTAATGAACAGCTTGAGAACTGCAATGGCTCCACAAACTTGTTTTGTTTATAGGGACTGCATTGAGATACGAATAAACTTTGGCCTCATGAGTTAAACGAAACATCCGAGCATCCTGACACAGCATCATCAGCAGGAATTCAGGGAACAAGCAAAGGAGGAGGGAGTAATCCCATCCGAACCTGGTCAGATAGAGGCCACTGCTTGGCTGTGTCTTCAAACAACACAACCAGAGAATCGAGAGAGTGATGCCGCCGGACTAGGCAGCGGGGAAGCTAGTCACCGGCATCTTGAATGGTCTTGCCACGGACATCCGATGCGTCTTTCGGGAACATCCCTCATGATCAGCCCTTGTTTCCCAATAGCTATTAAGCCGACCAACCGTTTTCTGCTCCATTGCCGCCTGCGTTCTGATGAATTTGGAGGTCGTCTTGTCATGTACACGTGCCCTCACATGAGTGGCTTTACAGTGATTCTTTGTTAGTTTTTAGAAAAATTATGAGGCGCATGTTTATAAAGGATACGCAGATAAAGTAGAGAATATATATTTCTTTTTCTGCTATTAAAACTACCTTCCCAATAATTAAATATCTAAATATAGATATTGAAATATTTCCTTAGTAATGACATGACCAATACATGTTCATGGAATTTGGAATAGAATAAAGAATAATAATTAATATATAAATATAAATAATTAATATATACGTGTTCTTTTTAATATAAGACATAAAGTAGCGATGTCTAGAAACTTTGAATTGAGATATTAATAAATACACCAAGTTGAACAAAAAGTTTCCCATGAACAAAGGACCGTGTTCGATCCAAGAAAACCAACCAAGATGCGTAGGGTTTCAAAAGTCCTCTAAAATATTTTCAAGGGCGGGCAATACGATAAATGCACCAAGTTTAAAGCATTCTCGACATAATGGGAAGATGCAATCTCTTCCGTTAGATCGAAAGGTAATCAATTGTTGTAATGAGAAGGGCTTCTGTATAAATAGGGCTGTCATCCCCTCATTTATATCCATCCAAACAAATAGAGCAATAGAAAGCATTCTCTCCCAGAGCAAGCAATCGCCGCACGATTCCGATCCCAAATAATCGACCCGTGACACATGCAAATTGATTATGAATTATGATCTTTAATCGAAATTAGGGTCAAAGCGAGTAGATTAGAAATGTTATGTAAGCTTAAAGATTTGATTAGATTGAACTCAGAAAACAGAATGATAACCCAATCACCTACCTATCCTAAGAAAAATTGAACAGGTTCAAGGATCAAACACTATTGTTCACATCCAATGTGTTCTCCCCTTGCTTATTGAAACCACACCTTATGACAGCAAACGAATACCACAAGACACTGATAACAAACCAATTTATCGATATTTATTCAAGGGAAGACGAACTAGAACTTGGGCCATGATCTGCCACGTTACTAGGTTGGGCCGGACCTGGACCACTCTAGAGAATAAGCGGGCTCCTGTCATCACCGAGTGAACCAGAATAAAAGCCCATAGAAGAATGGGTCGGATCTAAGTATCCGACCGGGACTGTCCGGAGTCCGAAATCCGAAGTCTGACAGTGTCGCAGTGAAGTTTTTTTTTTTTTTTTTGTCTTGCAGTGAAACGTAAAGGACAGCCATTGAAGCGAAGACGACCTCGTCCTCACTATTCACTATGAGCAGACCACCGAGCTTCCCACCAGAACCTTAATCCCGTCAGTTTTCTGGTCTCTGTTTCACCGTTCACTTTGGCGTCGGTTAGCATTTCTCTCTTGGGCTACATCAGTTATTTTGTAATTGCCAATCAATGAATGGAATATATGCTTGAAATTGTCCTTCCTTCCAATTTGCTGGAGTTTTACTTCACCCTTTGGGTGCTGAGAAACTCGAGCAAAAGCCCCAGTCTTTTGAGGTGAATTCTAGTCAACTGAGTGTCTCTTCGCTCTCGAGAATTCCCTCTGTTGACGTGAGCTTTAATTCTTGGTGTCTCCAATCTTGAAGTCGACGTAACAACAGCTCTTTATCTGTGGCTCGATCATCTCTTGGGTCGAGATTTTTCATCTTTCGAAGGATTGCATCTAAGGAAGACTGATAATATGGCCTCTGCATATGGCTTTGCTCCTTCCACGAAGTTGAGATGTTTCCCTTTCCCGTCCTCTTCACATCAATCGGCTGCCCATCAGCTTTTTGCGACTCCATATAAGCAGAATCGCACCCTAGCTTGCTACTTGAGAATGCCATCGAGAATTCGCAGCCAAAAAAATCATCCCTTTTTCACCACTAGACCTAGAAGGTTCCGCGAATTTTCGCTGACCAAGTCTCTGGAATTGGAAGAATTCGTGACAAGTGATGATGAAGATGAAATGAGCGATGGGTTCTTCGAGGCAATCGAGGAATTAGAGCGGATGACGAGGGAGCCATCCGATGTTCTTGAAGATATGAATGACCGTCTCTCGGCAAGGGAATTGCAGTTAGTGCTTGTGTACTTCTCTCAAGAGGGGAGGGACTCGTGGTGTGCACTTGAGGTATTTGAGTGGTTGAAGAAGGAGAATAGGGTTGATAAGGAGACCATGGAGCTCATGGTTGCGCTAATGTGTGGTTGGATGAAGAAATTGATTGAAGGAGCGCATGATGTTGGTGACGTGGTTGACCTTTTGGTTGACATGGACTGTGTCGGCTTAAAGCCTAGCTTTAGCATGATCGAGAAGGTGATTTCGTTGTACTGGGAGGTCGCAAAGAAGGATGAGGCAATTCTGTTTGTCAAGGAAGTCTTGAGGCGCGGCATTGCTTATTCAGATGATGATGGCGAGGGTCATAAAGGAGGCCCAACTGGGTATCTGGCTTGGAAGATGATGGTAAGCTTGTGTGATTGCTTTTCTGATTTTATGGTCCTGTTTAATAGAAATTTGTATTAGTAACTATAGGCTGTTATTTGTTAAGTGGGTTTGGGTGCTATAGTTCTTGCTGCAGCAGTCTGGGCAAGTCTTTTGTATTGGGGGAATGTGTTCAATGACTTTCTGCATCACTTTAGTAGCTGGATGCGTGGATATTTTTGACTGGTTACATTGGGTTATATATGAAAATCACATAGCGGGGTCATGTAACATAGTCACTGTGGCGTAAGGATGTCACTTATAATTGAAATGTTGTTGTGAGCATGGGCAGGGTTGGTTCTGAGGGCAGAATTGTGAACCTACCCAGCCCTAATGAGCTCATGGCAATTAGAAGCGGGTACTAGAGCAATCGGTTCTGGAATCAGCTGGTTCCTAATTTAGCATGTGAAATGTTCTTTTCCTCCTCTTTGTTTTTTTTTTTTTTTTTGCATTTACACCTATCTTTAGCTGTAGGCGACTCGAGAAATGACAAGATGCAGCTGCTCCGTTTTTGAGTCCCAGCAAAATGAACATTAAATATTCAGCATTTTCTTACTTCACTATTTCTTGGGGTTAACATTGAACCTACCTGGCTACCATGTTGAACTAATTGAATGCTAAGCCCTAGCAAAAGCTTGTACTTTAAATATAACAAAGGAATCCTGACCTTGGTGACTCTGGTTGGCAAGAAAATTGGTTGGACTTTTACCAAACTTTAATTCCTGAGCTCTGTATATTTCAGGTTGACGGCAACTACAGGGATGCGGTCAAATTGGTGATACATCTCAGAGAATCAGGGCTAAGGCCGGAGGTTTACAGCTATCTCATTGCAATGACTGCTGTGGTTAAAGAGCTAAATGAATTTGCTAAAGCCTTACGTAGGCTGAAAGGACTTGCTAAGGATGGTTTGATTGCTGATCTTGATGTTGAAAACATTGCGCCAATTGAGAAGTATCAGTCAGATCTCCTGGCTGATGGCATCTGCTTATCCAAATGGGTCATGGAAGAGGGAAGCTCCTCTCTTCATGGAGTGGTTCATGAGAGGCTTCTTGCCATGTACATATGTGCCGGTCATGGTCTTGAAGCAGAAAGACAGCTTTGGGAAATGAAGCTTGTGGGTAAGGAAGCTGATAGTGACCTTCACGACATTGTTTTAGCTATCTGTGCTTCCCAGAAGGAGGTCAACGCTATAGGACGCTTGCTTACTAGAACGGAGATTGCTAGTTCGATGCGGAAGAAAAGAACCTTCTCGTGGTTGTTGAGAGGTTATATTAAAGGTGGACACCTTGATGATGCTGCCGATGCTCTAATTAAAATGCTTGACTTGGGTGTGTATCCAGACTATTTGGACCGGGCAGCTGTGCTGCAGGGCTTGAGAAGTAGAATTCAACAATCAGGAGATGTGGGTGCTTATCTCAAGCTATGCAAACGCCTTTCCGATGCCAATTTAATTGGACCTTGTCTGGTGTATGTCTATGTTAAGAAACATAAGCTTTGGATCGTGCGGATGCTTTAAATGGTTCAGATAAAGAGCTCAGAGACTCCTCTATCCGACTTTATTTTTGGGGTCAATGACTTCTTAGGATACAGCGCTAGCTGCAAGTTGTTTAGCTCTGGTTTCTCGCCTTGTAAATTTTGTACAATGTATCAGTGTCTTGGTTACAAAATGAACACACTTTCTACACAGTGGTGTCTGTAAACATGAGGAATTGTTCGGTATATATTTTGTCTAATACACAAATACGTGAGCTACGGCCCACAGGTATATTTTTGCATACAATAGTTCTACTCGTCTTCTATGTTGCTTTTATGGGCATTGCTGTCTCTATTCACTTATTACAACTTATGCTTAGTGAGCTAATATGGCTTTAGTCCGTTCGTAAAGCACCGTCCTTCTGCTATGTAATGAACAGATGGAGCTATATATCTGGTGCACAATACTCAATTGGTTATGTTCATTGGAGTTGATGTGGAAATTGAGTTGGTAGACTTTTTCTCGGGTAGCCAAAACCAAAGTTGTGTGATCTGCAGTTTGAGCAAGCACTGAGCTGCTGGATGTCTTTTAACAATAGCTTCCACTATGAGTGCAAGGAGTCATACAGATGACTATCCTCACCACCTGTTATTTGGTCTGCAAGAGAATATGGAAACCAGGGCAACAATTTCTTTTATCCAACAGAGCTCATCTTTATGGAGATATTGGTCTTTCCTGAAGAAATGCTCTCCAAAATTGAAGAGCTTCCGAGTAATGGGAAGCATTAGAACACAAGGGAGTGAGAACAATGGCCAATATTAGAAAACAACGTTTGGTGATTTTATTGGCATGATCTCGCGAGTGACGTTACAACCAGGTTTTGCATTGCAGAAAGTAAAGCAAACCAGAGTGATTCCTATATTCATTTTCATTTATCTACAAGTACCGCAAACCTCTAAAAAATATACTTAGCGTATGCTCTGCACAAGCTGCTTCCGATGCCCAACAGAGAAACCAGGTAAAAGATTGAAGACCTGCAGCATATCTTATAATTTACCCCCGAGGTTCAGACTTCACCTCTTCGCTTGATGCTGTAGACATAATTTCAAGTTCTGCCCACCAAAGGGGGGATAATTTTGGGGAAACTACATCAGCTTCCATTGTTGTGATTTCTTTTAACTTGGTCATGACCTCTCTCATTCTTGGTCGCTGGTGAGAATTAGGATTGAGACATTCTCTCATCACTGCAAGCAATTTCTGGAGCACGTCTTCTTGAAAAGATTTCAAAGTGGGATCCACCATATCTTTTGTGGGCATCTCCCCTCTAAGACACTTAGATGTCCAGTCGGCTAGAAAACCATTTTCCATCGGGTACGGGATCCTGCCGGTTATTATTTCAAACAAAATGACACCTAAGCTGTACACATTACTCTCTGGATTGACTGTTCGTGTTTCCAAGAATTCGACAGCAGCTGATCCAATTTTTGTGGCTACTGAGTCGTTGCAGAAACTGAAATCTGATAATTTAGCTGCGTAGTCCTCGGTCAGGTACACGGATGAAGACTGCAGATTCCCGTGTGCTATTGGCGGTGTCAGCTCATGCATGTACTCGAGGCAGTAAGATATGCCCATAATTATCCGTAATCTCATTCCCCAGTCCAGGTGCTCCGCTTCTTTGACTGCATGATGTACAAAAGAATCATCAAAACCAACAAGATACCATCGGGATTCGACTTTCTGTAATGCATAAGCCCAACCCCATATAATCGGTCCATGCTTTTTCCCATTGGTTGATATCTCATTACTTGGATACAAGGATGTTCATAAGTCAAAAGTACTTACTGTGCAGATGCTCAAAGACGGTTCCGTTTGGGGCATACTCAAAAACCAACATTCTCGTGAAAGGCTTCTCTTCCTCACAAAATCCGATGAGGTTCACAAAATTCTTGTGGTTCACCTTTGATAATGTGTCTATCTGAGGATTGACGAAAGCCAAATATTCAGCAATTCAGTGTAAATGTTTAACTTCCACAAGATTCTAGCTCAAAAGGAGCAGATAAATAGGGTTGCTCGTTTACCTTCTTCCTGAACTGGGATTCTAAGTTTTTTGACCAGTCATCAGGAGATGCAGCTGCGCTTGATGTCACAGCGATTTCAACTCCACTAGATAATGTCCCTTTGTAAACTGTGCCGTCCGATAGAGTGCCAATTATATTACTGAAATCCTCGCAAGCTGCTTCAAGTTCAGACCGCTGCAGTTTTGGTACACCTGAAGTGAAAACACCCCACTATTAACAGACAAGAAAAACTTATTGGTCCATAAAAGTTGAGTAATACTTGCACGGTTGCACCTGAGTGGAAGGACTGGAAGATGAAGTTTGTTCTGTATATGTGCCACACAGTAAAGGAGGGTGGGAGTTCCCCTTCATTTTTCCTATGACGTAGATTATGGAATCCAAAATTTGACCCTATTAGGATAATCATAACCTTTTTCAGTGAAAAAGACCAGATATCACAGGCAAAGACAAGTGGCTTTTCTTCTGAACTGCTATTTTCTCAAGCCTATCCTCAGAAGGTTCAGTTACTCAAGAAATATGTGCTATCACAAGATCAATCTTCTATGCTAGAGCTTTTATAGTTTTGGGAAAGCAAGATTAGTCTCTCACTCTCTTGTCAGAATAGTTCAGATGCATCACTTCAAATGTATCCCGGTCTTACATTCTTGGAACTCTCTATAATGAATTCTAGATCCTAACCCACTTGCTGATAGACTTATGCTTCTAGCCTTCTACTGAATTGCTAAACTAATTGCTTGGAAGTTTTTACTTTTACTACAGCTATTGGCGTATGGCCTTGTTTCCCTCAAGAACAATGATTACCTGTTACAAAAGCTTTCTGCAGTTGCCCACTCAACCCTGTGGCCCAAGGTTTCACTGTGACCACCTTATGGCGTTGGAAGAAGAAAATGGCAGCAGCTGAGATTAAGATTACCACTGACCCTGCAACTACCGCAGCAGAAATTATCACCATTTGATGCTTCCTGTTGGAGCGAGTATTAAGATTTTGACCGGAAGTTGAAACAGGAGGAGGCGCTGTGATCCAGTTCTTCGGGGGCGCAACAACAGGATGCTCTGGTGACGTCGGTGCATGAACAGGTGTGATAATTGGTGAGGGTGAAGGAGTCAGAGAGATGCTCCGAGGAGATTCTGACGGGGAAGAGTGGATAGGCTTCAATGGGGAGGGTGACGGAGCAAATAATGATTCTGGTGAGAGAAATGGGCCCCTTGATGGTGCTCTTGAATGTGAATTTGGTGAAGGCGATGGTGAAGATGACTCGCGACCATGTGATGAAGGTGTCGGAGCAGCGGATGGCGATGCTTCAGAACTCTTCTTATTAGGTTTGTCCCCGCTGTTTTGGGATGGTGTCGGGGCCTCTGTCGCCAGTATCTGCCTCCTGTAAGTTGCAGTTTGAGGATGGACACCATTCCTGAAGTGGATATTGAAAATCACCAATAATGAGAAACAAATCCAATAGGATTGTGAAAACTCTAAAAAGTAATAGTTTGACCTTGATTTATGTCAAATCCCAACTGAACATCTGGTGTAAAGAGTGTATATTAAGTAAAAAATGAAGCTAAGAAACTACCATATCAGCTATGAGCTCCGATTCTCTTACCAGTTAATAGACATGCCGTTAGAGTCCGCTCCTATGGCAAGATTACTTTCTTGCCTTCCATGCATCTGTGATTCAGAGATCGTCTTCAGCTCATCTATTTCAGGAGAAGTACAAACCATGAACTCATTGTTGTCAAGTAATCTGCATTAGAAATGAAGCAATCGATTCAATCAAGATCCAGCAGATTCTGATTTAGAAGGAAAAGTATGGCACGGGGAATTAATGAACACACAGGGTTGTGAGGGACAGATCATTAGCAAGCTCGGACGGAAAAGACCCGCTAAAATTGTTATATCCCAAGTCCAACACTTCCAGCTCCTTCAGTTTTGCAATCTCCCCAGGGATTTTTCCCCAGAAAGAATTATTGCGTAGAATACTGCAGAGAAAGGAGAAAAACTAAATTAAATACCTATATTCTCGGTCCTGTATCGAAAATTTATGAGCATGCATCAATTTTTCTTTTTTGCCAGCAGCATGTGTATGCTTACATGGATTTTACATGAGTCAGCTTCCCCAGTTCAGGAGTTAGCATTCCCTCAAGACCAAGATCTTTCAAGTTCCTACATGGAGCGCGAGGCAAAATAGTTAGATCAAGAATAAAAATTCAGAAATGCAGGAATCAGTAACATAAAAATGGAGATGAATTATAATCATTATCTATCAGATAATTAACTGCAATTTTGGCAGGAAGATGGAAAAGAAGCATCTAATCCAGATCTAAAGCTTAAATTCTGAGCAGCTGTAAATGCTTTGACTATGTCATGAACAGACCAGCTGTGGAGATACATGGAAAAGGATATTGAGAATTGTTAGTGTGACTGAATTGAAAGATTGCAGCGTCTAGCTAGACCATGATCTACACTTCTTAGAAGGCGTAAAGCATAGGTGTTCATTAATAAGCAGACCATCCATGGCACGGTCGGAGCAACGCCGTTGAGAAATTCTACCCTGAAGAATTTTCTCCTTTTCTTTCCAGAAGAAAACTGACTAAATGGATGCTTTTTTCCTTTGTCTGAAGCATTGTGACCATACATCCACTGCACAAGTTGACATATTCCAGATTTACCAGAACCAATATGCTGAAAATGCAGCGGAGACTTCTTCAATGATCATCCACAGCGAAAGAAACTAACCGTTTCAATCCTAGGTCAATGTATGAACGAAAGCTGCATAAACATATGTAGCATGCTTTTCTATGTATGCTATCAGCGTGCATTCTCACGGCACCGTAAATCCTCACATGTTGCCTAATTAAGCCAAAAAAGTTAGATGCCAAACTCACAGGACCACTACTTGTCCGTCGGAGCACTCCACGCCAAACCACGAACAGGGATCGACTGCTCCGACATCATCCTTCCAATTCGATAAAGCCCCATAGGGATCTCTCGACACTCCCTCGCGAAATCTTAATAATGCTGCACCTGCGTTGTGACCCATCTCAATCCCTTCATAATTCATATTAATTATTCCCCTCAAAAAGATAAAGAACAGAACAGAGAGTATAACAGCCAGGGACATATATACAAAGCTCCTACCTTCACTGTTGAGAGACCAACAGAAGCTCAGATTTTCAACACAGACTAAGAAAACCGCCATGACCACCGCGATTCGGAGCTTGGCTCTATTCATTCTCAACCCGCCGCCCATCTTTCCTTGTTGTCCCCACTCAAGCTTTGTCCAAAATACAATGGACGAAGATGGGCTTCTGTATTCTTGTCAACTTTGACACAGAGAAGACGATAAAAAAGAAAAGGCTGAGAAGCTACCAACTTTGTTGGCGTGAGAGTGCCTGCCCGGAAACCGGAAAGGAATGCGAAGAGGAGGAGCTCCAAGGTAATGGAGTCTCTGCAGGTGCAAGCTAAGTTTTGGAGAGGGAGAGAAGAAACCGCGTCTGCCCGCTACGTCGGTGAATTTTTCATCATAGGACTCCCAAGAACAAAGAACGAGAATAACTGAAGAAACTGGTTTTTTAATGTTTCTGCGCCGCAATTAGGCGGACGCCTGCGCTGTTCCCAAAGCGTGTCGTTTTAACCAGTCTCGGTATTATTATATAACGCCCGGCAACCCACAACCACGTGCCCCTCACGCGCTCTTCGACTTATCCTTTACTCCTGCCCATTGTTAGGTCTATAAAGTAAAGTAAAGTAAAAAAAAAAAAATACAAATACAAATAGTCCCTGAACTTTGCCCAAATATGCAATACGATCCCTAAACTTTTAATTTGTTCAATGCGGTCCCTGAACTTTAATCGAATGTGTAGTGTGGTCCCTGAACTTTTTATTTGTTCAATATGGTTCATGAACTTTTGGAACATTTTCAAATTAGTTATTGGACTCGAAAATCCAAGGACTAAATTGAATCAGGAGATACAATAATTCGGGGACCACATTGAATATTAACCATAAGTTCATGGACCACATTGAAAAAATTAAAAGTTCAGAGACCACATCGCACATTGGGCAAAATTCAGGGACCATTTGCGTAATAATCCCTAAAGTAAAACATAGTTCATTGAGAGAAAATATAAATTTATTCAGTGGAAGCCGAGTTCTTGCGGATGTATGCGAATGGGTCTGCCTTTGGATGCAATAGAGTCTTTGGTGAGCTTTGTATGTGAAACAATTGTTGCTGCATCATCAGCATACCAGGTCGTGTGCATGTGCGCGCTGCATTATTCTTCGGACATCTGGTGCCGAGAATAATGTGCAAAGCGTTTGGTGTTGAATGCGAGAAAGTCGGGGTTTTAATACATGTCGCACTTCCTTCCCATTACATGCATTGGTTGACCTCTTCCCATATGGTCTTGAATTTAATATTTGAACCATGCTTTGGACATCATTCTGCCTCGTTTACCTAACTAATCGGCTCTCGTTGGTTTGTTTATTCTGTAGATCCTGTATTTTACTGGAACAGGTCTGCGTCAGCTAACTCATAAAGAAAAGGGCTACAAACTCTGGGAAATCATGCAAGCTTGGCCAGCACAAATAATAATGTCAAAAAGCACAAATACAGATCTTAATTGCCTTTCACTCTGTAAAGCCAAAGTTAAGCCGTCACTTTCACCCTGTTGTAGCCGACGCGGAGAAAATTAGGAAGCTTGAACTTGTACCTTGCCGACGCCTTTCAATTCATTGATACGAGCTCTGCCGATTGCTGGAACGCAATAGTTTCTCACAGCTCAAGTTAAAAGGGAACGTTCCTTGAATCCTACATGCAATAATTCAGTGGACATACGCCCGTTAATCTCTTGCAAGCTCACAAGTTTCTCCCATCGCACATACTCAAGAAAAACGAGTAGTAAACTTTAGATTTATGCTGGACCGTCCACGACAACAAGCGTCGAGAGTAGCAGAAGCAATAATCCATGCGAGTTATACTAGAGTGCTGATCCAGAGAAAGAAAGTCTATTATGTAACATCCTCTATGGAGTAAAGCAGTGGACGGATTCAATCGAGATGCAGAAAAGGAATGAAAACTAGTGTCTACTAGTGGATTGCAGCAGTTCTGACGAGACCCCACTAAAGTATATGCTGATTAAGGCGGATTCCCTGCATCTGAAGACTGCAGTATTGAAATCATGGCTTCGAAGAGAAGTCTTCAGCGGACGGATTCTACTCTCTGATCGGCAGAGAGAATAAGACGATGTAGACTTCTAATCTTCTGAGAGTGTATGATTGAGACCCCAATGTGATGGGCAAAAATTAAAGTACATGAACAAAAACAAGGGAATGCTTTTCCCTCTCTGGCAATAGATTGAGACTGCATTTTCAAGCAACAGCGACGGTTGCTCTTCCCACTACGTTGGATAAACATCCACTTTATAACTACTGCTTCAACATATTCTGCCAAGGCTTCCCAAAACCCAGTGAGAAAATTAAGTTAAAAATTTTCCGATTCTAATGTGATTTGGGTATCTTAAAGAACGGGAATGTTGGCAAGATTGCACTCCATTTGCACACACTTTCATAGAAATTTGTCTCGCAATGGATTCCTATAAGCCTTACTCTGAATTGAGAATACACTGAAACAGATTCCACCCATATTGTACACGATCTTCAACTAGCTAGTAGCTCAGGCATTAAAAAGAGTGATATAATATAAGGTTGAAAAGGAACTATGAGGGCCATTTCGCTGAGGGGGGCTGTGTATGTATGACATCAGAACAGAAGCAGCGAGAACTCGGAATCAGACAGTCCACCATACACGATTTTCCTCCACCTTTTTGGTCGCATATGTTTGTCTGGTTTTTGTTGGGCAAATCTGTCACATATAGTCGGATTATCCCATGAGGACCCTTCTCTGTTCCTCTCCTCTAATCTATTATACTCAATCGACAAATGGGGGAATAACAGCAAGATCCCCGACCGGATCACCACCATTCTTTTTAACAGTGTCGAAGTGGGCCCTCGTCTGTATGATCTTGCTCCTGATTACTCAATCTTGTTTCTTAACAAAGGTTTTGCATTTATGATGAGTGAGACTGAGACTCCTCATCTGATGCGGGCCTCGTTTTGTCAAACCATTTGTTTTTTCCCTTTAAATAATCTCGTGAAGTCATTTGGAAAATGCTCTGCGACCTGTTCAACCTGTGACATTGAATCTGTCGTGCCATATCCCAACTGGATTGTATCTTATTGCTTACCTTTTTGGCCCAAGTTTCACGCGGTCTGCTGAATTTCTAAGGACTTTGCTGTATCAGAAGAAGCATACTTTGGCTGCTTGACCTACACTCTTCTCTGTAATTTGTGAGCCGAGTCTCGAATCTTGATGGCTTAACACTTCGTTGAATATTGCTGTGTCAATGTTATTTTGGTGGGTCTAGACTAGTAGGTGAATTTCTCTCCACATAGGAAGAAAAAAAAGCTAAAAGAAAAGGTACAAGAATCGAATAATCGGTAGAGGTTCCATTTCTTGGGGGGCTGAAAGGGAGTTGTCTAGGTTGTGGAGACTGCTCGTAAAAGCAAAGCTTTGGGGTGTCACACGCTCGCACTCACCGAGAGAGGCCAGGCCAATCAATCATTGCAGTGTTGCTTTCTGTATCTTCTTTAATGCGTACACCTAACGACTTGTGGCCTTCTGGGCTTGTGGTCCTTCCCCATTCGCAGATGCATATCAGCAAAATCCGAGAAGATGTGAGGTGGAATAGGAGTAGTACCCATCCATCTCTTCTGGTTAGTGAATGAATATCTTTGCTGGGCCTAGCTTGAAATCTAGGTGTTAATTGTTGTCCTGGGGCTTTAGGATCTCGATGGGCCTTGAACATCCACGGGCTTGCTTGCCCTCTCACGTTGTAGTTCATTAATAGTTATTGGTTCTTGAACATTGCTGATTAAATGCATTTGGCAGCATAGAGGGAGAAAACAATATCATCTGCTAAATGAATGTGTATTGATGCATTCCTGTTTACATTATGTACCCACTAATACGATGAATGAATGTAGTATTTTTCACACGTAACTATGTCCAACTAGAAATTCTAATAAAAGTGCTTCCTCTATAGCCCAATGCCATTCGGTTCTCTTCAGCCCCTTCAACTCTGACCCAATATGAACTCTCCCCACCTCCCAGTCTCACAAGCTCTTTTGCCTCCACTAAATGGTGCTCTCTTTTGCTAATTTTCCTAGCCTTCAACCCCATCTCCGAAACTACAGCTCTATTTGTCTCACCACTCTCTTCCCAATCCTGATAATTTGCCAGGGAAGACACATAAGGACCCATAAAGAGGCACTCCAAAGCCATTCTTGCTTCTGTGAATTCGCCAGGACCTGGAAAATGAAGCTCCATCGATTCGAACAAGGCTTGGAGGTCCACCAATTTCCCTTCAAGGAAAGCTCCATATCCATTCCTCTCTCTCATTGCATCATCCTCCATGCCAATCCCATCACCAACAGTTACGACCCCTTGGTCACTCCTACTGATAAAACTCTTGGCCACTTTTAGAAACTCGGTCGCATGATTGATGACGTTCCTCCCCTTTCTCATGTGAGGGAGCCCCAGCATGCAGTTAAAAGCTAGCCATTCCCTCCCTCTGCTCTTGTTTAGCTCTGCTACAAGGCCTTGTATGTTGGTTTCCTCCATCTTTAGTCTCAATCCAAGCGATTGAGCATGTTCGGTCATCCGCCTATTTATCCCTCCAAGCCTTTCTGTGTCTGAGCCACAACTTCGATCTTCTTCCACCCACCTTAGTGATGTCAAACGCACCGCCTTTTGTCCTCGTTTTACAAGTTCCTCAAGAAGAGGTGGCCATTGCACCCCTTTGCCAATGTCAAAATCGATTATGTGTAGTTCATTGGTATCCTCAGGCATTGCATCTAGAATTAGAGAATTTGCAGTGAAATGAGCAAACCTACCAACAGGATATATTTGATAGAAGGCATGAAATGCTGCCTCCAAATTCTTCATGGACTGTCTAAGGTAGTCTCCCTGACCATCTGAAGCTTCGATCAAGTAATATGCGACACGCTCAAGGGTCGTGCCCATTGGACTACACTTTTCCCTCAATCGTCTTGAGATTTCTCCTGCTAGTACTTGTTGTTCAGCCTCTTTGGCCTCTCCAAAGGCCTTAAGGAGGTGGAAAATGCTCAGTTGGTCATCAACTTCCATATCTTGGCTAGGCAGGACGATGGATGCTTCAGCTGAGACGGTGCTAAAAGTTGGTTCAACTGATGTGAGGTTCAGGGTCCATGAATCATCTTCTTCAGTGAATTCTGAAGAAGAATTGCTTGCACTTGGCACCCACTCACATGCTTCATCAACCATATCAACCAATAACGTATCAGGGAAACTGCTATCGATCACCGGCAAGTTGAGCGAGTACTGTTCCTCTGGAACGACTGCTAGAAAATCATCGTCTTGGAAAGGTAAAGCTCCAATCTCCCCTGTAGACGAAGAGAGCGGTACAGAAAAGGAAGTATCAGGTGAGTCCTCGATGGAAATAGTCGGAGAATGAAACTCGAATCTGCTCATCTCAGCATGCACGCCCTGGAAACCCAGCTCGACCGCTAGAAAAGGCGAGAAGGCGGTGAAATCGTAGTTCAGCCACAAGGGGTGAACACACTCAGTCTCCATCTTTTGCTGATTGATTTTGATCAGAAGGGCTTGGTCTGTCAAGGCCTTAAGGATTTGCTACGTTTTATGGCTTAGATCATACGCTAGAAACCAAACTGCTGATGGAAAAGGAAACATTAAAAAAGTTGTATCAGAGTCCGGCTAGCGTTGCATGTCCACACTTTCTCCACACTTCTTCTGTTCCACAGACCCACAGACTCACGTTTCCCCATTCGAGGCATCTTCCTCCTTTGGCAGCTTCTAGGAGAAAGCATTTCTTGATGCTGTCTATGACCAGGATCGTCATTCAAGGCAAGAGGAATGTCTGTGTTAGAAATTCCAAGATGCCAAAACACAGGTCGGATTGCATGGAACCCTTTCATTCGATGAGGACTCTATTCCGCTAATGAATTGTTTATTTGATGGATGGACGAGCCTTTCAACATCTACATCTCTTTCAAGGTATTATATTAGAGGCACGATTGCTGCTATCCTGTCAAACTTACCCACCTTGAAAGAGAGAGATTAAAATATTGGTCCAACCTGATGTTTCAGTGCCTGAGTGAGACCATCTGGCCCATTTGATTCAACTCTGAAGCAACGCATAAATTCTGATTTATATCTCTGTAGTTGATCGATCCATGCCTTAATAAGATGGACCGGATCCTTGGAACTTCATGCTTCAGTAGCCAATATCCTAAGATGCTAAAGGGACACGCAAATATTAAAACCCGCAACACTAAAATTAAATAGCTTCATGGTTGTCCGATACCAACAAGCATAAATTGGAGGATAGTCGTGTCGGAGACTAGTCTTCTTGGTGCCTCATCCTTGAAATGCAAGAACATCTCCATTCTCAAACTGCAACTCGGTTTCAATTAATTCATGCTCACACTCAATCTTTTCCTAATTTTCATTTACTTTCTTTACTTACGATTAATCATCCTATAAAAAGACGCTCTAGTTTCATTAATCCTTAAACTTTATATGATATCACACACATATATTATATACCCTGCCGATACGGAACGATGCACGCACTAGTTAAAATAATGCACAATTTTATCTTCCGTGGAACTTTACATTATCTCGCACTATAGTCTAACGTGTGTTCTTACTGAGCTAGGAAAATAATGAAAATTAAATGGGAAAATGACACAAATAGTCCTTGAACTTTGACTCAATATGCAATTTGATCCTTGAACTTTGAATTTATTCAATATAGTTCCTAAACTTTAACCCAATGTTCAATATGGTCCCTGAACTTTCAATTTGTTCAATGTGGTCCCTGAACTTTTGGTACATGTTCAATATAGTCCCTGAACTTTATAAAAATATTCAATGTAGTCCTTCCATTAATTCAAGTTCATGGACTATATTGTACATTTTCATATAATTCAGGGACTAAATTGAATATTTACTAAAAGTTCAGGGACCAAGTTGAACAAATTGAAAGTTCAGGGATCACATTGAATATTGGGTTAAAGTTCAGGGACTACATTGAATAAATTAAAAGTTCAGGGACCAAATTACGCATTGAGCCAAAGTTCAGAGACTGTTTGTGTCGTTATCCCAAATTAAATCACTAGACAAGCCTATTTTGGTCTTTTTCCCCTCTTCTTCTTCTTCTTCTTTCCTCCGGAAGAGATACAGAGCAGAGATCAAAAAGCCCACAACACAAACTTGAGAGTCGAGAAAAAATGGCAGATCGCAGTCAGACTCCTCCTCCGAGTAGCAATCAGGATTCGGACACAGACGCAAACATCAGTATTACAGTTAAGTTCGGCGGAAGATCAATACCTGTCGCTACGTCGCCGGACTCGTCGATCAAAGATGTCAAGTCCCTCCTCCAGCTCCTCACCAACGTCCTCCCTCGTGGGCAGAAGCTCATTTTCAAAGGTTCGTCTCGTCTTCCGTCTTCTAAATTACTACCCGCGATGTCGTCCTGTCTCCTTCGACATCATGCGTGATTTGAATGTGCTCATATTAAAGGGAAGATTTTGGACGATTCGATGACGTTGAGGGCATCGGAGGTGAAGAGTGGGGCCAAGGTCATGCTCATGGCTTCCCAAGGGCTACATCAAGGGGTATTGTTTTTACCGCGTTCCCCTTTTCTGGTTTCTGAAAATTCTGTGATTTTGATCGTGTCTGTAGCGTGCAGAATCTTGCCTTTTGTTTCACGTGAATGCATTCATTTTAGAGCTTTTCAGCTTCTTTCGCCTCAAAATGTTGGTCTTTAGATTGCTATCTGCCCTTGGTATCCCTGAAAATTTTGTCTTTCGGCTAACAAAAATGTTGAGCATGGAGCGCAAATGTTCACATAGGGAGCCCTTTTTTGTCCCCGGGATTTATCGATTAGTGGGTCTCTGGAGATTGAAGTGGTAGACTCTTTTTTAACAGGAAGGTCCCATTTTGAAAGCAGCGCGAGCTCAGCCAATTATAAGGGGGACAAACCGTTCTTACGATGTGGCAAAAGAAAAGGCTGCGGCTACTGTTGATAAGACGCATTTGGAACGGTGGAAAATCACTGGAGTTGTTGCATTGGCTGAACGCAATCTGGAGGTATTAATGACTCCCTTATTGCTTGAAGAAGAAAAGTCGTTGTTTAAGAGGCGTAAAGCTTCAAGATTATTTAGTTGATTTTACTTACCAAATCAGATTCACATTTAAGCTCCCAAACTTATATTAATTTGTTCTTGATGCTTGGAACTTAAAGTTCATACCAGATGAGGTGTGGGCTTGTGGACCTTCTACAAGGATCCTCGATATCTCTAACAACTCTCTTGAATGTGTGCCTCTACGAATTGGTAGTTTGACTTCCATGCAGGTACTTAAATCTTCATACCCTGTCATTTCTACTCCATTTTCAGTAGCATTTCTTCATCAAAACTTCCTTTCCCTGTGCATCTACACCTTGCAGAAGTTGCTCATGAATGCTAATGGGTTATCTGATCAATCCATTAATTGGGAAGGTCTATCATCTCTCAAGTTTCTGACAGTTCTATCCATGAATCAAAATGAGTGAGTAGGCCTTTCCTAATGAGTTTATATAGCAGAGTAGCTGGAGCACGTGTTATGTCCATTGCATATGCTAGTGGTGGTATATGAGATCGTTTGGACTGTAAAATTTAGCAGTCACTGGCACAGGGATGGGAGAGGATCCAGTTTGATTGAAATGGCTGCTGTATCTGAGCTTGATTTATTTGTCTTAATGCAGTATGTGTCCCAATAGATGCCGGAATAATAGTTGTTCTTGCTTTCCATTTAATTCCTCAAATATTTGTTGGGGCCACATTACTTGGAGCGTTTCTTCCCCCCCTTCCACCCTTCTTTCATTGCCTCTTCTAGAAGTTGATCTCTGTTAAGGGTATTCCTTGCTTTACGACTCTATGGATTTTAGCTTCCAGTGCTGATGCCAGTTTGATGCAGCTTAACAGCTCTTCCTCCTGCACTAGGTGCTATAAGTTCTTTGAGGCAACTTTATGTTGCTAACAACAAGCTAACTAGTCTTCCCATGGAAATAGGACATTTGACTCAGCTCGAAGTGCTGAAGGTCAACAATAACAGGTGAATATGCTAAGGACAATCTCTTGTGCAGATACTTATTTTGGCAATCAATAAGGGATGGCAATATACCACCATATTCTTCTTTGTATCATTTCCTTCAAAGTAAAAGGTTCAATTTTCTTTTTTATAAGAACTCTGAAATTTGTTTCAGATTCAGTTTAAAGACCACATCTCAAATGCAACCTCGAATCTTTGTGCTAGGAATTGAGATCGAGTGTTTGGAAGAAATGATTCGATAAGGGGGGAAAAGATGTTGCGCTAGATCTGTATTTTTAACTGTTGGGTCTTCTACTTTTTCAGGATAAGCACCCTGCCTACACAGATTGGCGACTGCTTTTCCCTTGTAGAGGTTACATTGGTTTTTCTTGTCCTTTTCGTGTCAAATGGTTCAGCTCTTTTAGAACATGAATTTTAAAGTGTCTACTTTCTTCATCCAGTTTGGGTCTCATTTCTCGTGTAAAATTGTATGGTTTTCTTGATGAAGTATGACATTTTGCAGGTTGACCTTTCGTCAAATCTTTTGGCAGAACTGCCTGAGACTCTTGGCAACTTGCGAAACCTAAAGGTCTATATCCTCCTTTTTGTTCCAACTGTTTCTTCCTTCCCCAAAACTTTTACATATTTTTTAAAGTCAATTCCACTGTGGTATCTACTTGTGTTCTCACCTAAGAGGAAAGTAGAAGGAAGACAAACATGGGGAAGATATAAGTTGGTCTTTCTGCATACAGCAAGGAAAAGATTCGTAATCTATTTATCTTTTTTGCTTTTGTTTTGGACTCTGGTGGTGGATTTGGATGCATATACTTCATATTGTCACATGCGTTTGTCTGTTTGGTAAAGTTGTAGGTATGCTGTAGTTGTGCTGCGGTGTTTGCTGCTGCAACTTGTTTGTTTGATTATATATTTTTAAAATCTGCAGCACATCAAAACTGGGCAAGGCAGCTTACAAAAGAACTGCTGCAGCTGTGAAGGTGCTACAGCCATACGGCTTATAAAAGCTGTAGCACCCTTTTCCACAGTAGTAGCTGCTGTGGAAAAGCTGCACCAAATAGGCATTCACAACTGTCATATTCTTATAGATAGGTAGATTAGATTCTTAGTGGAAGTCACCTTAGTTCTTGAAGAGTCCTGCTTATGACAGAAAAACTATAGAATTATGATCCTTTCAAAGATTTCTTCCTTGGAAACTTAAGTAAAATTTCTAGTAGCTTCTGCCTATCAATTCGCATTCTTCCAAGCACCTATTTGTGATTGGTGTCGACTTTTTGCTTCTCTATGCTTGGCCGTGAGTAGAAAGGATAGCCTCTATGCAGCCTTTGCATGCTTTACCTGCTGATTTTCTGATGATTGGTCGCATGAATGCTGCTGTGCAGGCGTTGCACCTTAGTAACAATGGGCTCAAATCACTTCCTCGCATGCTATTTACTACATGCATCCAGCTCTCTACATTGGACCTCCATAACACAGAAATCACGGTGGATGTTCTCCGTCAGGTGTGTACCCATCCTTTACCACAACCATCCAGTAATTCAATGAGTGGCATCTTGTCATCTCATAATAGCTTACGTGGCCAGATTGAAGGATGGGAAGATTTTGATGAACGTCGGCGCTCGAAGCATCAGAAACAACTAGATTTTCGAGTTGTGGGCTCTGCTGAATTCGATGAGAGTGCTGATAAAAAGTGATGATCCAATTCTTGTGATTTCAGGAAATGGGGGATTTCTAATCTTGCTAGTCGACCATCTTAATGATATAATGGAGTATTGATTTTCATCAAAGGCAACATCTTCCCGTGCATGGATTATATATGACAGGCACACTAACAAATGAAAGATCTTCTATCTTCATAGCAACAATTTTCTGTCGGGATTTGTCTTGGCTCTTTGGCCTATTTTGTTTAGTGTGATCGTATGGGAGTTGAAGATGCACACTCCAAAGGAGATATTCTGTAGTATAATGTTAGGGCTTGTAATGTTTCGCTTTATAATGGTTTTGTGCGTGATTCAGACCGTCGTATGTAGCACTATTACACTACAATAAAAAAAACAGTGGACGTGTTGTACTTAATTATGACAAAATGTCTTCACATCCAAACCGAAGCTGTGAGTTTAAAGATTGCTACTTAGCGGCATAAGTGGTGACTTTTTTAAAATTTTCTATATTCTGAACAGATACTGCCCGAACCCGTGCAATACGGATTCAATCTTTATAGGAAAAATTTCAAATCAGTACCTAAAGTGAGGTTATTTTTTCAAAAAAGGGTCCAAAGTGGACGTAGTATCAAATAAGGATTGAAGTGCTCATCAGTCTCAAATAAAGATTTGAAATGTCCAATTAGTCTCAAGTAAGGGGCTGGGTTCGCCAGCCGGTCAATTGCTCACCGGTTGGCAAGCACGTGATTGTTCCAGCAATTGAAATAAGGGCAGTTTCATCTTTTACTTTTTAATATTTTTTTGTTTCTTTTTCTATTTTTTTCTTTTTCTTTTCCTTTTCCTTTTCTCTCTTCCCTCCGCCGACCATAGCCGGGATCGACGGAGGTCGCTGGCCTCAGGCGGAGGCTGCCTAACGCCGGCGAGGGCAACCCAGGGTTGGGCGAGGGTTGCCCTTACCGGCATCGGGCAAGGGCGAGGGTTGCTCTCACCTGATCTAGCAAGGGTTGCCCTCGCCAGCGTCAGGCGAGGGTCGCCCTCTCTCACCCAGCCCAGGCGAGGCGACCCTCGCCTGACCCTGGGTTGCCCTCGCCGGCATCGGGCAGCCTCCGCTTGAGGCCAGCAACCTCCGTCGGCCCGGCTATGGCCAGCGGAGGGAAGAGAGGAAAAAGAAACAAAAAAATTAAAATGTAAAAGACGAAATTGCCTTTGTTTTGACCATCGGAACAATCACATGCTTGCCGGCCAGTGAGCATTTGACCGACCGACGAATCCAGGCCCTTATTTGAGACTGATTAGGCACTTCAGGTCCTTATTTGACACTACGTCCACTTTGAAACATTTTTTAAGAAAATGACCCTACTTTGAGTACTGATTTGAAATTTTCACATCTTTATATTAGGGCTGCTGCAATAGACGATTATCACGGGGCATGTAATTTTAAGTGATCCACGAATCACCGTTTACCTATCTGCTCACTTATGGTACAGTGGTACAAAACTGATCCCAGAATCTATCGCGGACACCTAAGCTAATAGACGATACTGATCATTTATTAAGAAATCAAAAGACCTAAATTGATCGGCTCTGTTCGCTGATTCACTGAATAAGTTAATTCCATTGCCTTAACCATTTCATTCATGCGTATCTATATTGATAGATACACCTTTACCTCACTCCATGATTAGAGCGCGGTGTTGACTTTCTCCTTGTGTGGAAAATTTCACTCATGCATGGTTTCCATCAGCTAACAGGTCAAAATTGCTCAGGTAACGAGGTTCGAAAAACTACAAATCATTAAAACATACATTGCACGAGATATCTCATGCAACATTATAGTACCATTACGAAGGGCCAACCATCAGATAAATTCACGGTAACAGTCTTGTGATAAAATGAAATTCGATATAGATGAATTTCAGACACTGGGAAAAAGAAAATGTTCTCCTGTGTGATAAGGAAGGTTTCAAGGCAATCTTGTATGCTCGTACCAACAACCCCAGAAAAAAACAGCTAATATCTACTCTGAAATTGACTTCTACAGATAGGATGTGATGAGTCTAAGAAAGTAGCCCAGACCTCGCACGCATCATCCTCGCATCTAAGAAAATACATGCAGCTTATCGGAAGTAAATGGATAATTGGGGGATGTCAATATCATTGTCCTCATCATCCTCGCACGCAACAACAACATCCAAATGACGACGATATGGGGGGATTTCTACCTTGGCCACTTCTCTAGCCAAATCAACCACCTTCTTGTCCATTCGATCTCTATGCCTAGGGAACATACTGTTATACAGGAGGGAACTTCCACAAGAAATGCTATAAGCATTCAGCCCCTTATCTTTAAGCCATTGGAGAAGTTCCCTCAAAGTGGGATTATCTTTGACGACCCACCTGTCCCAAACAGTCCAGCTCATATCACGATGATTGATGACCTTGGGAGGCACCGGCTCAGCCATTGAGAACAAAGGCAATGCCAAGTTGGCAAACGTGTTACGGTAGTCCTCCAACTTGTGACCTCCAGCAAGAACCTTGTAGAGATCCAGGCAAACAAGACCAGTTGCCATAGCTGTGGAGGTTGCAATAGCAGGAATAATTCTCCCAGCAATAAACTTGGCTTTCAGCTTGTCAACTTCTGGAATGCTGTAGTTCCTTGCTCTCATATTGGCCAACCCAGCAATTAAGTCCATGTGATAGTTTGTATCATCATCCTGCATAATGCACAAAGCTCTCCCTTAGTTAACTAATTAATATAATAATTGACTAATTGAATCCCAAAGTGCTTGCAGAAAGCGTGCATGGTGAGAAAGCATACCTTCTCAAATTGAATAGGTTTCATCTTGAAACCCGGAGCCAGAATCTTATAGCACTGTTCCAATTTCTTGATCAGTTCATTGATGACTGCAGAGTCGTCTATAGATGCAGCGGAGAGACTGGTAGCCTTCTCATCTGTCACTATTTTTGCATCTTTCTTTGGCTGGAAATCCGGAACCATCACCTTGTCAACGGCTTCAGCTAACTTCATGGGATGCTTGACCCAGTCAGGAATTGGAATTCCAAATGTCTCAGCTCTAAGAATTGATGCCGCCATAACAAAATAGAGATGACCAATATCAGATGCTGAGAACAGAAGAGGGCGAGGGAATCGCTTTGGGGCTGACCAGAAAGGGGCCCCTGTACTGGTTGCAGCATCTTCAGGGAATGTGTATATCAACTGCCTCACGCGATTGGCAAAGTAATCTTCAAACCTGTCAAGAAAGCAGAACATCAGCCCATATATATTATAGTGCAAATCAAGTCTGAGATCCAAGATGAAGGCAAAAGATGAGAAACTTACTTTAGACGAGCCCAGGTAATGCAATCTTCAAATGTTTCACATCTCTCCTTCTCCAGGCACTCAAGAACATGTTCCAGCGTATCTCGTGCCTGGGCATCGCCAGCATTGCTCATTGAATTTGTGTATTCCAATGGGCTGGATAGATATGCATTAACTTCAGCAGGAGTTTTCTCAAGCAAACCCTCAAACTCAGATCTAGCCCAAGTAAGACAGTGGTCGATATTGTGAGGGAAAGAATGAACAGTGCACATGGGTGCTTGTTTCTCAGGTGGATCTCTTGAGGCACCATAGTTTTCAGTTAGGTGGGGGATGACCATTTGGGTATTGCATTTGGCACCCAGAGTTCCTGACTCCAGCAGTGGCTTTTGGAAATATAAGCACCTTTGATCTACATACAACCTGGCATTAACATTGTCTAATGCATTGATAACGACACTCAAATTCTCCCAAAAGGTGTCATCAAATACATTCTCCGTTTCAGGGCCAACGCGATTCTGAAGTGCTTCAACCTTGAGATGAGGATTAATTGATGTTGCAGCAGAAGCGGCAACAGTGGATTTGGCCTGTCCAATATTCCAATCTCGAAATAGAAACTGCCTGCTTAGGTTACTCTTCTCAATAACGTCGTCATCAGTGACTGTCAGCTTACCTTGATTGCCACATGAAACTCCCATCAGGGCTACGTTCTTTAAGAACTCGCAACCTAAAGCGCCTGATCCGACGATGAATACCTTGGCATCCTCCAGTTTCTTTTGCAACTTGGACCCGAAAACAGAAATTTGTGCATCATAACGGCAATTTTGCCGTCTAAAATCGCTAGAATCCATTGGCTCCACAGGAAGAGACTCAACTGAGTCAAAATAGAAAAACTACAAAATATATATATTCTTAGATACGAGCCCAAAAAATTCACAAAATTCACAAGTGAACGACCGAGATATATATCTCGAGGATGTGGTAGACAAATTCCATTAATAGAAGCAAATTCTTGATGCAACTGATTTAACAGCATTACTTTTTTGGGCTATTAAGATTATAAGATATACAAAAGTAGAGGAATCAGCCGATATTCAACGAAATCATTATTAAATGTTGTGGACACCTAAATGCTAAAAGAAAAGCCGTATACAGTTAAACATGCAATCATTTGAACAGAACCACCACAGGATGTTTCCAAAGAAAGGAGTACCTGAAACAATGGATGGAACTTTCCTGAACATGCCTTCACAACCTCTTGCCCAACAATCCCACCAAACATGGCAGCCATGGGATTTAGAACTGCCTTGGCACCAAAGGCAAAATGCCTGAGAAGTTTAGGATTTATGTCTTCCAGCTTCCCATCTCCCAAGTTCTCATTAATGGTAGTGGCGGTAGTTATAAGTCGTTGAGCATCCTCTTCTGAACCAGCAACAGGGTATCTCCCAAACTCAGAGACGAACTTGTCCAGGGCTTGAAACGCCAAATGTAAAAGCGGAGGTCGATCAAACTTAGAAAAATCGCTGAGAAGAAAATCACCAGGATCTTTAAGTGCTTCTCTCAGTGGCCTAAAGTTCAATACTTTAGGCTCTTTTACTTGTGTAACTATGCCCCCTTTTTCGTAAGTAGCATACTTGGTGGTATCCTCTTCAAGAATGAATGAGTAGGGTCTTGCACTTTTGATTTTCCTTGGTTTTCCATCATTCAATTCACTCATACCCTGAACTTCCGAAAAGATTACAAGATCCCCATCTTGAAACTCAAGCCTTTCATCGTCAACACAGGACACTAAAGCAGGATTGTCGTTACTGATGGATGCGATGATGCCGCTGTGTGGTTCCTCCCCATCAACATCGACGACTGTAAACGCTGGGCCAAAATCACAGAAGACAGAGCCAAAAAGGCCTCTAACTTCAGCTTTAATGAAAGATATCGGAGGTTCATGAGTATGGCAATAATCATTAAATTCAATAGCTTGCTCCAGACTGGTATCTGTAAATACAACCGCCTGCACCGCAACATATGGTGATTAATGGATGCAAGAGTCACAAACACTAGTACATTCAGAAAACATGAGTAACAATTGCTTGGTTTCGGTGTCCTTTGTTGTTGCAGACACAGAGAAAGAGAGAAGGACGAGGGGGGAGAAGCTACTCGACCCATATTAAATTACTCCTGGATACAGACAGAATACCAGCAACAATCCCTTGGCAATGTTAGGTTTTGTATTACTTATCATCTGCTATCAATCCCTAGGCAATGTCAGGTTCTGTTTACTTATTATCTGCTATCAGCAGCTTGTGGTATTAAATGGGGTAAAACAGTGCATTAGCATTTGACAATACAAGTCAATGCCACTATGAGAGCAAATAAAATGTGGAGGACTTTTCAGTAATCAACTGATATTTTCATTACCAATGTTGAGTCTATATCTCATATCATGCCAATTGTAGATAATTGCAGCACAATCCATGTCCATCTTAAACCTTCTAATAAGAACTGTCTCCTGTGGCTTGGCAGACCAAGTTAAATGGACGACTAGCAATGTCATTAAAGATGTGAAATAGAAAAAGGAAACTAAAATGACACCTTACATCAGATGGATATAATAAGATAAACCGAAAAAAGTTGACTCAGCGAACTCAGCTTATTTATTTGCAAGACAAGAAGAAAAATGGGACATGAGAGAGCAAGCTTGTTCCATGACAAGTAAGCAGAAGGATACACATGAATCCAAACCTAAGAACTCGTGGTGTTAATTAGCTTAGACCACCAATTGGTCAAACCCTCGTCTCTGCAGCTTACAAAACCTTAACATGAGAGCAAAAAGTTACAGAAAATCGAACCATTCACAAAAAGTAACTGATCAAGTCCATAAACAACAGGTAATCTGATAGCTTCAGAAGGAGCAGTAGAATGTTTGGACAATTATTTGGTCAAATAACAGCAGAGTCATGTTCTATGATCGTAATACTCATAGTTTGGGCCAATAAAATTAATAGCTCGTTAATCCTTCGATTGATCATCGTTTTAATTAAGTTAAACAGAATACTGCGAAATGCCAATAGTGACAGTGAAACCAAGGAAATTAGTAACTTCATCCCTTGATGAATAAGAATCAGTATCACTGATGTTACATAGAAGTTCCATGTAGTCCTCTTTTAGGGGATAGCATAATATTCTGTTAGAAAGAACAAGTAACAACATTTCTCATCTCCAGGTCAATCCCTCCTGTGAGAGATTCATCAAAATCTTAATGCCAAAAGGAGCTTGTTCTCAGAGACTGCCAAATACTGTCAACATAGGGTACGATTAGTAGGGAACTTAATCTAATATACACTAAGAACTGCATGAGACTACTAGATATAAAGCGTCAGAACTTGATCGAGTCTATAACTGAAAAAAGAAGAAGACCTCATTAGCACAGAAGGCTTCATTTTGTTGTTGTTTTTTTACAGTTGTAGTGTCCACACTAAAGGTAAATAAGAATGTTCATGTAGATAATTATACATATGAGGTTGCATTACAATGATCTACACTGAACAGTTGCGAGTGTTTTCACGTAGTTCTGACAACTGGTAATAATTAAGCCATGTCTCGGTCAGGTTTCTCTTTATGAATAAGCCAGGATATGCGCCGCGCATGTCATGCATCTTATTTCATCCTTCTTAACTTGTAGATGGGTATGACCAAAAATTTAACCGATAATTTATAATGCATACCTGAAAGTCAGAAAGTTGTTCCTTAGTCAACTCTGTTGTTATGGTATCAATGGCCACTGCATTGTTGAGCTCCTGCAATTTCTGAACAGAAGCAAGAGCCCTGTTTTTGCCAACATCATTCTCAGAGAAAATAAAATTGCTAGACATATCCCAGAGTTCCACGGTCCCCACATCATGTAGAGTCACGGACTTGACACCAGCAAGAACAAGGTTTTTGGCTGCAAAAAATAGGCGGCAATTGAGAACAGCAAATTTAGCACCTTCATGACACTCAACATCCAGGCCCATCACAAGAACAGTCAAAAAAAGAAGATCATGCCCACAACGGTTAATAAACAAATGCTTGAGGCGCAATGTCAGTAATCTGGCAACATGTAACAGCTTACCTTCTTTGTCATTTCATTAGGTCAAACAAGAGTAGGTCACAGCTTGTGGATCCAAAACTGGCACTCAACACGAGATTCATGTTGTACAGATCAACATACAGAGTCAAAGATCATTCAGACATTGATACTGAAATAATTACAAGGTAATTATAAGGCTTGAAGGAAGTCCCATTGGTGCTAAGAGTAGTGGAAGACGAAATTCATCCTAGTCTACGGCTGCAACATCTACTCTTTCTAATTCCCTTGGTTTACTTCTCTTCACATGTGAGTATGCACGGGCGCATGTGTGTGTGAGTTCTGTTCTGTGAGTTTTGTTTTGCGAGGGCGAGGGTGAGGGTTGTTGGGAGTCCAACCATTAACTTCGGGATAAACAAAAGCAACACCATTCGCGAAGATAGATTCATGAGCAGCATAATCCAAGTTCTCCATTAGATCCACTGATCTCATCCCAGCAGTAGAGTAATCCAGTCAAAACAATAAGATCAGATGAACAAGAAACAATCGATTAAATCACAACCAAAGTCTTCTAAAAAGTAGAGAAGGATATTGCCGATCAACAGCACAACTTCGAAACGCGCATACCAATCTCAGCGCCGAGGCCTTGCATCCCCGACACAAGAACGTTGGAAGCAAACAGCCGCCGCATCGTCTCGCGGCCGTACACCGCGAGCTGCCTGCTGTGAAGATCCTCATCAATATCCGCCGAACCCGAGTCGCCCAAAGCCATGATCGACGATCCCGTCACGCCGCTGCTGTTGCAATTGCTGCTGTTGCTACTCTGGATAGCGATGCTGGAGCAGTCGCTGGTGTTGGTGGCGGTGAGCACCGCAGATCCGAAACCACCGATCCGAGGCTTCTTGTGAAAGGATGCACTCGCAGCGCCGTTGTCCTCTTCTTCTACAACCACTCCTTCACCAGTTCTCTTTCTAGGAAGCATATAGAAAAGTAACCTGCCGACAAAGCCATGAAAACCCATTACCACAGCAAAACAGCGCGAATCGCACGACCTAGCGCAAAACTACGTCTCCTAGCATCGCGAAAACAGCTCGAGCAAAAAGATCGGAGCCCCCAAAACCACCGCATCATCTAAAGCCATGGCAAACCCACACCAGGCGTGCACGTAACTCCGATTTCCACCGAAGAAGCAAGGTATAAAGGCTGAAACCTCGAGGGGTCAACGAAGGAACGCACCGATTAGGACCGGCTGGGAAGAATGGAATCCGTGAGAAATGGGGAAGGGAGAGCGTCGGCGAAGGTGTCGTGCGGGAGGGGCTTCGATGGTGCAAGCGATTGTGGGGAGATCGTGATGCGTTGGCTTCATATAAAGGACGAGACGCGGTGGGGGGGATTGGATTTTACGAGATTGGGGTCGGGCTAGGGTTTTTGGGCGGAGAGGACAGGTGATGGGTAGAGGAGGTAGGCTTCGGCACCATCTCTCTCTTCTTGTTGGAGCGAGAGAGAGAGAGAGAGAGAGAGATGAGAGAGAAAAAGGGAAGGACAGAGTTTCGGTGTTGTACAGTGCGCGAGAAGGAATTGAGGGTTTCACTGATAAGTCAGCTCGCGGCTGGGTGGTAGGGTAGGGGCCGGTTGCCGGAGGAAAAAGGCATTTTTGTGGAGGGAGGAGAAAAATCATTTCCGTCTATTTTTTTTTTCATTTTTAATTTTAGTGACATAATTAGTCTAAGAAAATCGAATGACGAGACTAATTTCCGCGTTGTTTTTGAATAATGACACAAATAGTCCATAAATTTTAATTCAATATGCAATGTGATCTTTCAACCTTTAATTTGTTCAATGTGATTCCTGAATTGTAGTCAAATATGTAATGTGGTCCATGAAATTTTAATTTGTTCAATATGATCCCTGAACTTTTTATACATGTTTAACTTAGGCCCGTTTGGTTCGATTTCGGGGGAATGCAAAAACCTTTGGGCTAAAAGGGTTTTCCGAAATGCACGTAGTATTTGGTAAATGTTTTTTAAAATCAACTTGGACTAAAGGACTTTTGCTAATTTTTTTTAATAAAAAAAAATGGGTTATGGTGGAGCTTAACCACCAGCCAACCGCCGACGGCCAAATCCGGTCGCCGTCGCCGGCTAGATCTAGTCACGCGGCCGCCGCCGCCTGACCTTAGGCGAGGCTACCTGAGGTCGCGCGACCTCAAGCGTCGCTTGGGTCGCGCAACCTAGGCAACGCCCGAGGTCCAACGACCTCAGGCGGCGATCGCCTGAGAGTCGCGCAACCCTGGCAATCGCCGCCTGGGGTCGCCGAACCTCGGGCGTCGCCTAGGTCGCGCGACATAGGCCATCGCGTGACCCATTCGACAGTCACCGGGGTCGAGCTAGCCCTCAGGCGGCGGTCACCAACTGCCGAACTTATCTCTTGGGAAGATGAACAGTCGTGATGAACAGTGCAAATTGCATTCTGAAAATGCAACTTTTCAAGGCACCTCTACTATTGCATTGGCCAAAAGTCCATTTGAGAGCATTCCAAATGTAATTGCATTTTCCTAAAGTGAGTAAAAAAAGTTATAAAACACCATTTGCATTTTGCCAAAGGATTTTAGAACCCAAATGAGCATTCCAAATGCTGAACCTAACGGGGCCTTAGTCCATGAACTATATGAAAATGTTTAATATTGTCCTTCCAATAATTCGACTTCAAGGATATCGAACATTTTCATGTATGGAATAAACATTCAGAGATTATATTGAATAAATTGAAAGATTATGAACTACATTGCACATCGAACCGTGATTCAAAGATCACATTAAATAAATTAAAAATTCATAAATCATATTATATTTTGAATTAAAGTTCAACGTTCATTTGAGCCATTTTTCCTATTACTTCCCTTGCTTTTCCATGCTAGAAATCTTAGAAAACGTCAAATCAAAGTCACCAACTCTCAATTGCTCGATCAATTTGACTGCCCTTTTAAGATTAACTTCGCTCCATTCAATAATAGCGTGTCGGTTCAGATCTGTATACAAAAATTTATGACTAATCTCTAGAAAAAGGTTAATAACCCTAATTTTACCTCGTTAATAGTGCTTCTTATTTATAATAACTACAAAACTACGTTAAATTGATTGCAGGGATATGTTCGTGTAGCAAAGAAAGTATTAGGGAACATTTGTTTGAAGGAAACTGATAGAAAATTAATCGATTTACGAAGAATATTATTCGTGAAATAAAAATAACAAGCGTAAATTGAGTAAAAATAAATTTTCCTTCTGACAAAAAAGAAATCACTTTTCCTGAACTACCAAACAAATGAAAATTAATCATTTTCCTTGCAAATGATTTCCATGAAAAATATTTTCCTTTATCATGAAATTTTTAGCGAAACTATTTATTTCGCGGAAAATGTAATATTTAAGTCATTTTTCAAGAAAATGACAATATTTTTCCAATGTTTAGCTGAAATCTAAAAATGAACTAGAATAAATTTTTCGTTGTTTGCATAGGCACCGGGGTTTCAGACTTGGCCTCGATGGACACAGGCGCAAGCACTAGGATTTGGGCATTGGCACCACGGTCACAAGCCCGGCCTCAATGGACCTGGGCCTGAGCACCAGAAATTTAGTCCTCGACTCTGGTGACCTAAGATCTACTATTGGGATTTTCATGCCAAAGCATAAAGTTTGTAGTCCACTCTTCTATAGTTAGAGAACCCACGTTGATTACTTCTGTAGTTAGTAGCTTTTCCATTTGTTAGTTGCAATATGAAAATACATAAGTTTTAACATTACAATTTGGAAAAAAAAAATTTAATTCATTCATAATTTTTAATTTATATTTAGTCCACTCTTCGTGACTTACTCAAAAATAATTATTTTCACTATAAGAACGTAAAAGAGGAAATTATAAAAAATTTATAACGAAAGTTCGATATATCTAAATAGATAGCTAACAAATATCCTTTTTCCATGAAGCACGTACCTCATATTTAAAATTCATGTCCTTGTTCTCCTACTAAAAACTAACTTGGATCTATCTCTTATTTGACATGTGAGCAAATTAAATAATATTGTAGAAAAAATTTCCATATATCTAAGTAATTATTTAACGAATCTCCCATCACATATATCATATTTTAAGTTTATATCTGTGATCTCTTCCTAAAGACTAACCTGGATCCATCTCTTGTCTAGCACGCGAATAGAGTGTCTGAAGGATTTAGTACGCCACAATAAGAACTTATATATAGTTTGCAATTCATTCAAGTTAACTGTAAGTTTATGTACAGGAAATTGTAACTTTTGATATGTCTAGACTTAGTTTCAATTGCATGTGATTAATAATATTTTTATAATATTAAGTAACCTTCAAATTATGTGCATTTAGTAACTTTTACAAAACTAAGGTCACTAGCTTAATAATCAGATAAGTATGGATGAAGATCACAAGTTGTATCTATTTCTTTATTTAGGTCGTCACAAAGTAGAGCCAACGAATCGAGATCTAAAATTGAAAGGATTAACATTATACGTTCGTTTGTTTCGCGAAAAATTAATAATTTGAAAAATACTTTCGAAAAAATGATTGCTCGTGTCGCTTATAAAAATGAACGAATGAAAAATATTTTCATCGTCAAAAAAATTGTTTAAACACAAACTATTATCGAAAATGAAAATATTATTTTGAGCGATATTATTTATTTATTTTTTACAAAAACCAACGGAGATCAACTGTAATCTTTCTAATTACTTCCTATAAGTAAAATAAAAGTATATGGTAATGGAAAAATTTTCCGAGGACATGGGGAATTTTGCTCAACCCCGGGAAAAGAAAAGAAAAGAAAAGAAGAAAAGAAAGAAGCTCAAAAAACCAAGCCACGCCTTCAAAATTTCTCACATCCTCCCATACAATACAAATACGGACTGGATCCGATTCACGGATTCAGAGCCATCTCCATCAGGCGGGCCGGAATCCGATCGCACTTGCAGAGGAAACGGCCAGCGCTCCAATTCGCTACTTATTCAGTGGCCATCGATTCTCATTCCCCGAAGCACATGCTGCAATCTCCACGAGAATTTCATCAGCTCCGTCTCGATTTCGAAGGACGCGCCGCACCGAATCCAGCGAAAGCGGTTCAGTTTTCCGCCGTTCGTGGGAGGCGCAGGGATCACGTCGCGGACGGATGCTTGGGCGCCATTTCCGATCGCACCGCTGATTGAGAAGGCGCGGGTTTTTTTTTCTTCATTTCAGCTGTAAGCTGGTACTGAATTCGGCGATCGAAGGTCGGTTCTGGTGATGTCGGTGTAAGAGCAGCTTCGAATCGAGCCAAGCTCACATGGCGTCCACCAGCAGAAACGAGTCCGATGGAGACGACGAGCCGCAGGAAGAGGAGGTACGCTCGCGACGCGATCGTTCTTAATGCTTCGGTGTCAGGTTTTAGAACTTCTGGAACGATGCACCTCGTCGTCTTTCGTACTGCGTTAGTCTGAATTTCCTGAACAATGGGCCATTGCGTTGCGTGACGGTTTGCAGCCATAGGATAGTTTGTATTGCTTCCATCTTCGTGGCCCCTGCAGGATTAAGCATGTTCCTGCTGTGTTATTGTTTTCAGAACTCAAAATGCTAGTGCTACGGATGATTGCTTGGAGAGGCGGGCTGTCCGCATGGTTCTGTTAGTGTTGAATTCAGAAGGGTTAAGACAAATTAAGGCCATTGAGTTTCCGGAATAAATGAAGTTTATAACAGCATAAAATAACAGAATTACTGTAAAATCGTAATATTACGATATCGCTAGGTTCTTTTATATCACTACTATTTTTCGTGATGGTTCCATAGAGAAAAATGTCAATACAAATGAGTAGATTCTTAACTATTTATGTCTGTTTACCATGCAGCTTGAACGGTTTGATGATTTTACTCTGGCTTCTTCGTGGGAGAGGTACTTCAGACCGAAGACGTGGTCTATTGGTGCCAATGGACCTGGTTTCTTTGATGTATTACTGAAATCCAAATTACTAATCTGGTGAAATTTGATTGTCTCTAGATTTATATCCGACATCGAGGCTGTTTGTCGACAATGGATGGCCAATGGTCCAAAAAACTTGTTGGTATGTCCACTCGAAATATTAATTTTTTATTGTGTTTTGTTAATCCCAATGGTATGCATTGTTAGTCGCTGAACATTGTCAAAACTGGCAATGGAAAATATATTTGAGTTGTTATACTTGTAGCACCTGCTACTAATGGACTGAGTCACTGAAGCAATTGTTTCTTGTTGCTTAGATCGGGGCACTCTTAAGACTTAGTTTTAGCTTATGTTACCCCTCTGAGCGCTAAGGAATGTTCTATTTAAAAGTCGTTCATCATTGCATTTAGGGTTAAGCTCTATTCAAGTTCATACTGATTCTTAACACAATTAAAAATCCGTTGGTGTCACAAAGTATCTAGCAGAACAGGCATATGAGGACTTTTTGAATGGTTAAAGGATATTTGTCACTTCATATATCGATTTTGTCTCCGCTTAAATATATGCAGCAGTAAAGAATACTTTGCGTTAGAGGTAGTGATTGGTTTCTCTGAACATTAATATTTTTAGCTTCTATTCACGAGTTGGGACTAGATAACTTTTCCGAGTTTTGTGTAGCTTTGCCAAGAGAATACAATCTGATTTGTTGTTATGTAGAAAAAAGGTGCAGTTCACTTGGGTCCGTCTACGAACTTGTATAAAGTGAAGTCAGAGCTGAAGTATGCAATGAAAAGCTATTGCATGGAGTACCACTTCGAAACCAACAGTGATGGTAATTCAGTCTCTTTAATTGATTCAATGGCATGATGTTAATATGAATCCATCTTTATAATATCCTCGTAATGCAGGAAAAATAGCAGACTGGGATTGCTCTCTTCACGATCTGCAACTTTGTTTTGGTGTCAAAGACTTTTTGGTATAATTTGTCGTAGATCTTGCTGGCAAAATTATAACTATGCATCGCCTTATGCTTATGTTACATTGGTTGGATTATCAGGTCATCGCTCCTCAAAGTGTCAGCGGTGTCATTCTTGATGCTCCAGAGTCTAGTAAGCTTTTGAGCGCAGTCGCAATTGCTTTATCAAATTGCTCAAGGTGGGGATCCGTGATGAAGCCTTAAGTATACTAATACTAAGAAGCTCATGTGAAGCTCATTTGATTTCATTGTCAAGTTGTCCTCGAGCCACACTTTTCTAGACGTGGTATCAATTGGAAAAGTGCATAGTAAGTCTGAAACCTTGCGTAAGAAATGCAATCAAGTCCTAAACCTTTCAATTGGTTCAATTAAGTCCTAAACCTTTTTCAAAAGCGCAATCAAGTCCTTTCAATGAATAGTATCTAAATTTACCTACGTGTCACTTAAAAATTGCCTACATGGCATCCTTCATTGTACTTTTTAATGTAAGTTTTACGACTTCATTACATATTTCAATAAAGTTTTAGGACTTAATTGACAATTTATGTGTTTAGGACTTGATTGCATCTTTTGGTAATAGTTTAGGAATTTATTCAATCAATTAAAAAATTTAGGTCTCTATTGGAATTTGTACATAAGGTTTAGAACTTGTCGTGCAATTTTCCCTGGCACCAATATATAAGATTTGCTTCTCCTTGAACAATATGACTGATGCATATGCACTTATGACTCATTCTCATAGCATCTTACTTGGTGATGCACACTTCTCCTTCTTTCACTTCCCACTTGAGTAAGTAGACACTTTTTTAAATCTTTTCGACATCGGTAATGCAGTATGTGGCCAGCCTTTGTTCCTGTGCACGATCCTTCGAGGAAATCATATATTGGAATCCAAAGTATGGGAACAATTTTCACTAGAAGATTTGAGGCTGATCATATCAGCAGTCAGGTTCCTGTGAAATTGATGCATTTGGAAGGATTGTTTGAATTATTTGTTTCTAAATTTGTAAGTCCCCTTTTCATTTAGATAGTAAGTCTCTATTAATTTAATGTTGCTTACATTAGGCACTTTATTGCTTCTCTTTCTCATTTCGGTAATCTCAGGAATGATAAAACATATGACTTGCTATTCTCTCCACATGTGACGTTCCTTTGCATGAAAAATCTTCTCGAAGTTGAGTTATATTTGTGACTGTCCCCAATGGAATAGAGATGCCAGAATGATGTGATTTACTCATCGGAAGAAATTCCTGATATTTACTTTTGTAGGCCTATAATTTATGAGATATTATCTCTCTATGAAGGTTCATGCTTTTTATGTGCTCACTACTTTGTCGATTTTGGAGAAATACTTATCATTTTTGCTTTTGTGCCTTTCTAAGTTCCTTACCTTATACTAAGTAATTGGTGTGTCTTCTCATGTTGAAGGTCTATTCGACATTGGACTTCTCTGCACATTTTTTCCAAGTCCATTTCACAATGAAGCTAACTTACAAAACCATTTCTCATGATGATGATGATGCCACTCGTGGAGTGGATGCTGAATTTGTCGAATCTGGAGGGAGTCCTAAAGGTGACACTCACACCAGAACACAATGGGATGATGATTGTCCTTGGAGTGAGTGGTATTCTGCGGAAGACCCTGTGAGAGGTGCATTTCCAGTTTGGAAATCTTCAATGCTGTTATTTCATTTCAAATGGTTGAAATGTGAACCCGCTTTTTGATTCAGTGTCTTGACATTTGCTCTGCTTTTATCTTTAGAGCATTGTGCTCCAACAGTAACAAATCTTTTAGCATGCTCAAAGGATTATCCAGAGCTCTCTTCATTTTTCTTCTGCTTGTAGAGGTGCCAAAATATCTGGACATCAACATACGAGTAATAATTAGGTATTAGCATATGGGGAGCTAAAGATTTGATTCGAGTAGTTAGAACTCATGCTTTGAAGTCATTTTTTCATACCCAGAGACTACTCTCATTATTGCTGATTATGAGGAATCTCTAAGTAGCCTATGCAATCAACTGAATCCTCTTTGACAAGATCTATATTCAACAATTTCCCATGGACCTGCATACATGGTGACTTAAGAGCACTACTTGCAGTGTTCTTTTTGGGGGGGAGGGTAAAATGTACAAATGCAAGATATCTTAATATAGAACTGAACAGCTTTTTGTGCATATCGAAATGTCAAGCCCACTCGGGGTATTAACAAAGAAAGGCTGGCACTCATGTGGGATGGGGTTTGTCTTTAGTTGCTAATGGAATACTTAATATGTACGAACTCAAATCTAACCTGACTAATTGTGTCTATAGGAATTGAATTGGTCACCATATGGACCGACAAGATGGTTGAAAGTTCCTCAGAAATGGCAGAACTTGAGAATGCATCTCCTCATGAAGCTGAAAAGTGGATGTTATGTCCCAATATTCCTTCAACAATGTAAGAATCTACTTCTTTTGTTGTTGTAATAACTAGAGTTCTTTACTTTATGATCTATCTGTTTCGGGCTTTAGACACAGATTACGGAATGTATTGGTCAATTTTGGATTTGCCTGTAATCCTGATTTGGAACTGATGGTTTCAGAATTTAAAGGAGAATAAAATAAGAATACGCTTGTTTTTCATTTATGTGAAGGATTGAAGTTGAGGCTTGTTAGCAAGTCATGCTCCTTGACAATGAAAGTCCAAATATATTGATACAGACTACAGTTGTTCGACCAAAAAAAAGACTACAGTTGAAGTGTAACTTAACTGGATTACATTTCTAACCTACTTGTTGTGATAGTTACTGCACCTTGTATTTTATTTTAATAAAGTTATCAACATGTACTAATCAGCACACTTGCATTGTCATATTTGTTTCTTCTCGATGCAGTAACTTCAACTTGTGGTTTTACTTGGAAATATGGAACATAACATAAGTTGCTACTTGTCAAGTTCTGTTTCCTCATTATCCTCTACGCTAACGTTAATAGTTGTATTTTATGTGCCATTGCTGTTTGATGGGCCTATTGTTACAGTATTTAAATCATATTTATCACCTTGGAATCGCATTTGCAGCTTTAATTCACTTTTACAAAATCAAAGAATATCCAAACTACCAATCTTCAGAAGCTCTGGGATTTGTAAACTATTCAGTTTCAGAAGCTTTGCCTATCGTGTTATACTCTGGGATCACTTACGAGCTATTACTTTTTACCAGAAGTGATGGATCAAGAGCAAACGGTGTTGGATTTGCTTCTCAGTTGTCTTTGCTGGTTGATGCATTGAATATGTCTTTTGAGGCTCAATTTATGGAGGACTTTGTTTCTGGTTCGTCAGTTAATGCTCATTTAGTTGTAAAATCTACTCTGTTTGTTTTGCTAGAAATTATATTACTAAAAGTTTCCACTGTTCTGCTCCTCTCTCTCGTTTATTGCAGTGGAAAAGCCTGGTATGGATAATTTGAAGTCGTCGATGGTCATTCCTCCTCCATCAGTTGTTGACCGTTTGCTGAAAGAACTATTTCAAGATGGTATCCAATATTTCACGTGTGAAATCGTTTTTGTTCACTTTAATTTTCTTCTATCTTTGTACTATTTCTTTCTTTTCTTTTTTTTTTTTGGGGGGGGGGGGGGGTTATATGGTTTCTCTTGAAACTTGTTTGTCTACTAAGCATGATAATTACCTAGAAGATAGCTTAATATTTCAGTTCATCTTTTTGATTGATTAACACTCAAAGGAAAGGCATTGTAATAACACTTTAGACAGGTCAACATGCATAAATGAAATGAGTTATTTAAATAGGGGGAAAATAACATACATACAATCAGCAAGATGATCCACCTTCAAAGCCGTAGTAATATTTGATGGGATTGTTACAGGAGTTTGTATTTTGGGGTTGCTTGGTAATTTGTTACTTAATAGGACGCAGGTGGTTTTACTTTCTAGGTTGCAGTTTCAGCTGATTTTATGTTCACAGACTGTGAACTCAGCCGAACTGTCCATCTCACTAGTTTAGCTGATGATACAAAGTATAAAAGTCTTCTCTGTTGCAGAACATGTGATGAATTTGTTCTGGTTGGAGCCAGCTAGGATAGCTTGGGCTTAAACTTGAGGTAGATAATTGAGTCTATCAGTGTTACTGTAGTTTGAGCGCATTTCTTGTTTCTGTGCCTTTTTCCTTGATGGGCCAAAAGAAAAAAAAATGTAGAATAGATAGTGATGGGATGAGTTGCCTGATAAAACAGGTCCATAACTGCTTTTACTGAAAATATAATAAATTTATCCTTGTCACCTGCTTGGAGCTAGAAAACAACCAAAGGGGTGCATCTACATTTCTTCATGCTGCTGTGATTAATAAAAATTTCTTGATCTGAAACCACATATACTGGATTTCTGAGTCACTCTATACTTATTCTCCTTGCATTATCTGCAGGTGTTAAAGTTTCAGGTTTTAGAAAGAGCGAGCATAAGAACTCACGATTTATAAAGGGTGCACCTATTGAATCACTTTTTGCTCAGTTTTGTCTAAGCTCTCTGTGGTTTGGCAATTGTAACATTCGTGGTAAGTTCGAAGTTTATGTTGCACTTTGGTGAACGAAGTTACAAACAAACATTTTATAGAAGAAAGCATTACAAAAGAAAGAGATATTAGTTGTCAATAATTTGGTTCAGATTGTTGGGTGTCCTTTTTAATGTATTTCATCCTTCTGAAAAACGTCTTGTCAATGGTGTGTAGCCATTGCTTCATTCTGGATAGAATTCGTCCGGGAAGTTCGTTGGTGTTGGGAAGAGTCACAGCCATTGCCTCGAATGCCTGGTAGTGGTTCAATCGACTTATCGACATGTTTAATAAACCAGAAATTACAAATGGTAATAATTATTGCCATTAAATGGAAATCTTTTTCTTGTTTAGTTTTTCCTTCTGTAAGCTTATGTTTTAAAGTTCCACACATTGTATCTTTTAATATTCACATTCTTTGCACTGTAGTTTTGTTATGTTCCTTAATCATGTTAGTCGGATTATATTCCCCATTTGTACATTGAGACTATCCAGAACAATTTGATTTGTAACATGGATTGGATTAAATCTAGAATAATTATCGTGTGCCATAGAGATGAGTTAACATGAGGCACTCGCTGTGAAATTTGCATGGTTATCAAATACACTGGTAGTTAAACATTGGAGGTCTATGAAGCAATCTCCCAATAATCTTTGCACTAAATATTATAACACTGATGATACGAACTCTTTCCCATTGGTGTGCAAATTTCCTTTAGAATTTGCTCTTGGCATCCATAGCTAGTTTTGAACTTTTAGATGTGTTAGAATAATTAAATATTAAACTACGTTCGTCTAACAGCTTAAGCTTTTAGAATAGTTGGCAGTGATTCCACCAAATTTCACATGGTATTAGAACTGGGGGTCCTGTGTTCGAATCTTTTTAAGCCCCATTTGCCTTTCCAATTAAATATATCCACGCTTAGTACTAGGCAAAAAGACCAGTTTAAGCGTGAGGGGGAGCGTTAGAATAATTAAATGTTAAACTACGCCTTCGTCCAACAGCTTAAGCTTTTAGAACAGTTGGCAGTGGTTCCACCAAATTTCACAAGATGCAACTTGCAAGTGCTTTTCTATGAGTGATGCTGTCACGATACCTTGCTCTTATAGACTATTTTTTTAACTCTTCCTTACTGCCTTGGCTTTTCTAGTTTATTAAGACATTGTCCATCTTTTGTGACGTTTGTATTACTGAGAACAAGTAGATCCCTTTTGTGATGATAGCAGACCTTTTTACTCTGAAGCATTCTTCTCAAGATGGAAAAACTATGCAGTGTTAATAAGCTCACTTTTTGCTCATATTTTTTATATTTCCATTTCTTTTATAACTCAATTATCCCAGACTTTTGAAGTTTTTTTAAGGTTAGGTTTACTACTGGTAATTATTTGCTGTGGCTTTGATCTTGTGCTTCAGTTTCATCTTTGCTGCTGCTTTTGTTCATTCATTCATTCTTTATTTTTCACATAAACTGGGCTATTATTCTATATGTTGAGGACATATGATCAAATTGGGGAGAAAGTATATTCTGCATACAATTGTCCTCATATTGTTGGTAGATAATGAGGTTAAAATTGTTCAACTTTGCTGCTTTGACATCCAGCTTGCAATATGCATTGAAAAGAAGCAACAACTGAATGAAGAGTATCATGATTGTATCGGAAGTGAAGATGGTCATTCAGTAATCATGGTGAAATTTCTATAGCATTTGGTGCTTCTTTTGTCTCATTTCACTAAATTATGATATTCTTGTTCTTGTCAATGAAATGTCCTCCTCATGCTATGAACAGGAAAATGATCAAGTTGTGGAAGACTCATGGAAAACACCGGACCCTGGCGAACACTTTGATGAAAAATGCGACAGGTGAAGTGAGCAAGTGAGGGATGCTTCTTGTTCTTCTTATCTGCTAAATATCTGTCTTTCAGAATAAGGCTCTGCAGGTTTCCTTTATGTACTTGTACTATCATTAAAAAGTGCATCGTCAAGCTTTAGCTTGATCGGCTAAGGTTAAGACTGTGCACTGCTCCGTTTATAAGGACAATATATTTGACCAACACTCTTCAAACAATGCGACAGTTTTGGTACCTTCATGCTCTTGTTTTGGGTGAGCTTATGGTTGATGGATGTTCCTAACATAAAGGCTTGAGTTTTAAAACTAATAAATGCACCTAAGTCCTGAGGTCTCTGCAGAACTACTTTGGATAAACATGACTGAATTGTCTTTTCTGAAATAGTTCTCTAAGGTTGTGCCCGATTTTTAGGCAAGCGTGCATATTTTAATTTGTTTAGCATATTTTGCTGTAAGCCGTCACTCAACTTTCCGAAATCCTAGTAATTTTAGTTTCTTGTAGTAAAGCCTGCTTGCTCTCCCTCTATTCTAATATTCCGTGTATATTCTTCTTCTCATCTTGATCCATTCGATGTGTTTGTAGTTTGTACATTTTCTTTTTGAGTCGGACCTATTTATGATTGAATTGTCTGTTGATGTCCTTAATTGTGTGGTTAACTTACTTCCATTATAGCTGTAGGATAGATGTTGTATGAGATATCTCGAATCTCTTAATAACTACTAGGGTTATGGGTGATGTCATCTGAAATATCAATGCTAAAGCAAAGGCTGCAAAGTATTAAGTCCATACAAAAGGGGTGTGTAGAAAAAGTTGTCCGAGTGCGTTTGATGTTTATTTTAGATCCTTCTATTTTGGTAATTGGCAGATGACAAATTTAGCAGTGCTGTGCGTGCAGAGAAACTATGTATTTTTAGTATTCTGTTAAATCTAAAAAACGTATGTTCAGTTTGTTGGTTCCCAAAACAATTGTTCCTTCTTATGAAGGCTAGCAAAAGCTGAATGAATTAAGAAGTATGAATGTCCTTAATTAACTTATGATCTGGTTAACTGGGATGATAGATTGGAAATGTAACAAGCAATCCGGTCTTATCTTCTCTTATTGGGGGAAGATATTTTCTATTTCACCACTAAACTTTCAGGTAAAGCAGCTAGTTGATGGGCTTTTATGAAGGATGATTTTTTTCTTAAAGCAACATGTCGTCGTTACACTTGATTTGAAATTTACATACAAATAGCTGTTATCAGAAGCATGTTCTCAGTTGTCATCCAATGCGCACATTTTTACTTTAAATTTTTTTGTTTATTCTGACAGTCCTTCAACACCATCCAATTTTCACAATTCTGTAATTAGTGGGCCAACATATGGTACTAAGCCAGATGATTTCACACCTTCTTCTGATTCTAAATCTTCCGATTATATGAGGAGGGGTTCTGCTGGTGTGGTGGGTCCAATGATGCTTCTGAAGTCACATCAAAGCATGCATGCCCCGTTCACGCAGGTTTTTCAACATCTTGGACTAATTGGAACTCATTGCATTGGGTTAATTGTAACTTTTGTAATGACATGGTTGGAAATCTTGCATTACCTTGATAGGAGGCACCGCTTATGACAGAAGATATGCATGAAGAACGAGTGCAAGCTGTCGATGCTTTTGGTGATTCCTTTGTAAGTCTGTGCTTAAACTTTCAGTGACAAGTTCCCTTGCTCATTTATTCGGCTGCCTGCATTGTGAATATCCTCTTGAGATCCTTAAATTATCTGGAATGTTAGCCTGCCCTTATATACCTTCTTCACGTGAAGACCCCTGAGTAGCTCATTTTGTCAGATAGTTTGTCTAGCTGTACGTAAAGGCAACAAAGATGGAATTGATACAGTTAATTGTAGTTCTTGACAAGTTTCGTTGTACCTAAGGTAGAAACGTGTCTAGTGTTAATAGGGGTTGCCATCTTGTTTGTCTGCACCGTGATCTGGTAACTGGAGAGTCTGAGCTTGTTGCGCCTGCGTCTATTTCAAAAGTCAGTTTTCTTTTTACAAGGGTGAAAATAATTTGTTTTGGCTTTTTGACTCCATATTGTACAGTGGAAACACCTCTTTTGTTTCCTATTTTGGACTTTAGCTCCACGGAACAATATGTTACTGCTGAAACAAGTAAGAGTTGAAATGGTAGATCAATGAGAATTCTAAAAGATTGAAATTTTTTTATATTTGTCTTAATCAGTTTATCAATGAATCTTGCATGTTCATATTTTTCCATATTCCAATTTCCAAATCAATCTAATATCTTTTCCTCATCTAATTGCAAAATTTGTGGATTAAGTTATCTTCTGTTTTATTTACAGAGTTTTTCTGCTCAGTTGGAGAAAGAGATCTTATTTTCAGGTATTTATCTCCTAATAAAGTGTTCTCCGTGGATTGGTACAAATAAGCTTGAAAATATATTGACAAATTTCTGACCTTGTATAATGAATATGAACATTCATATAAACTTAATGAATGTCATTTACCATGTATACTGACATTAACCAGCTGCTGTTGAATATCTTTGATGAAAAATCTGAGGATTTCATTATGATATTTTGTATGAATGCAAGACATTGAATGGATGTTAGCAAATGAAATGTGTAACTAATTAACATGCAAAATTGGGCAATTGGAAAATATTGTTTCTATGTTGGGAGAGGAGAATTTATCTCAAAATTTCATTGTCCTCATCCTGCTGACAATGAAATCCAATTGCTCTTGAAAAAAATTACGTGCACTCAGGGTTAGTGTTAATCATGCATCGAATATCCGTGTCCAACTGTCATCACGTTCTCACATCAAATTTTAGGTGTATTTTTTCGATTGCAAGTACTTTCATAGCATGACAACTTTGAGTTCGGAATCCTTTTGAATTTAATTTTTAGTCACTATATAATGGCTAGTCACAACATAGCGGCGTACATTGAGCTCCTGCACGGAATATATTTGTAAAGTTGGAGGTGTTGACTCCACTTATACTTTCTCTTTAATGTAGTAATTATGGCATATAATTGGTACTAATGATCTGAAAATGCTGCGTAGACATGTCGGCATTCAAAGCAGCAAATCCAGAAGCTCTTTTTGAAGATTTTATCCGATGGCATTCACCGGGAGATTGGGAGACAGATGATACTCTAAAGAGTGAACCATCCTCAGGTTTTGCTTCTGTGGGTTCAAAAGATGATTGGCCTCCTCAAGGACGGCTTTCACAGAGAATGTCTGAACATGGAAATCTGTGGCGGAAGATTTGGAATGATGCTCCCGCTTTGCCAGCTTCTGAACAGAAATCTCTCCTTGATCCAAACAGAGAAGGAGAGAAGGTAACTTTTCCTCAAGGAAATGATGGAATGCTCATTTCGCACTTTGTAGGCACGACCTTTTTTCTGGCATGAGGGAGGTTCCTTTTGAAGTACTTCCTGGTTGTTCAAGGATGCAATGTTGAAACAATTGTTTAGTGCTCTTAGATAAGTGTTCTCAATAGTTTTTTTGCTGATGCAATGAAGCATGTCAAAATAAATAAGGTGGATTGCACTTGGATTATTGTGCTTAAAAGAATATTAAATCTGATTGCTAACAAAAGAATGTGAAATCCCAGAGTGATTTTGAACTTCTCGACATGTGCTTACCTTGCATATCTCGTCAACCTTTTTCTCGCCAGCTAAATCATGGGCAGATGTCAGTAGCTTAACTGCCAAAGATAATAACCTCTCAGTATCGAACTATTAGAAATTCTCCGTATCTTTTCGACATCAAATAATATTCTAAATGTCGTGCTTAAATTGTTTCCATAGCTGGACCAAAAGAACAAAAGGATGTATCTTTTTGGCTGATGAACTCAGTTTTAGCCCCATTCTAAGTTGTGCTTTGTTTGTGCCTTATCATTGCGTTTGGTTGCATAGATCATCCATTACCTGGAGACAATACGGCCCCACCAGCTGCTTGAGCAAATGGTCTGCACCTCCTTCAGGGCAGCAGCTGATACATTAACCCAAACTAGTTTTGGAGGTTTGAAGCAGATGCTGACCAAAACAGATCAACTGTACCGTACCATGGCATCTATGCTGAAACCTTTGCAGGGTATGTTTCTACTGTTTCCTTTTGTCCGTTTTCCTCTTTGCATTGGGCCATTTTACATTGGATAGTTTGTCCCTTTAGTCTGTAAACCAGAATAACATCCGGCTTTATTTTCATTGTGTTCTTCAAAAAAATTTCGACCGAAGTTTATTTTAATTGTTTGCTTTCACGTATCTTTACATTCTCATGATTGCTTACAGCTTTCATACTTTTGCAGCCAATCGCTTGTCCGCTGGTAGTGAGGCAATCGAAGATCTAAGGCGTTTAAGCATTGTTTTTGGACATGTTGAGAAGTTACTAACTATAGCTGCGTCGCTTCATCGGAAGTTTCTGCAAGCACCATCCATGTCAGAGGCTATTTTTGCCAGCTATTATGAATTTTATTCAAAAAGAATGGGGACAGGTTCAGTAGAAGAAAATGGAGATATGGTAACATGCTACTAACCAATCAGTTTTTATTTTCCGACGGCTGTAGAGTTCCAGTTAAGCACAATTAAAGAAAATGAAGTCTGGCTAGTAGATTTAATTCAGTGTCTGGTTGAACTCACTACAAAATTTTTCTGAACTATCTTTATTGTGGAGCAACATCCTGAGCCTCTTTCATTTTGCGCAGGAGTTCAGTATGAAGCTTCAGGTGAGAAATCATGAGAGGCCGATCGTATCAAGTATGTTTGTTCCACCAACTGTCAATCAATCATGGAGAAAAGTTCTAAGCATGGGCAATCTTCTCAATGGCCATGAACCGATCGTCAGGGAGATAATATTCTCCAAGCGTGATCGAGTGAGCGGCAATCACTACGCAAGCCACACTCCTAGAGGTTACAGCAAAGAAATAGAAACATATCGAATGTACATAAGTGGAACCTCAAATGATCTTCGTGTAGCGCTTTCTGTCGCCTCATGTGATTAGTCTTTTCTCCATGGGGGCCGCTCTATATTCTCCATTTATTTATCTGGCTGTATCCTTACTGTCATTTATCCACCCATGGGATGAACTTACTCGACCATTGTCATTTCACATTCATTTAGATAGGACACAATTAATCACTCTTTGCTATCCTTATCTGGAAAAAACATGTCTAGTTCGTAAGATTGTAGGTTCTGGTACCGTTTTGAATCATGATTATTCTCTTTTGGCGGTAAGATCAGAATTTCTTGCATGGTAGTGTAGATCAGGACACCTTCAATCTTGAAAGCAACTAGGTGGGCCTGAAATGATCTTTGGATGGTCTAAAGATGAATGCTTCTTATTTCTCAGACACAGCTGTAGTATCTTGACCTTGCGTGGCATTTAGGATGGTCTAGAGATGAATGCTTCTTATTTCTCAGACACAGCTGTAGTATCTTGACTTTTCGTGGCATTCTAGACCTTTTCTTGATTTTTGTCTTACATGTTATTCATATCGGAGCATTTGCCTTCGTTCGAGCCTTCGTATGGTCCAATCTTACATCTCCGTCACTTGGGGCCCGGACTGCACTCCGAAAGTTGAAGCCCTTGGATGGTTTAGAACAATGGATACGGACAGATTGGAATGACCTCTTCGTCAGTTATTCATTCCACAACCTAGATATATACATCTGTCTATAGCTATAGTGTTAATAGGCTCCCGTGATTATCACTTGAACGTGACATGGCCTATCTACACCATATTTCTTGGCAACAATTGGCGTGCCTTTTCCTTTAGGTTAGACATCTTAAGCGAGGAGCCCGGGACTAGAGTATGTTAGTTTAGGGGGCGTTTGGCAACTTGCCAAATAGTAAAAATTTCTGTTATTTTGTTCCCAGAATCAGTTTGGAAGCAGAAATCCGTTTGTTAACATTTTTGTGCCCGGGCATAAATTTGCAAAAAATTGTTTCCAGAATTAGTTTTGGAACAGAATCAAGAAGCAAAAAAAAGTAGCTTCTTGATTCTGGAACAATTTTTCCATTTCTGATTCTTCTTGATTTTCTTCTTTCTTTTTTATTTGTTCTTCATCTTTTTCCCGGCCCACCGCCGGCGATCGGCAACTGGCGACTGGTGACGGCGAGGTCGGCCTCGCCAGATCTGGGCGAGGTCGAGCCTTGCCCGGCCAAGGCGAGGCTGACCTCACCGTCGCCGTCGCCGTAGCGAGGGGTGGCGACGGCCAGGTCGACCTCGCCTTGGTCGGGCGAGGCTCGACCTCACCGTGATCTGGCGAGGCCGACCTTGCTGTCACTGGGGATGACGATGGCGAGGTCGAGCCTTGCCCGGCCATGGCGAGGCCGACCTCGCAGTCATGAGGGGTGGCGACGGCAAGGTCGGCCTCGCCTTGGCCGAGCGAGGCTTGACCTCGCCGTGATCTGGCGAGGCTGACCTCGCCGTCGCGACCGGTGGTGAAGGCCGCGACGCCCTCGCCGGGGACCGGCCATGGCCAAGGAAAAAAGAACGAAAGAAATATTAAAAAATTCAAAATATTATTAAAATATTATTAATAAAAAAAAATTTTGTGTAGTTACCAAATGCATTTTTATTCTTTTTCTATTCTAAAAATAGAAATTTTGGGCAGTTACCAAACGCCTTCAAATGTTTAGAAATTGTTCCCGGGTATGGAATAAAAAAGAATCATTTCTGAGCATAATCTGTTCTCGGATACAAAATGGTTGCCACGCGTAGCCTTAGCGTATAGAAATAATAATCTGATGATGTTAGAAAGGAACACTTTATACTGTATGACTATGAAAAGTATTCAGAATTTGATGTCATTGTGCAACTCAGGGAGAGAGAGATGCGATTGAATGGAAAAGTTACAATTGCTTGGCAAAGTTAATGGTGAATCCAGGATGGGTCCAACTGAAGCCATAAACGAATGAATCCAATGCTGTTGTCCCGCTCAATAATTATTGTCCTGTCAGAAAAGCAGAAACGGATGATTCAACTCGATACTGCCAATTTCTAACCAAGACTGTCATTGACTATCGTGGGAGATTTGTGGGATCCAAAGCGGATTGATGAGGGCCGAATGAGGATCGGCACCTTATAACGAAACGCGGCATTATATTTCTTAGGCACGTGCCCTAGAATTTTCTAAGAGCTCGTTAGGTAACTGTGATATCTCCCACCAAACTGGATTCAGGCTCCCCTTTCCATGTCATTTTCGTGGGTTTCAACGCGAAAATTGTCTCTTTCGGGGTTCTATTTTCTGAGACACATCTCTTTTTCAGGGTCTATTAGTAAAAACTACACTCAACCTCACGATGGAGGACAAATATCCCGATCTTATAGCTCCAATGGTAATTGGTACCGTCTAAGGAGACCACAAATAATACAGCCGCTTGTGTAGACTAGGGAAGAGCAGTTCTCGATCCGATCCGGTCCAACCTAAGAATCGGGAACCGGACCGGTTTCCAGTTTCTAGGACCGGAGACCGGACCGGCTAACCTTGGGACCGTGGACCGGTTCTAATGAGATCAATATTATTTATAAACTGGGAATCGATTGTTCCATTCTTTCCTTTGTAGTTTTGATTTGATCCCATAAGGCCATGTAAAAAATTGAAAAAATATATATAATATATGAAAAATTTGAACAATCGATTTCAATGGGACCAATATTAAATATTTTTCATATATATATATATTAAATATTATATATATGAAAAAATTAGAAAAATATATATTTATCAGTCCGGTCTGGTTCCCACTTTAGAACAGGGAACCGGATCGCCCGGAAACCATTTCCACTTTTAGGAACTGGGAATTAGACCGATATTTTCGAGAACTGGACCAAACCGATCGGTCCGGTCCAGTCCGGTCCCGGTTTGAACGGTCTATATTGCTCGCCTGTAGTGTAGACGGTGACAACAGAAGCTGCAAGATGAAGATTTTTCACTTTGCGATTATACTAAAATAACCGAACGAAGATTTACGGCACTGCTCTCTCTCTCTCTCTCTCTCTCTCTCTCTCCCCATCGATCCTTCCGGTATCAACTCCATTTATTTGTTTTTTTTTTCTTTTTTTTTTGGGTTCCAGGTCGGGAGTTAGGAGGTCATTAATTACGTAATTTGCAAAAAAAAGGGATTGATAAAAAAAAGAGGGTAAAACAATGGGGGCCATGAAAGTGACATCTTTTGTCCCGAGCACAGAGGGTCCTAGAGAAAAATCTTGAAGGCCAGGCGTCACGTATTGATCCGCCCATCAATATGACTTATGTAATGTCAAATTCTGATGGCACGAAGAGAGCCTTAAGCAACATTGTCTTCTCCATCGATGGTACATGAATACGAATCGTCTTGAAAGCTAATTCTTTCTGGAGCATGTCCAAGGGGGGATTCTTGGTCGTGAAACTAAAGTCAGAATTCATTTAAGAGAATACTTACTCGCCCTGAAACGCTCGAATTTGAGGTGGAGCAGCTGCTCGGCTTTTTGTCGAATAAGAGTACCCTTTCCCTGACCATAAGGAGGGGCCGAAGACAGAGCTAGTGATGGGAATAAAGCGGTAACAAGGTACTTGTACTAAAAAAATGTGGCTCAAAATTTGGTGATGAATTTTATTCAAACGATTCAGAATCAGTGTACGCCATATACATACCGTGGAGATCCTCGCCAGGGCTTCCCCACAAGTCAACTCTCAATGGTGAAATTGAACTGAAATCTAAGGTGGAAGTACTTACGATGGGCTCATCGAAATTTTACGTTTGATCTAATTGATGGCAAAATATGCTTTCTAAAATAATAACATTCATAAAAATCTTGACAAACGCCCAACAGCTATGGGGTGGCGGGGCGGTCGCTGCCCATCTCTCTTTATTCTGCCCAGGAATCGGAAGGTTTCAAATTTAACAAAAAAAAAAGAAGAAAATCTTAAAAATAGAATTTTAGGCAATTGGGAATTTTTATAAAGAGCGCACCCCCACGTACCGTACCCTTCAATTAATTTTCTATTGGCTAAAAAGTCCGAAATTCATCAAAACTTCCAAGCGGTCAATTCACGTCAGAGGGGCAAGAGATTGATTGCTCAATTATAATATTCGTGCCTTATCCTTTCGTTCGGCATTAGAAGCTACACCTGCAAAATAGTGTTCTTTCAAGGGTGTCGATTTTCTTATTTTAAAAGTTTTCATGGATCATCACGAAAAATGCTCCGTGTCCCAGATCGCGATAGTGTACCTCAAAGAAAGCATTATATAAATATATAATCGCAGCATCTTTTCTTGAGACTCAATGTACTGAAAAGACACTCTAGACGTGAATCTATTTTCTCATAGATTAGACAGCTACATACGGTAATTTGATAAACCACGTCGGCACTATTTACATAGGACATCACGAGCAACCGATTGCAGCTGTCCCAGTATCAAAATTAATCACCTATCGAGCGCCTTTACTTAATCACAGCACAAAAATCCTAATTACGTGTTGCACTGATCTTCTAAAGATTCGGCATGATTAGCTGAAGATCCCACAGAAAATCCAACTTTGGAAAAGCACACGTAAGAGAGCATATAGATGTGTGGCTGTGTCAATGCTGATGGCCGTATTATGATGGGGGACTAAGCGATAGTGCTGGGAACCAACCGCAAGATATCTCGGACTCCCAGGCTGTGCTGAATGGTTGTCAAAACGGATATTTGAATTTCTTACGCGACGTTAAACAAAATTAGCGAGGATCTTATTAGCTTAGCTCTAGCTAGCTAGTTTAATTTGATGCAAGATGCTGTCTCGGATTGGATACGCTGTCATCGTTAGAAGATGAGTTATATCTCCCGTGTTAACGAGCTCATTCTAGCTCTCTTGATTTGGATCTTTCATTATGCAAGTGCGAGGGATTAGTGTACAAGTATGGACTTTTGATGAAGAGCGCATCGTCTCCCCCCCGAAAAGAAATCGCTCGGCTTGAACGTTTATCATTGTTCCCCCAAATTCCAATGGAATTTCAGAGGAGTTTTTGTCTTGTTAGGAAGAAACTTTGTGGACAAGGTCATTTCTGGTACACATCAGGAGGTGACGGCAGGCGAGTTTTTGTTTCTTGTTTTTCCTCTTTGGGTGTACAAGAAAAATAAGAAAGAAAGATGAGTAACATTTCGTTTGGCCCGAGTAAAAGGCCAAAGACTTTTCCATGATCCCTCTCCCATAAAGGCCGCAACTCACCTTCTACACAATCAAAAAGCACTCCCAAGTCGCAATGACAACCGAACAATTCTCGCAAGGAAAAGCCCAGAAAAGTTCTAAGCATATTGAATTGATGATAATTGATTTCTAAATTTTTTTGTTGTGTCAATTTAGTCAAAAACATTTTGATATAGTACCGATTCAGTTTTTTCGATTAATTTTGGCCGAATATTGCCGACGTGAGCACCGGCCGGCCTATGTGGCACTGCGATGCTAATGTGGACAATTTTTAATAATATTTTAATTTTTCCCTTTCTTTTCTTTTTTCCTTTCTTCTTCCTTTTGCCGGTGATTAACCACCAGCTATAGGCAATTGCGGGCGGACTGGCCTCATCTGGGCGAGGGTCACAGTCACTCGCAACATGTGAGGCCCGGCCAGGTATGGGTGAGCCCCGGCGAGGGCTCCCCTCGCCAGATTTGTCGAGGTCGGCCCTCGCCCAGCCCAAGGTGGCCTTGCTAAGTGTCACATTCGCATGCCAGATCTGGCGAGGGAAACCCTAGCCGGGGCTCACCCTTGCCCGGCCGAGCCTAACCTGTGGCGGGCGACGATGATGACCCTCGCCTAGGCGAGGCCAACAAGCCCAACCATGGCCGTTGGCCAGTCACCGGCAAAAGGAAGAAGAAAGGAAAAAAAATAAAAAAATAAAAGAATAAGAAAAAAAATCAGAAATTTGTCTACGTCAGTGTAAACGGTGTCACGTAGGCTGACCAACATTCATATCAGCTATATCTAGCCAAAATTAGTCGAAAGAATTGAATTGACACTAGGTTAAAAGGTTTATGACTAAATTGACATAAATGCAATCGGTTTATGACTTTTGCGACACTTTTCCCATTCTAACATTGTTCAGTTCATGTTCCGAAATTACACCTTCTGAGATCGTGCTAGACATATCTTAATTATTTCCAAATCCCATCGATTCATTTCATCCTTACAACTCCAGTGGAAACTATTTGCATTGGAGGGTAGAATCAATTCCATCGGATTACTAGACCCCACAGGACACCTATAAGATTTGACGATCTACATCTATTGAGGTTCGCATTAATAACCATACATGGCGGTTTTTCCACTCAAACTTGATGAAAGTACTTAAACCTCACTACGACTAATTCATGGTTAGGCAGCATCAGTTTTTTGACTGCTCACGAAGATAATCTAACATTGCTTCTTATATGAACGGTGACTAAATGTGACAGAAGATAGCGAGGCGTAAGCTTTTGTTAATAATGGAATGTGGGCTCTTGATATCACTCGATGAGCATCCAAAAGAGACGTGGGTTGTCAAGGACATGACAGATAAGTCACAGCAATTTGGGATGGGGCTAGGAATTGAGTGCTCAAAAACCTTCTCTCAAAGCGTTCGTCCAGTTGATGTCAAGGATTAAGGGCGGTGGGTTTCACCACTAAATCACAGTTTTGCATCATCATCACATGCTGATTAAAAGAACGAGGAAATGTGGGCTCACGCATGCTGTAATACATCCAATCTCGTACACCATTCTTTCCTGCCAATGTTTTTTATATGCTTCCATTCGTTAGTCGTCTTAAACGTCTCTCGTTCTACCACCGTCCCATCATCAATCCTTCTCTCTTCTTTCTCATTTCCTTGCTTCCCCCCATCAAAACTCTCTCTCACCAGAGGAAAAAAATAAAGAAAGAAAAGGAGGCAGACGATCAGAGAGCGAGTCGTTCCCGTGAAAAGATCCACTTATCAGCAGCCTCTCCTTTCATGTTTTTCACAGAAAACGATTCTCTCCAACTGTCGGTCCTATAAACTGGTAAAGAGAGCGAGTAACACGAAAGCCAGCAATTCACACATACAAAGATCGTTTCTATTCACATCACCGATCACTGATCCGTCATGGATTCGGCATCCGGCGCCGGAGCATCGCCGCCTGACCCGCTCGGTGTACTAGTAGTTCCCACAAACTCGACAACCCGTGAAACCATTCCGGGACCGTCATCGCCGCCGCCGCCAGCAGCAGCAGCATCCCAACCAAGCAGGTACGAGTCGCAGAAGCGGAGAGACTGGAACACCTTCTTGCAGTACCTCAAGAGCCACAAGCCTCCGCTAACACTGGCCCGGTGCAGCGGGGCCCACGTGCTGGAGTTCCTCAAGTACTTGGACCAGTTCGGCAAGACCAAGGTCCATGTCAACGGCTGCCCCTTCTTCGGCAACCCCAACCCGCCTGGCCCCTGCGCCTGCCCTCTCAAGCAGGCCTGGGGAAGCCTCGACGCGCTCATTGGCCGCCTCCGGGCTGCCTTCGAGGAGAACGGTGGGCGGCCCGAGTCGAACCCGTTCGCTGCGAGGGCGGTCCGGATATACTTGAGGGAGGTCAGGGAAAGCCAGGCCAAGGCCAGAGGGATTCCCTATAAGAAGAAGAAGCGGAAACGGCCCGCCGGCGTCACGGTGGCAGTGGCGAAGGTCACGGTGGGGAATGTGTCTGTGGCCGCTGGGAGTGATCAGGTAGGAAGTAGTGGAGGGAGCAGCAAAATGATTAACAACAATTCAGTGGCTGATGATCATGATAATGCTGGTGCGGGTGTGATATTATGACTTGTTAGCGTAGGGGATGCTCTTGTGGATCATCTGGCATCACCCCAAGTAAAGATTTAGTGCTGCAGATTGTTCTTGTGCGCATTCATTCGGTAAGATTAATTACCTTTTACTCCTGCAACTTAGCTCATTCAGTTTCTGGTTTAAGTTTTCTTCAATTCTCAAGGTTGCAGAGGTCAGATCATAGTCCAACAATCTAATTAGTGTCCGATGCATTTGGATTCGTCAAACGATCCAACTTGGAAAAAAATGCTAGGCAAGTAAGTTCTAATGTTTCCATCTTCTAAGGCAGCAACATGGGTTCAATCGTGCTGATTCAGCCATCCATCATCGATCTGGTTTAGCTTAACCTTTTCATAAGACGTAAATGAACAGGTGACCAAGAACCCACATTTCTGTTATGGTAATAAGATAGACGGAAAACGCTCGCTAGCTATGAGGACAGCCAACCTAAATTAACCCTTGCCCTGTTTGCTGTGTCTTGTTTCAATAGTAGAAACCAAGACACTTGGATAAACGACCGGTAGCCAATCATTGCCTCCAAGATTGCACATTGGATGTTAACGAAAATGTCCATTCTCTCCAGTTTAATCTTAGATAGAAAACCAAGATTGCACATTTCTCTAACATTATCCTTCATTTTATTCTAATCTGCTCTTCCAAGAAGATGCTCCCGTCAGTCACTCCCCAGCAAGACGTAAAATGAGGTTCTCGATATGATCGACTTCTCGAGTGAAGTCTCCTATCCAATTGCATTTATATTATACAGCCTATCGTGACTATATTACTATGTTGATGTAACTCCGATAATAACATTCTCTCTAGTTTAATCTTGTCTCGGCATCGGGTCGCTCTCGCTCTTCTGTCCCTTTTGATGTTAACGAAAATGTATAATCAGTCGCGAATGTGACTTCTTCTGGCTAATTAACAGTGCTACTCTTCCTTTCGTATTCAAACTCACCTAATCTCTCATTGGCTTCTACTCATTTAAAACCTTACAATGATTTGAGTTCTTTATAATATCCTCTGCTTTCCCTCCCTCTTTTTAGTGCATTTGTTGGCCTCTCGACGTGTTTTTTTTTCTTTTTTAAACTTATCGTCTTGTATGTTTCCCGGTTCCAATGAAAAAGAATGTCCACTCCTTCATTCTTGTACGTGGATTTGTAGGAACTTCAGTACAGGAGACAAGCAGGATCTTCACCTTCCTTTGTTGGAGGATCTCCTTAAATTTGATTACATCTAGGAGCGTTGAATTGCTTGTCTGTCACAAAGAGGAAGGCATATTGGACAATGTTTAAATAGGCTTTTACTTTCTACCTTTTGCTTTTAGTTTAATCTAAATCTCACGAGGAGCACATTTTGACTCTTCTTTGTAGTGAGAAACACCCGAAACTTTTTGTAATATGTAAATGTTAAACCCGTAAATGCACATATAACTTTCTTTTGATATAATTTGTTTTAAATTTAGATAATATTTGAAGTTTTGGTGGGAAAGCAAAACGTTAGGTTAAAAAATAAAGAACAAAAACTCAACCAAATAGGCAAGATCCATAGTTATTCGGCTAGTCTGATTAAGAAGATGAGATAGATGGCCATGTTAGAAGGGGCTTTGGCTCCTGTGAAACTGAAGAAACGGAGGGATTGGGGATTGTACTATTTTCAGAATCATGTCTCGTGATTTAAAAGATTAGCTGTCATCACAATGTTAATCATTGATGACGAAATCGTTCTAGAAGAACCAATTATGATATCATATCTTAATCATAAAACAAAGTGAGTGCGGTGCCCTTGATTTCACACGGACCACTGAGCGAGCTAGCTCTATGTTAATATTTATGCCCCCACCTTTCATGATTTGTTTTTATGATGTCACAATGCAACGAGACTGAGACCCACTCCGGACTGTCTTTCGCATTTCCCAAGAGAGGCTAATGCCTCGCGCTTAGCTTCTTGAATGGATTTTACGAGACAATTATATAGATTCAACCTTACGATTGGTCCATCGTGATCCGCGTAAAGATGATTGAAATCAGGCTCAGTAAGTGAACGAAATCGAAATCGAAAGTTACATTTACCCTTAACAGTGGTCTGTCTTTGAGATTTTCTTGGATGGTCGATCTGTCGTTTGCGATGAACAAAGAAAGGAGTTCCTCAATCATTTCGGAATATGAGCTCGTAACCTTAGGATACCTTGGCAATTCAATGCTGTTCTCGCCACTCACGATTTACCATAGAATGATTCATAGAATGAAGTGCGAATTTTGATAGGTGCAGGTGCTAATAGCTAGCTCATTGAATATTCAACAATTAGTGGGTCGAAGATGGAAGGGCAGGAATGATAAACAGCTTATTGGCGAAGGATCAAGAAAAGAGAGAGATGATCTTTCTCAAAGATTTCGAGTGCATGTGGGTCAAATATCCCAAAACGTATGTAGGTTAAGCAATTATGGGCGAAGGAAGTGAGAGAAATTGGACATGTACAGTGGAAGTACGTGGGCTACGCCAACAAGTGCCGAGAAGATCGCATGTCATGTTATGTATCTGCACTAATCAAAGCTACATGTTCACATCCCAAAGCATCCAATTTCTCCTCAAAGTTTAGCCTTCACTCGCAACCAGGCAAGGATAGAAGAATATGGAGGCAGCCGTCCACTATGCAATCACTCAATTCTAAAATATGTGGACCATATAAAGATATAAACAAAGTCAAGATCAGTGAAACACCACAGCCATTTACAGCTCAAGACAATAACTATGATCCAGAAAGTACTACGATACGACTCGAGAACTTCGATCCTTCTCATGGGACTTGCTTCTGAACAAGGTCAAGCACAGAGATTAATTGAAAACATAAAGGACCACAACCCTCTTACACATCAAGCAGCATCTTGGTCCAACCCGAAATTGACTCCACAGCTGATCTCACCGCTTTAAATGCCGGTGATGACATTTTCTCCTTCATGTAACAGACTGGATGAGTTTTGCGCGCCTCCCTTAGTTGGACCCGATTCACAGAAAGTTCACTGCATGCCTCGGGCTTGGCAGTACCACTGTAAGCCTCACAGATGTAGCTCATAAAGTTTTCATAATCCTGCAGGAAGACATATGGAATGAGACAGCTTACTCTTAGACTCCGAAAAGAAGATACAAATCTTTGCATTAAGCATAATTCCTCACCATGAGAAGAAATGATTCCAATATTAACAAACAAAGATATAAGACTTACGTCATAAAGCGGCTTCCCATCCACCACGACCCAAGGAACATACTGATGAGGAGGCTGAAGTGCATTTGTTTCAGCCGCATATCCCAGCTCAAGCTGTAGATCAGTTAAAAGAGGATACTTGAGGATAGCCTCAAGTGCCAGCCACATATTTTGTGCATAACGTAACCAGCAAACTGTTTCAGAAAATAAAATTGTATATGCTTTAACTAGGCAGTGTGTAGAACTACTCACTGATTAACCTGTAAAACCCAAGAGATCATGCAATTCTTGTTTTTGTTAGTCTATATAAGACTACTATGCAATTAACTTGGTGCAGTTACATATCACTTTTTTTCTGGAATAAAAGATCAGAAATACAAGGTCAACTAGGGCTATATAAAATAAGAGATGATAATGTAGTATGCAAAGTTAAAAAGACTGCGATTTTCCATTGCAAGTGCAAAAAAATAATTCAATCGTGAACTTTAATTGATTCCCAATTATCTAATCGCTACAACATTCTCTCCCAATAACAAAGTGCTCCGGTGCTAAATGAAGATATAAGGGAAGCATTGATCAGAAGCAGGCATCAATGCCTTCTAAGTTTACCACAGTTATAGGTCCAAGTGTTGAAATCAGAATTCAGGTGAAGTACTAACAGATTTCCGCATCTCATCATTACTCAATTTATCAAAGTTACATATTATGGCAGATGTTCATTTAGTTTCCAAGGTTAAACAAAAAAATATGATCTACGCCAATGCAGAAAAAACAGTACCTCCTCAGAACACAGTTGAATCTAGCTGTACTTTTAGATTCTACGCCATGGACTACTTACAGCATATATTCTCACATACGGAGACAAAAATGTCAAGACAAACACGCATAATCTAGTGGAAACGGTAGCAGATAAATGGCGTAAAACTAACCTCCTTCCCTCGTCCGCCGGCATAACAATCAGAGACGAGTTTTGAATCCAATCCTAAAGGCTCAAAGCAGGATTCCCACTGGGTGTGATCGTGCGAAAACACCAACTTCTCAATGCAATAGATAAGAGGAAAATGCTCGTTCTGCAGTAAGAGATCCACAATAACCAACTTATAAGAAAGCTGCATGGATAAACATACATCAAACACCAATCTCCTTATTGACTATACCACACGATGACTGCGTAACCAGCATTGAATATTTACACCTGTGCCATGCACTTAAAGGTCTGAAGCCACATCAGGATGGGTTGCGAATTGCAATGGTCATGATTAGTATCTAATTTGCAGAAATATGAACTCTCTGAATTCAGGAAAACCCAGGATTTCTGTAAGGTAGTGAAGAGAGCAACAGCAAGGACATGTCTACCAGACTCCATGACATTATTCGTTCTTAAAGACAAAGGCTGCCATGGTACCGCACAACATGGTAAATGTGCAAAGTCAATTCCTGTTAGAATAATTAAATATTAAATTACGCATTCATCTAACAGCTTAAACTTTTAACTTTGAGAACAGTTGACAGTGGTCCCACCAAACAAATCTCATAGTCCCACAAATTAAAGCGCTAGAAACTAACGAAGAATGGACTAAACGAGAGCTGATTCATACCAAATCAGGCCAGATGTCAATCGCACACGCTTCCACGGTGTTGAGCAAGCACTCCGAAGGTCCATGCTGCAACAGTTACAAGAGCAGCATAAGCTAGACAGGACAGAAAATGAAAGAACTGCATATCACTGAATTGATAAAACTCGAGATACCGAAGACACTAATAAAAATAAAGAAAGCTCATCCAAATTAGTGGAGTCCAGATATTCATAAATATTAAGAGCATCACCAAAGATAGAAAAAATGGCCGAAATTGCAAGCCGTGACCTGGCAATCAAAGGTGGCGTTGCCTTTCGTTTTGGCATTGCCCCACGGAACGAGGCGAAGCTCGACATGGGAGATGAGGCCGCTGTCGAAGATCTTGGCGAGGTGGTTGACGACGAAATTGGCGCTGTAAGGGCAAAGGGACTCGTAATACAAACCCAAGGACACTTTGTGGGAGGAGCCCGAAGGTAAGGCGATTTCGGAAGATGAAGAAGGAGAGAAGAGACTGATCAAGCACAGGCATGTCAGAAGAGAGGGGGCTAGGTAAGACCCAGAAGGCATGTTGGATCGCATCGACGATGAGCTGATTGTTTGACGATTTGAGGCTGCGTCGGGTCCAGAACTGCCGCTGCGGGAGAGAGAAGAAGAAGAAGAAGGTGGGGGGCAGTTATGGAATGATAAGGGAGGGAGGCCACGTGAACCTGCCAAGTCGGAGAGGCAACAGAGACGTGCGACGACGAGGATGCGACGAGCGTTCGCGATCCACAGGTGACCGTCGGCCAGAACGACGATTGTCGAAATTCAGCGAGACCCAACAAACAAAAAATGGCAAAAAGGGAAATCGGACCTGGCAAGAGATGGTGTCGTTGACCCCGATGCGGGCGTTGCCGTAAGGGACGAGCTTGAGATCGAGGTGGGAGACGAGGCCGTTGTCGAACACCTTAGGGAGATAGTTGACGATGAAGTTGGAGCAATATGGGCAGAGGGTCTCGTAGTAGAGCGCCAGCTCCACTTTGTCTCCCTCTCGACCGGAACCGGCGACCGCCAACGGGCTAACCAACAACATCAACCACGAACAGGTCCAGATGGTGCCCCGGAGACGGGTCGATCGGTTCTCCATCATTCGCGACTGCACAGGATCTGGCAAAGCCGCCACGCGAGATGCAACCCCACCAACTCAAAGCCGCCCGGGTCCCCGCTAATTCCCCTGGGCCTATTGCACATAATTGCTTAAGTAGTACTCCCTCCCCCAAAGAAAACATCTCCTCCTCACACGGACACACCTATTGGAAATATCACGGTCGCCCAAATGCACCTAGCCCGATTTCCGGCTTTGGGTGGATCTATTATAGTTACGCAGCATCTTAAACGCGGTTGGACGATCATGGCGCGGATCACTTAAGAGGATCGAGTACACACTGCGGGTCACATCTTAACAAGCGAATATCGGCAATGAAATCATTGCTAGGACCGAGCAAGAAAGATGACGTTGAAAGACTTTAAGGAGTTTCCCAGGATGCATCTCAGTTTCCAAGACAGTAAGATTGCATTGGATTATTCACCCATTTGTCCGGTGCACTGGCAATTCATCCATTGACTCCATTACTCGTTACGACATTAGTACAGCGTTACCACAAGACATAGCTAGGATACATCACAGCATATGCTGGTTTCCAAGAATTCTCTGGGATAATATGTTCATGAAATGAAGCCCTTGCTCTTTAAGCTCTCCACGGAATCCTTGATGATTTGTTCCATGGGGATAAACTCCAATCCCAAGTCCATCAGCTTCTTAGCTCCGTTCTTCGTCCTCAATAACCCTGGCTGAGTATCCTTGGGTAATCTATCGAGACACAGAATACAAAGTTTAGCAACATAAGCCACGTACAGATCCTACAGAAGTCATCCTGTGCGGTACTACTAGACTACTGGTGACAGAGACGAAACGGGCACAACATAGACTGCAAACAGAAGCATCTGCATCAGAACCTTCCAATCAATTTCGGCAACAGCAATTAACATACAAGGGTGAAGATTCTTTAGAAACAGTCTAGAAGCTGCTAATAAGAAAGTTTTGCCCAGTTCTAATGAAAAATTATAGGCAGGCAGTTAAGCATCTTATTAGTATCCAAGTTATCTGAACTTGACCAGTGAGGGAAGCTGTCTCTTGTCTATCAGATAAAACTTTGAAACCCATAGGAAACATGAAAGCCTTTAAGGCAACACAAAAGCCCAACGAAATTCTGGGTATTCAAAATCAGTATACAAGAAATGATGGGGACAATCTATTTGATAGCCAACTGTTTCAGGTTACAACTAGTAAGGCATGACTCAATCGTAGAAGGCATATCAAAAAATTCAAATTGCTCCGATTCTAAGACCAAAACACTCTCCTAGTAAACCTTTGTCCTACAAGAAAAGAAAATAAAAATGAACATTAGAACTACAAGTCCGAGAGATGTATCTGAAGATCCTGATGCAGATTTAAAAAAGAATTGGAACTCCGGCATGAGCCTGGAGTAGAACTGTTTTGCATGCGAGGGGAGTCAAATTAGTTACTCGTTACCTTGGCAAGTTATATTCAGGGTAAAGCTCAGCAACCTTGGCCACAAAATCACCATAATGTGATATAGCTTCCACGCACAAGTGCCTTCCTTTGGCTGATGCATTCTCGTAAACCAGAATGTGTGCTAAGGCAACGTCTTTAAAATGGACAGATCCCATGAAAAAGTCTTGGTATGTTTCAGTGCATCCTGTGGAAAGGTTGAATTGCTTATTAAGATTAACACTGATTCAATATGTGGAAGTAAAAGGTGTCATGTTCAGAAGATTGGACTACTAGACATATCTCCATCACATTATGCAAGTCTCCTTCAAATATCTAGTACTCTAGCTGAGGGAATGATGCATTGCTGGGATTAATATTTGGTTCATGACATCATATCAACTATCAACCATTGTCGTGTAAACTTAACACAAGCAAAAGCATATACTCTTGTTTGTAGTATTTGGCAGAAGCATAGTGCTTGCCCAACATTCTTTAAGATTATTATTTAAGCCAATTAAGTCACCAGAAGCAGGTGAAAGATATGATAATCTAGCCTAGCATCCAACGGAAATAATAAGAAGAAAACTTAAGAAGTGGTGCATCATAGATAACTGAATTTATGCCTATGAACTTTCGAAAGGAAATCTCTAAGCTTACAAATGGACGTGGATTCGTTTCCTTAGTTATGGTACAAAACTTGGGATTTTAACCTCTCAGCATTGATTTTACATCCACTCAAACGTAGAAAGATCAACTTTCCTATATGGCAATATTGACAAATGCAGACAACCAGAGATGCAGCGGATGATAATCACATCAAAGTTCTGAATAGCTGAAGAAAGTTACCCTGAAGAAGGCGCACGAGCATCAACATGCTTGCATTGAGTCTTGGGGGGATGACAGGACCCATGACCGTTCCAGGATTCACCACAACCACATCTAATCCATTCTCCTTAGCAAAGTCCCAAGCAGTCTTTTCGGCAAGTGTTTTGGAAGCGGGATACCACAACTAGCTCTCAAACAGGGAAAACCAAAGTCACATACAGTGGAATGGGCACTCCCATACAGCTTACACTTGATGAACAACAAAAGAAACTCATAGGACTACAGAGCCACTGAAAGGGTCAAATTAACTCACCCCATTCTGCTTGCAGTAGTCAACATCAGTCCAACAATCTTCAGCCTTCACTTGATCAGCAGGCCAAGAAGGGCTGGGCGTGATGGCGGAGATAGAGGACGTCACCACCACGCGCCGAACCCCGACTTCTTTAGCCGCTGTCAAGACGTTGATTGTTCCTTTAATGGCCGGGTCCAAAAGCTCCTTCTGCCGAATGACCCAAAAAAAGTAACCCCGTGAAATTCACAATGCAAGGGTGCCAAAAGGGCATCCGCCTATGTAAATTAGACGGCGGAGGAGAAGAGAACCTCGGGGTCGCGGACTTGGTCGACGATGCAGGGAGAGGCGAGGTGGAAGACGCCGGCGCAACCGCGGACGGCGGCGAGGATGGAATCGTATCGGAGGAGGTCCATGCAGAAGAGGCGGAGACGGGAGTCCGCTCCCGGTAGAGCTTGTAGATGCTTCGTCTCAGCATCATCATCTGCAAAAGGGAGAAATCCAGTTGGTGGGTCACGAGCCAGGTCTCGAATAGAATGTGAAGTAATAATAGAATGAATTGAGTAGATGGCATCGCGAAAGGACAGAGGAAGAGAGAGTAAACCGAGATTTTGGACGGTGGCGTGGACGATGTAACCGCGCTCGAGGAGGAGGCGGACGAGCCACGAGCCGATGCAGCCGCTACCGCCGGTGACGCACACTACCTCTCCCTGCTTCGACATTCTGGAATTTGCTGCTGACCAACCTGGGGTTTGGCGACGTTTGTACTGGAAACCGACGGACGGATTACGTTAAGGGCCCGTTTGGTAACGTGCCAAATAGTAAAAATTTCTGTTCTTTTGTTCCCAGAAATAGTTTGGGAACAGAAATGCATTTGGTAAACTTTTTGTTCCTCGGCACATTTTGCAAAAATTTGTGCCGAGAAGCAATTTGGAAGAGAAACGAAGTAAAAAAGTTCTTCTTGTTTTCAAGCACAATTTGAGAATCAGTTTTTTTCTTCTTTTTTCTTTTTTTCTTTTCTTATTTTGTGGTGTTGTTCTTGAGCCGGCCGGCGACGGCCAGCCCCCTGGCCGGCGCGAGGGCGTCACGGCCCTCGTCGGCCGCCGGCGGAGGCGAGGGTCGCCTCGCCGCGAGGGCGAGGGCTGGACCCTCGCAGCCTGGGCGAGGCGGCCTCGCCCAGATCGAGCGAGGCCGAGCCTCGCCGTCGGTCGCGACGGCGAGGTCGGCCTCGCCCGCAGACGGCGAGGCTCGGCCGCCCAGTGGCGAGGGTCCGCCTCGCCCTCGCCGGCGAGGGCGACCCTCGCCTCGCCGGCGGCCGGCGAGGTCCGTGACGCCCTCGCCGGCCCTGGGCGTGGCCGGCCGCGGCGGCGACGGCGACCGGCCATGGCCAAAGAAGAAAGTAAAAAAAAAAAAAAAATTTAAACAATTCAAAATATTATTAAAATATTATTTGGGAACGAAATTTTGGGTAGTTACCAAACGCATTTCGTTCTTTTCTACTCTAGGAATAGAAATTTTGGACATTTATCAAACGCCTTCAAATACTCAGAAATTGTTTCCGGGCACAGAATAAAAAAAAATCATTTCTGTTCAGAAATAGCGCCCGGGCACAGAATGGTATTCATGCGCACCCTAAATATCACTCATCGCTTTCTGTCCGGGTTTCTATCTGGGCCTATGCTCTACGGGTCTTCTCATGTTCGGGATTTATGTCGCGTCTGCATCGCTTGCTACACGGGTTTATATGTCGGGCCTATCGTCTACAGGTCACATGTTTTTTTCACAGTCATTTCCTGTCTGCAAACTCCCTTCGTCGGTCAAATTTCGCACATAGATTGTTTACGAACTTCATATATTTGTGATCACTCTTTGTCAAACGACTATGTTCTTATTTTGAACTTCCAAAAAGATCAAAAACGGTAATTTTAGTCCGGCGATTGAATAACGGATGGAGCAGAAAGCCCATCCCACATTTTATTCCTCCTTTTTTTCTTTTTTTTGGCCCAGACATGAGTCATTGCCCGAGGTGAAAATTTGGTCAGTTAGCTCGTGGAGGAGCTCTGACGAAGCCTCAAGATGCATGAACACGTAATCCCCCATCAAGGAAGGTGGAAGAAGCACTCGGCCGGCTAAAATGTGCACGTACGCCCACTATAGCCGACCGATTGCTTCTATATATATATATTATCCAGTGCTTTGATACCAATTGATACGTGCTCTCTCTCTCACAGCTAAATTCGGTGGCATATTTTGATTGAGAAAGATAATAGCCGAAAGAATATAAAGCAACCTCCAAACCTAGAAAGTAACTTAGTCTTCTGAGATCTTTCATTTCAAACTGCTAACTGAGATAATTCTGGAGTTTTGTAATGTTGGTATGATTATCGTCAACATATGATAGTAGAAGAATATGCCCACGAAATATTTGTTGAACGAAGAGAGCATCGTTACGGGGATTAGATCTAAAGCCGAAACGTTTCATGGTGGAACTGAACTTACAGTATTATGTTTGAGGAGCCTGCTTCAGTCCATATAATGCTCTACGTAATCGACATTCTTTATTAGAAGTAGGAGTGTGCCCAGGAGGAGGTTCATATATACTTCATCGGTAAGATTGCCATTATGGAAGGCATTTTTTCCATATGGAATAGAGGCCATTGCTTAATAGATGCAACAACAAGAAGACTTTGAACAAAAAGTAAGACTTGTAACTGGAGCAAAGGTCTCGTTGTAGTCAATCTCATACTATTGAGTAAAGTTTTTTGCTACTAGTCGAGCTTTGAAGCGTTCCGCCGTACCACCTGCCTTGGTTTTGATTTTATGCACCCATTTACAACCTATAGTAGATTTACCAAGAGGCAAATCAACCAAATACCAAGTATGAAATTTGGCTAACGCGTGCAACTCATCCATCATTGCTTGTTGTCAAAAAGAATCAGTATGAACTTCTCCATATGTACGAGACTCGTGGAAAGAAGCAATAGTAGAATAACAATGAAAGTCACAAAACTGAACAGAAGGTTGACTTACACGGGTGGAACAAATAGGAGAAGGGGGAACGATCAAGTATGGAGAATCTATGAATGGTATAGACATGTCAAAAGCTACCGAAGTCGAATCATAGGAGCTACCTACATCAACAGTAGGGGAAGACAACTTTGAAGAGGAAGGTTCAAGTGTGCTATTTTTAGGAAATAGATCCACGGAAAGATTGGTAAAGAAGAGAGTAATAGAAAAGGAGTTGAAAGGATGAAGTGATAAGAATATCTTATGTTCCCAAAAGGTAACACGATGAGATATACGAAGACAATGAGAGACAAGAACCCAACATCGACACCATTTGTGCTTAATGCCATACCTGAGGAAATAACATAGACGAGCACGAGGCTCTAACTTTGTGCGTTCCTTCGGAAGAAGATGGTCAAAATAAGTACTGCGAAAGACTCAAAGGAGATTGTAATTAGGAATATTGCCATACAAGCGCTCATATGAAGATGTATTACCTATAGTAGGTGACGAAGTACAATTAGTAGTTTATATAGTAGCACGAGAAGCCTCTCCCCAAAACTGTTCTAGATAATTAGCTAAGATGAGGAAAGTGTGTACAACATCTAAGATGCGTTTACATTTAAGCTCTACTTGACCATTTCGTTGGTAAGTTTCCAGACAAGAACGATGAATAATAGTACATTTTGAGAAATAACTCTAAGAAACTCTGTGTCTCTATATTCCATGGCATCATCAGTATGAAAAATCTCGATATCTCGAGAAAATTGTGTTTTGATTATGGCAACTAAATCACGATAGATACTAGCCAATTCACATCGATTTTTCATAAGATAAAGTCATGTATAACGAAAATGATCATTCACATAAATCACAAAATAGCAACATCCTCCCATAAATCCTCCCATAGTGAGAGTTAGAGATGGGCCCCAAATGTTAAAATAAATTAAATCAAAGGGAGCATAAGAGACGGGCATGATGTTTTCCCAATTTACATGGCAAGCAATCAAAGTGTTTATTGTCAACAAAACCTAGATGACCACAAAAAATCACAAGGCTTAATCTAGAAAAGAAAAAACATGGCCCAAATGAGAATGCCAAGTTTCAGATGATGGGCAGTACAGATCGTAAGAGCATACAATAGCTTGAAGAAGATAAGTTTGAATAGGTGTCCCACTTTACGGCTTGTCCCAATTATCTATCCTGTTCGTGGATCTTATACATGACAACCATTAAAAGAGAAGTGAATGTTAAGATTAAATTCACATAATTGTCCCACATATATTAAGTTTAAGGAAAGTTTAGGAACTAACAAAGTGTTTAAATGTTTCCTATGTGACTAACTATCATCCGCGAGCTATCACCTGTATAAATTGTAGGTTTTTATGAAAGTAATGACTTTGACTTGAACAAATTGGAGTTCAAAGTCATGTGATTGCAACATGTAGAATCAAAGAACCATGAATTAGTACTACCTTGAGTCACAAATAGAGTATAAGTGCTGGTGACATAGTAGCTAGAAGTGCCATATTCGCAAAAAAGGAACGTGGATCCTCTAAAGATAAAGTAACATATGAGTTGTTAGCAGAACCCTCGATAGTAACAGCAGTGGTGGATGAGCATGCAGGTGGACTATATTGAGATCGGTTGTTTGTTCCTATAGGTTGCCTAAGTTGTTGTCAATAGCAATTAGATGCAAGATGACCAGTTCGGTGACCGTACATACAATATGGTTTGAGTGATGAGGAAGAAGTAGTGGTGGCAAGCATTGTGTTTGTAGGAGTGGACAAAATAGGGCGATGCGCCTTCAAAGTAGCAAGCCGAGTCTTCTTAATTGATAATTCCAAGACAACTGCCTTGAGACGAGGTAACGAATCTCGATGAGGAAGTGAAGCTCACACAAGCTGAAACTTATCATTAAATACCATTAGTGCATAATACGCATATGATCACGATATTAAGAAAACTTACAAGCATTAGCAACTGCGTCCCGTTGCGCCTCAGATAAGGCTAATCGATCCCAAATAGCATGCATAGAGGACAAAAATTGTTGATAGATTGACCTATCTCTTGATGCATGCGATGCAAATTCCCTAAAAGCTGATATTGATAGGTAATATCCAAGGTGGAATATTGGCCGACAAGCAAATCCCATGCATCATTTGTTGTATTGAGGTGACTAAATTGAAGCCTTATAGATGAAATCCAAGTGTTTTGAAACCACATTAAGATCCGATGATTCTTGTTGTCCTATTCCTCTAAACATGTACCGGTTTGGGGTTTTACCCTATGTTTGTCACAAATGTATTAATTTGTGGTTTTTTATATTAATTAATTTAATATAGGGTAAATTTGTCATAAATGTACCAATTTGGGGTTTTTGGTGGTTAAAAAATTAGTTTGGGATAAATTTGTCACAAGTATACTAGTTTAAGGTTTTTTGTAATATTAAGGGAAAATGACACAAATAGTCCCTGAACTTTGACCCAATGTGCAATTTGGTCCCTGAACTTTTAATTTGTTCAATGTAGTCCCTGAACTTTAACCTAATGTTCAATTTGGTTCCTGAACTTTTGATTTGTTCAATGTGGTCCCTGAACTTTTAATATGTGTTCAATTTAGTCCTTGAACTATTTGAAAATGTTCAATATAGTCCTTCCATTAATTCAAGTGCAGGGACTATATTGAATATTTTTATATAGTTCAGGGACTAAATTGAACACATATTAAAAGTTCAGGGACCACATTGAACAAATTAAAAGTTCAGGGACTAAATTGAACATTATGTTAAAGTTCATGGACTACATTGAATAAATTAAAAATTCAGGACAAATTGCACATTAAGTCAAAGTTCAGGGACTATTTGTGTCATTATCCCTAATATTAACCCTATTTTATATATGTCACTCTCCAAGATAATGGAATATTGTAAAGCTGGGTAGATATATTAAGTAGGGGTGTGCAATGAGAACCACCTGAATCGGGAACAACCTGAATTGGACCAGACTGGCTAGTTTCAAAGATGCCAGTCCGGTTCCCAATTCCATAAAATTGAAATCAATAATGGGCGGTTTAGTTTCCACTTCTAAGGTGGGATCGACCGGACTGGATCAATTTTTTCATAGAGAAATAAAAATGAACTTTTTTGCTTCATCTTCTTCATCTCCATAGAGTCTCAACCTCCACACATATCGCTATTCCCCTACCTAGCGCATGGCCACATGATTCCGCATCTAGTAGCTCTCCTTCCATGGACTCACCCTAACCGTGTTGGTCACTCCAAAGAACCTCCCCCTCCTTAACCTTCTCCTCTCCACCCAAACCTCCATCCAGATCCTCATCGGGTCCGTTTGGTTCGACTTTTGGGAAATGCCATTGGGGTAATGCAGATACCTTTAGGCTAAAGGGGTTTTCTAAAATGTAAGTAGTATTTGGTAAGTGTTTTTTAAAATTAACTTGGGCTGAAGGACTTTTGCTATTATTTATAAAAAAAAAAAGGTTCCGGTGGAGCTTAACTACTGGCCACCGCCGCCTGGGGTCGTGCAACCCTCACGACCGTCGCCTGAGGGTTGCACAACCCCAGGCGGCAGTCACCAGGGTTGTGCGACCCCTAGGCCATGGTCGCTGGGGTCGAGCTAGCCCTCAGGCGGCGGTCGCCGGCTGCCGGACCTACCTCTGGGAAGATGAACGGTCGCGATGAACAGTTACATTCCGAAAATGCAACTTCTCAAGGCACCTCCACCCTTGCATTGGCCAAAAGTCCTTTGGAGAACATTCCAAATGCAATTGCATTTCCCTAACGTGAGTAAAAAAAGTTGCCAAACACCATATGTCTATCAAACAGCATTTTCCCAAGGTTGCTTTCTAAGGCATCTTTCAATTACAGTTTACCAAATGGTTTTTACATCTCACCAAACCCATTTAAGCTAAAGGCCTTTGCATTTTTCCAAAAGCTTTCCCCAAAAGCTGAACCAAACGCACCCATCCTCCCCTTTCCTCCCCACCGCAAACTTCGACTAGGAGTCGAGAACGTCTGCAACATTGTTCACTTCAGCAACGTCCCCATCATCTCTGCCCTCCGCCTCCCCTCGCCCAATTGTTCACCTCCCACCCCAACCTTCCCGTGGCTGTGCACTCTGACTTCTTCCTCGACTAGACCCTCGATTTGGCCGACAAGCTCCACGTCCACACAGTTTCGTTGGATTGCTCGAGAATTGAACCAAATCATTCGACTTCCTCCTCGGCTAGACCCTCAATTTGGCCAACAAGCGCCACGTCCACCAGTTTGGTTGAATCGCTCAGGAACAGGGTTAGATTGGTCGATCTAGTTCTAGGACTAGGTGATTCGGTTCCAAGTTCTAGAAACTAGGAACTGATCCTTCTGCTCTGATTCCCATTTCTGAGCGATTGGGAACCAATCGCTTCTAGTATCTCGAGGGAATAAATCTTAGCACTCTGTAGGTCAATAAATAAGTTAAAAAGTATCCTTTTAGCCAAAGAAAATGCGCAGCACTTAACTATTTACCGATCTATCCTGAATTGACCGTGTAAATGAGAGAGGAGAAAAGTAAACGCAACAAGTGGCAAAAGGTCAAAAAAATATAAATGCAAATAGTGGGGAATACGGGGGTCAATTGTGTATTTAAGCAAAAAAAGGGGGTCATTAGTTTAGCGCTCCGACTTGGCTTGGGCTATATACAAATATCTTTCGATTGAGTCGGCTCAGAACCCTAGCTCGTTCTCTCTCGCGTTCTCCTCTGTCAAGGGAGCCCTAGCAATCCTTGGAGACATGTCAGCGATGTACGGTCAAGGAGGCGACGGTGGTTATGGCGGCGGCGGTGGATACGCCGGCGGTGAGGGCGGATACGGCGGCGGAGGCGGGGCTGGGGGCTACGGCGGCCCTGGAAGCCATGGTGGCGGTGGCGGAGGAGGGGGCTATGGGGGAGGCGATGGAGGTTATGGTGGCGGGGGTCGGGGAGGTGGTGGTTATGGTGGCGGAGGGCGCGGTGGGGGCGGAGGCGGTAGGGGAGGCGGTGGTGGCGGTGGTGGAGGATATGGAGGGAATCGAGGTACCTCCCTTATCTTTATGCGTATTCAATTGGCGGATCTGATTGTTCTCTGCTGTCTCCTCCGTTCCGCTGTTCTGTATTCGTTTTTTCGTTTGCTTTCCATTGGATTTTCTGTCATTTGCGCTTGTAAAGCAGGAGATCGTGGCGGCCGAGGCGGTGGCGGCAGAGGAGGGGGCCGAGGAGGTAGCGGCCGAGACGGCGATTGGCTGTGTCCTAACCCCAGGTATATTTAATTTTGTTGAATTTTACATGATTGTTTCTCTTAGCGTAATTCAGTCTATTAGATGCGAAGACCTTCCCCCTGTTGTGACGTATGGTCCTCCAGGTGGATGTAATGGTTCAGGAAATGTAATTTATCTTCAACGAATCTAAACCTTGAGCTTCCTTTTGTATTGGCATAACGTATGATGTCAATGTGTATTCTGTAGCTGTGGGAATCTGAACTTTGCCAGAAGAGTCGAGTGCAACAAATGTGGAGCACCCAGTCCCACTGGTTCTGGTGAGCGCGGTAATGGTAATGACCGGGGAGGTGGTGGTTATAACAGAGGAGGTAGTGGTGGAGGATACAGTGGAAATCGAGGGGGCCGAAGTGGAAATTACGAGGGTGGTAGAGGTGGTAGCTATGATGGAAGAAGTGCTGGTGGTGATAGAGGTAGTTCTTATGGAGGTAATCAAGGGAGAGACGATGGCGGTTACGGCCAGGTTCCTCCACCTGCACCCCCATCTTATGGTGGCGCTGGTACAGATCTTTTGCCTCCTGCAAATGCTTATGGGGGAAATGTTAATTATGGTACTGAGGCTGTTCCTCCTCCATCAAGCTATGGTGGGGGGCCAACATCATACCCTCCGATGTATAGTGGCACACCCGGTGGTTATGGTGGTGGTGGTGATGTTGGAGATGCAAGGACCGGAGGCCGGAGGGGTCCACCCTCTGGGTATGATGGAGGCTATGGCAGTGGCGCTCCACGGCACCATGGGAGTGGTTATGGAGGTGGTGGAACTGTTGCCACTGATGTCTCTCCTGCTAAGGTGAAGCAGTGCGATGAGAACTGTGGGGATACTTGTGACAACTCAAGGATTTACATATCAAATTTGCCACCAGATGTGACCACTGATGAACTGAGGGACCTCTTTGGAGGCATTGGTCAAGTAATAACTCCTTTTCCTTCTGAGTTGAATACATGGATGACGCAAGTAGCAGTGAACTTTTCGTCCCTTATGTTGACAGCGCATTCTGCACCGTCATTTCAATGCTGTTGTTTGTTATGGTCTTCTTTGCTTTTCATATGGACTTTTAAATGGGTTGTTTTTCGAATTGATGTCATTAGAGACAATATTGGTGAGCATACAGACTAGTAGTAAATGTTTATTTGATATCCACTTTCATTAAGTTTGATGGTATGGATACTGGTGACATATTCTTTCGATGATTGATTCCTCGGTAACTGATTCTTATATTCTTTCCATCATTGATTCCTCAATGATGTTGACAGCACATTCTGCACCGTCCTTTTAACGCTGTTGTTAGTTTTGTTCTCCTATGCTTTTCATAGGGACTTTAAAATGGGTTATTTTTGTAATTATTTGGTGACAATATTGGTGAGCATACAGACTAAAAATATCTATTTGATAACCACTTGTCATTGATTTTGATGGTATATACACTGAGATATTAGTGACATATACATATTGATGATTGATTCCTTAATGACCTACTCTTATATTTTTTCCCTCATTGACTACTCGATGATGTAATTCTATTGTTATTGCGTGTTTTTTTGGGTTTATTTCTGATAGTCAGAAGTATGATTGTGCTATACCTACTTTACAGGTTGGAAGAATCAAGCAGAAACGAGGCTACAAGGACCAGTGGCCATATAATATAAAAATCTACACTGACGAGGAAGGGAAAAACAAAGGGGATGCTGTGTTGTCTTATGAAGATCCATCTGCTGCACATTCTGCTGGCGGTTTCTTCAACAGTACGTGTCCAATTTTTTTAGTGAACTAACCGAATCTTCTTACGTCTGTAGAAGTACTTATTCTGTTCTTTCTCCCCAGATTATGAAATGAGGGGATACACAATAAATGTTGCAATGGCGGAGAGGTCAGCTCCAAAAGCTCCACCTGCATATGATCGTGGGTAAGTCATGTGTTATGCGCATATGTTTGAACTCTAATAATGGAGCCATTATGTTTCAAATCACATGTGTTTGAACTGAACTGGTGCATGCCTAATAGAGGTAGTATATTTTGAAAGTAGAGCGCTTACTAAGTTACTTCATTTCTAGCTTTCTGTACATGAAGCCCCATCGGAGCCAGGGCTGAAGGATTTGCTTGCAATTCCTGTGGTAGTGTTTGTAGTTACTTATCTTGCATATAATTTAGGTTTTGTCTTTGCAATGCAACAGGGGTGGTAGAGGTGGCTATGGTGGTGGTGGTGGGGATAGACGCAACAGAGATGGCGGAGGTTCTGGGCCAGATAGACATTATCATGGTGGAAATCGTTCACGTCCTTACTGATTATACTTCAGCATGGGAGATATTATGTATACTAGAAATTGTGGTTCGAGAGTTTAGTTGTGTGTTGCGTTGGCTGGATTGTTCTTTGACTGGAGACTAAGAGGTAGGTTGTTCACTTACTTGGGCAATACCACTATTCTCCTTTTATCTTGGAATATGTAGAGGGACTTTAACAGTAGGCGTTGGATTGATTCTGTTGTGTGAATTTTTTTTAGAGGCAAGTGGAATAGTCCCCAATTGCTTGCTGCTAAGGTAGGTAGTGTCTTCAGGTGAGTACTGCTCTTTCAAAACCACAATTTTATTCCTGGAAGTGGTCCCAGTATGTGATGGATGGTCGTATTTTCTCACAGTTAATCAATAGAAGGATGCTAGTGTAATCGGTAAACTAGATGCCATGAACTTATCAACACATGCCTATCTTAAGTAGGTAGGCGATATATGAAGTTTAGCTGGCGACAGGGATTTGCTTTTATCATGAACCGCTTTACATATCTCTAACCGGCAGTCTCATCTTCGGTCTTATATCTTGGGCTTATGGCAGTTCAGAAGATTGTAACCTTGTTCTTTTTAGGTTGATTTTATCTGTTACTCAGCTGTATATTTGATTTAGCCGGTAGATGATAACTTTTCTCTACTCCCCTTCCTTTTGAAGTGTGGATCATCTTCTTCTCAGTAGCGGGTCAAGGGTGGTTACAGGGATGGGGATCTTTTTTGGGTCACTTGCGGAATATTTAAAGGCAGACCCATATTTCAGGGGGTACACAGAAATTTTGTTTTTCTGCTTTTCGAAGGATGTGACTGGCTGTGAAAAGCGGTAGGCGATGATCATTGTATATCAATAGGCTTGTTGAGAACGGCCATGAATCAATTGGGGGCCAGGACAGGGGCATCCATGGTCGTGGGATTCCAGAAACCGCCGACTTTTGATGGATGCCTTGAATGTACCAAGCCAAGCTAATAGGTCTTTATCCTGGGGACTAGCATACTGGTTCTTAACCTTCTCCACTAAGAAACTCGGTGGATTGATGATGCATTAAGTTTTCTGCCATGCACGAGGCTTCTTGGTTTTTTCTTTTGGGCGGCACCATTTTGAGCAGTTTGCTGCAGGAGTCAAAATTTCCATGCTGGTTCTCTGGAATGGCAGATAGGATGTCTCAAATATTGTAAAGACAATGAATAAGCGGGTCTAGTTCCATTTATTTGTAATTTCAAGCTAGAGGTTTCGTGGCATCGAAGTTCAAAGGGAAATCAGTCTTATTTCAACTGCTCCTCTTTCTACTGTTCTTCAGTCCTTGTGTGTGTGTGTGTGTGTGTTTTTGATCGCTTCTCCTATTCTCTCGTTCTCTTTCTCCTTGTGTTTCCACCACTCTTTAGATTGAACAAATTATTGGAAAAGCCAATCATAATGTGAAAACCCATTGAATCAAACCGGAAGTCTCCAGTTCGAGTGTGTGTGGCTATATTGGGGGGACTAGACATTCCCCCAATGAAGCCTTGTATCGGACATGTAGTTCAACGAGAAATGCGTAAGCTGGACCCTAAAAAATGAGCCATCTCTTACAACTACGGTTTAAGAACCAAAGTCAAAGCACTGAGGGGGAATGAGGTGTTATTAAAGAGAAGGGCAAAAGTACACCAAAAGTGCCATAACTTGTGTACGGCGATCACTTTGGTGTCAGAACTTTTTTTCGGATCACTTTGGTGCCAAGTCAGAGGAAAATAGATCACTTTAGTGACTCCGACCAAAATTTCGGCCAAAAAGCTGACCTGGCATTTATATTAAAAAAAAATGGTCTGACTTGTACACGTGGAAATTATGTGACTTTTTTTCGAATTTTTTAATTTTTTAATTTTTTTAAATAAAGGTTGCAGCAGCGGCGAGGGAGCCCTCGCCGCTGCTGTCGCGACCCAGGCGACGGCGAGGTCTCGCCTCGCCGGATCCGGCCCTCGCCGACCACTGTGCCCACCACCACCGGCCCTTCCCGGTGGTGGTGGGTTGGCGGCAGCAGCGGCGAGGGCTCCCTCGCCGCTGTTGCAAGCTTTTATTTATTTATTTAATTTAATTTAATTTTTTTTTAAAAAAAGTACACGTCAGCGGGCTAAACGGCGTCGTTTTTTGTTTTTAATGCTGACTGGACCTCTCCGGTGAGCCGTGTCAGCGCCACATCGGATTTCCGGCGAGCCATGTCAGCATTGGCACTAAAATGATTGTTTTTCAAAAAAGTTGGCATCAAAGTGATCCGAAAAAAAGTTATGGCACCAAAGTGATCGCCGTACACAAGTTATGTCACTTCTAGTGTATTTTTGCCTAAAGAGAAGCATCTGTTCGGCAAAAAAAAAAAAAAACGGGTATCATTTAGGATTTGTGTTTGCGTCTGTTCTGCTGAAAGTAGGCAAAATAAACGGTAAAATTTGGAATAGAATAAAATTTATTTTATTATTTTAATGTTTGGTTCTTGCTCAAGATAGGATAAATTTGAATACAAGAGGATATAACTAGGATAAAAATATCACATGGGGAGGTAGGATAAATGTAGATATAATTTTTTATAGGGTTAATAGCACGAAAAACTTCAAACTAGTACACATGTGACAATTTACTCCAAATTAATTTTTTGACCGCTAAAAACCCCAAATTGGTACATTTGTAACAAATTTACCCTTTATTAAATTGAATTAATACAAAAAATAACAAATTATTACACTTGGGACAAACGGAGGTAAAACCCCAAACTGGTACATTTGTCAACTGTCATATGTCATTTAACTAAGCAATCTGACGGTAAAATTTAACGGAAACTAACGGAAGGTAAATTTATCACAAGTGTACCAGTTTGAGATTTTTCGTGGTAATAACCTATTTTTATATTCATGGCATAAAAGTTATTTTTTTCAAATAACAAATCTTAAATTAAAAAATAAAATCATAATTAAATATAAAATAATATTTGGATTCTAATACAAAAAAGAAAATTCAAAATAACAAAAAAATAATGGACAAATTTCATTTTTTATTTTTATTTCTATTTATATATTTAAATTTATTTATATTCTATAATATATATTATATAATATTCATGATCTATATTTATTATATATTTTAGGTATATTAGTATACAAGGCTTGACATGCCACGAATCCTCTTAAGTGAGGTGCTAATAATGTGGTTTGACCTTGTTGTCCCAATAATCCCGTACCAAGGCGTATCTAATATAGTAATTATCATTGAAACCAAAATACTTGTACAAACATGGCCCTCTTCCTGTTTTCGTAGGATCGAAAAAAGATTATTTTTATCTATCGGAAAGGTTTTTGATGATTTTTTTTGTTTTAGTTTTCGAATTGATTGTCCGATCGAAGAAAAATTTTCAATTATTCGTTTTGAAACTCTTATGTAATAAATTAACATAGTAGTAGAAAGAATACCATGCTTAAAAGAGATTAATAAAATGAATCCCACTTTTACCATCAAGGAATAAATAATTTGACAGGAGACATATAGATCATGAATGTTTGGAATCCATATTATGCCAGGAGACATTGCTTTTGCTAATTCAAATTGAAGGGTAGTATCAATGATACAAGTCTGATCCTAAATTTAGAAATATAAAAAGGCATAGCCCCTTCTCTATTAAAAGAAATCATATTCTCACGGATACAACACAAAGGAAAGAATTAACCACATTTGCCTCACTGAGATAAGGTTTAATTCAAAGATGAGTTATTTATGATGATAAATGCAATCTTTAGAAAACTTCTTTTTTACATAAGTAATAGAACGTGAGAGCCAAATGAATTGAAAGATTCATGTTTGGTTCGGGAAGGGATTATGGAAGTTTTGAAATGAATGGAAAGATAAACTACTTTCATTGAGGTTGATCTACTACTGTCCGAATAGCATTTTCGCGGTTTGAGCAGCAAATGGTGTTCCCCTTCTTGTACCATCGAATCCACAAGTACCGGTCAAATTTCTTCCAGCTATCTAAGAATTGTTTGAATCAAGGGTTAATGCTGTAATGAAATTTAAGCGCAGGATAATATAGGAAAAAGTCTAATCATTGTTCCATTTATTGTGAGTTTAATCAAGTATTGAAAAAAAAAAAAAGTGAACTGACACTGAGAGGCGAAAACTAGAGGAGCAAATGCTAGCATGAAACCTTAACGAAAGAAATGGTGGAGAGAAGCAGGCTCAGGAGAGTCCCTAAGTCTTCAAAATCAAATAACAATTCTTTCATGTTAAAGCAGAAACATATTGTTCCGTGGAGCGTTTTCAAGTAGTCTTCGATCTATTATGTATTAATTAATATTCAATTGATTGGTGGGGGTTTTCTACATTTATGTAAATCGTAAAGTATATGAAAATATTCAATGTGATTCTTCCGTTAATTCAAGTTAACATAAATTATTAATCTAACTTTCAATACGTTAAGTTTTAATGGCGAGCACCAAAAAAAGTCACTTGGATAATCCAAATAAAATATTCATCTCAAATCAAGATATAATAATTTTCATCATCAAATAATATCTTTTCTCTTTTCTAAAGTAGATGAAAAAAAAAATAGACATATTAACTCGTCATTTTAAAAAGTAAAACTCAACCTATAATAATATAGATCATCAAATAACATCTAATTTTGCCGTTCGAACAAATGAAATGACTATATTAAACATTTACCAATAATTTATGAACCACATTAAATAAATTAAAAATTCAAAAACGACAATACAGTCTGAGAACCATTTGTGTCACTTTTCTAACAATTTTATGCGCTTTTAAGAGTCTAAGGTTGCCTATCCTTTTAGTAACGCGCAATCAATCAAAGCGTTACCCACCCCCCGTGGTGCAATTCGAGCTGCTAAGCTCCATGCCCTTCAGCTCTAGGAACAACGGGGCTGTGAAATGAACTGCATGTGGATTTACAAGGAAGAAGTCACAGAAAATTTGCAGACCTCGATCAGTTTTTCCGAGAGCAAAAAAAATAAAATATTCGTTTTTAAGAATGGATCGAATTATTTTCACATATAATCAAGAATCCTGGTTTCTTCACATCATCGCAGGGATCTTATCTATGTGCATGTCCTCCTTGCAGCATGATTCCAGGCCCATATTGGGCGCCTCCTCCAGGGTTGACATGACCCTGAAATCATGCATCGATAATCAATAAAAAGTTAGCCATAGATCTTCCTCTAATGCCATGATTCTTGTCAACGCATCACAGAGCTGTATGTTCAAGACTATTTGTCGGGTGATTTCATTAGTAACGGTAATCCCACATCTGACATGCTTCCTTACTCTGAAGGCAGCTTCATTACGGACGAACTTGATCATGCTTCATCGATTACAAAACCATGGGTCGTAGTAACATCAGGAAAACAGCTGAATCAATTTTCAAACATTAGCTTTCGTTGAGTATATCTTTTCCTACTCCAGCTTCCTTTCATCTGTTGACATGACAAACCAACGACCCACCTATTTAAAGAAACAACCTTCTACCGAGAAGGCTAAAACAAAAATAACACCACCAAAAAGAGACACCGGAATAGGTAATGTTCCGGCATATGCAACTACTGGGAAATGTTTCGGGGAAGGACAGAAGAAAATTGATCCAGAAAGAGAATCAAATGGGAGAGCACGTACCTGATGCATTTCGTAAGTGTTGGGGTGAGTACTTCCTCCAAATCCTATCTCGGGGGAACTATAGTTTTGGGCATATCCAGGATCTAAAATTGGAAGATGGAAAATTTAGTACAAATAATTGATATCACGGATGAAAAGGAACTGACTGACACAATGTGCAAACCTAGATTTGCTGCTGTTGCTGCTGCTCTTGATCTTCTCTCTGCATTAGCAAGTTCAACACGCAGCTTTTCAATTTCACGATTCAAAGACAACATATGTTTCTCCATCACCTTAGCTTGCTCCAGATTACTAACTTGTGTCTTCTTCTCACGTTCAAGAGCAGCTCTACTCAGATAAAAAAAAACAATGTATATCAGAAGATCCAGAACAGTAGAATCAAATGATCTTCCTACTGCCAGAAGGAAACATACACTTCGAAACTGCAGCCACTGAAAGCATTGGATTTTTTTAGATATATTTTGCACTGTACGGACCTATTCCTTCTAAATCATTTCCACTTCAGAAAAAGATGCCAATGGAGTCACACATGAAATATTCCTTAAGACGATCCATCGCAATACTGTCAACCAGATGTCGCTTAATTGACATCCAATTTCAAATATATTCTTCTAATTACATCATATGAGGAGAAAAAAGATTCATGACATATTTCTTCCTAAAGGTACTACGTTATTCTTCTAGGATGGGCTTCAGGTTGGGGACATTTAAGTCATGCGATCCACATCTAGTCCATTTCCTGGCTATGCTCATTAAAAAAATTCTTCCGCAAACTTTTCTGCTTATAAATAGCCCTCTATGTTCATTTAATACTTTGGTGGATTCATATGGTGTGGTGCCACTGCACTCAATGCCAGCTAATGAAGACATGGGTTAGGGCTCTGCAGTCATATCAAAGTCTCAGACAAATGGGCGATAGTTATACAAGGAAAAGGTAGATTTTAAAAAAAGAAAATGAGGAAAAGGTAGATTTGACCATTCGCATCCCAAAATACTGAACAATGCATCCTCCACCTGCAAACTACTTTTGTGGCTACAACAGTATGCGACAAATATCAAACCATGAACAATGGAATAGATCAATTCCATACATAAGGAAAATAACTCATAGAATACCTGGTGTTGAAGACATCATACAATATGAACTAGTTTATTAAGAGCAATTACAAGCTCTATAAAGTGCATGACACAGGAACACTTTGAATAAAGAAATCATCTTTCTTCTCCTTAGTATTCTTCCACTAGGTCCACAAGCAAACCTAAATATTAAACTCACTTCAATATCACCCAGCCTCTACAAATGTTCTTTTCAGTTATAGTGAGAGTAAGAACTTCCTCAACGCTTCAAGAGAGACGACCTCACAGAACTATGTTGATCCAAATGATTCTCCCTCGAATTTCTAATTCAGTATTCAATACTAAATTGTTCTACGTGTTTTGCACAGTGAAGGGAACATGTACAATTTGGAAATTACTATAATTTCAGTAACCACATTTGCCAGTTAACCGGAATCTCTAGCATTTCTTTCATTCTAAGATCATAATCCTCCTAGAGCATAAAAAAGGGCTGCAATTCAAGCAAAGTGTTTCCTGTCCAGCATATTTTTCATTGAAGAACATCTCCTGAGAAGCTATTGACAGAATCACACACTTACAAGAAAGTTCTTTATCATGGGTAGGATTCATATTCAATCACTATTGTGGTAGCTATTAGTGTATGTATGGCAGCTAAACCACCACCTTTAAAACTTCTCCTACTCTTTCTATTGAAAAAAGGGGAAAAAAAAAAGACTTTCTGAACTACAACAACAACGAAAAGGTCTTCAAAAAAGATGTGAACCTAGAGTGATGTAGGTGAAAAGGGGCACGAGAAGTTCTGGAAAGACTTGGATGAAACTATAAGAAAGATCTTAAGCACTTCCATCTTATTAAGCAATTTGAAAACCCCAAGAAGGCTTGATTATTGTCTTTTCTTGCAAGCACCACATTGAAGTCAAGGTGCAACTGTAAAGAGATGGTTGGAAAAGCGGATTGAACAATCCAAGGGCCAATCCAAGCAAAATCCCGACTGTTGTTCAACCAATTTGAATTCACAGAAAAAAAAAACGAGAAAATTCAGAGGAAGAAGTAATCATTGGCAAAGTCAAGTTACCTTCCCCTCTGAATCTCTTCATGCATGGCCTCGATCTCGGACTTGACCAGGGGTACCTGCTTCAACTCGGACGCCGCCCGGAGAACCTCCTCCTCGAGACACCGCAACTGCACAATGAGCTCCTTCCGCTCGGCGCCGAGGTTGAGCGCACGTGGGCGCACCTGGGCCAGCTCGGCGGCCATGGAATTGATGTCGCGGACCTCGGCCTCCATCTTCAAGGACCTCTCGTAGACCTCCCGGACCTGGGCGTCCCGCTCCGCCTTGACCTCGGCGGCGGCGGAGGACAGGCGGCGGATCTCCTGCTGGGAGAGGGAGAGCTCCTGCTTGAGGGCCACGTGGGTGGCGAGGAGCCGCTGGTTCTCGGCGAGGAGGGACTGGATCTCGCGGTGCTGGGAGGCGGCGCGGTCCTCGAGCGCCGCCACCTGGGGGAGGCGGGGGAGGAGGCGAGGGTCTTCGAGGGAGGAGTGGCGGAGCCTGGCGGCGCTTTGGGGCGGGAGATAATTGCGCGCGGCCATCACCGGAGAAGGCGGAGGAGACTGTTAGGGATTTCTCAGATGAAGTATGAAATGCGACGAACTGTCGTGCGCTTCGACCCGGAGAAGACGCCGCTCGCTGCTCTCATCGTCTCCGCCGCCGCGGCCCCCGAGCTTTCTTGGAGGCGGATGTCGTCTAAAATATTTAAAAGTCTTGGTCAATTATAAATTATAAAGTTCTATGGGGAGTGCATAAATTCTAGCTTCATGTCGAAGTCGTTCCATCCAACTTAGATTATTGCTGCGATTAATTTTTTAGATTGTCTGAAAATATCAGTTAACGGAAAATTATTAACGATGAAAGAGATTTATATATTTAAAATTAGAAAAATCTGAAAAGTAGAAAATAATTTAATAAAAAAGGTTTTTCGGAAAGCATCAAGTATAAGCGGAAATCTGTTCCGAAATATGCAATGCTTTGTATAGCCAGGATTTTTATTTATTGGTTAGATTATGAAAGGTGGTTGACTCGTGACATATATCAATCCGTTTGTTTCGCGGAAATAGAACATTAAAGATGAAGATTTCTCTGTATTCCTATAAGTTACCAACAGAAAAATTATATTTTCCCACAAAGGGTCTCTTATACAATGTAGTCCTTAAACTTTTGATTTATTCAGTATGGTCCCTAAACTTTAACTCAATATTCAATATGATCTATGAATTTTTAATTTGTTCAATATGATCGATGAAATTTTGGTCAATGTTCAATTTAGTCTTCGAACTATACGAAAATATTCAGTGTAATTCAGGTACTTCATTGAACATGTACCATAAGTTCATGGACCGTGTTGAACAAATTAAAAGTTTGAACGTTAGGCTAAAGTTTATAAACTGTATTGAATAAATTAAAATTTTAGGATCATATTACGTATTGGGCTAAAGTTTATGAACAACTTGTTTTATTATACCTTCAAGGATTTTAAACAAAATCATTTCCTGCACTGAAAGATAAAAAAAGAATTGAAAAAAAGGAAAATTAAAAGGCCGATGTTGCTTTGGGCCTTAAGTCATGCCCACAAGGAGGAGGAGGAGGAGGAGGAGAGAGAGAGAGAGAGAGAGAGAGAGTGGCGCCATCAACAAAAGCAAGCTCCCCTTGCAATCTCAAAAAAAATGGCGGACGCGCTCTCGCCGCCGGAGGTCTCCCTCTTCCTCTTCCTTGTCAAGCTCAGAAGGTTCGCTTCCATGCTCCTTCCACAAACGCTAATGCACATGCACCGTCGGCGGCATCGTTCCGGTTGAAAATCGCAACTTCCATCGCCGTTCGCAGGTTCGATGACGCGACTCTCGGCGTTCTCCGGACCTTGCTGGTCTCCAAGGACGCGAGATCGGCAGTTCAAGCGCGATCGAGCCTCGAACGGTTCATGAGATTCGAGTCTCTCCGTATACTTCGCGAGGTTGCGGATAAGGACGCTGTCCATGTGCTTTCCGTTCTCGAGTTCCTGGTTCGAGCCTTTGCGGTTATAGGCGATTTCGAGGTGAGTTCCACGAACGTGTCCTCTTTAGTTATTCATGAATAGAAAACCTGAAATAGGAACCTATAAGTTAGCTTATGGATGTTTCTGGACGACGAACTGATGAGCTGATTTATGTCATCGTTTTCATCTTCTTCTTTTTTTTTTTTTATTACGACCATTCGACGACATTGAAGCAGGTCCTTGATGGAACTATCGGTGATATAGGGGCTTTCCTTAGTCGCATGCTCGTCGCGTTCTTACAGCCTTGGATATGCAGTCTTTAAGGGACTTTTTGTTTTTCCCTTTTGTGTTTGGTTTGTCGGATCTTATCAGAGTTGCTTGGCACTGAGGTACGAAGCACTCGTTTTTCGGGAAAACAAATCTGGCGTTCATCAATGGCTACAAGTTGGTCATACCGAATGGGTGAACTTTGCCAAGGATGCGCTTGACAATGGTTTTTACCCTATAGCCACAAAGGTAGCATGTTATTACTGCAACAGTTCCAATGTTTTCACTGTAATATTGAGTGAAAAATGAAGCAATGCGCATTTCTTCATAACTATACGTGGGAGATATCTATTCTTATTTCCAAATCTAGGCTGGTAGCGGTTTGGATAACTAAGTTTCGAACAATGCATCTTCAAGCTAATATTAGTATTCCGATGCTGTTGTATGTCATTGACCAGTTTCATGGATATATGCATCAAGTTCTATTTGACTCGTCAAGTAAGTCGCTGTATCAAGACGTGGTGGATCAAGATGACTACTTCGGACTTCCGTAAGAGAACTCCGTCAATAACGAAACTATGTTTTGCTGCATACTTAGAATGCATCGTCAGACGTTGAAGTTAGTTATGAATGTATTCGTGTCTGCATTGACAAATTGCTCTCTGCCGTTCCTTTGCTATGAATTGACAATCCAAACTAGGACAGTCAATGCAGGACTATTGGTACAGTAGCTCCTTGATACGTATTATCCTTGATAATCTGTGGGCAGTAACAGTTTCGTCACTTTTGCCACGCAAGTCTTTTATTATTTTACCATCAAATATTTTTTAGAACTTTCCGTCTTAAAATTAGCATGTCTAACTTATGTGGATGTGGACCATTTTGCTTTCGATGCTTTATGAACTTGTATAACGTCCCCTGAATTATAATGTGCAGTCTTCACTATGATTTTGGTTTTTCCCTCCTTTGCCAACCAGGCATGTGAAAATGCTCTTCTATGTCTTCAAAGGAGTGATACTTCTGGCTTGGAAAATTTCACTGGAGATATCCAGAATATAGTAAGTCTCAAGGACGTTGCTATTTCATCCACTGGTTCATGCAGCGGTATGTTGAATAGTAAAGCGTTCGTCTTAACAATTTTTATCTGATCTTATCTCTACCGCTTGTCCTGCCTCTATCATATCAATGGTCCATGAATTTTCTCTCTTTGACATAATACTTTACACTGCTAATGAAAGGATATAATCAGTAAAAAAATTTGTTCGATTTTCTTTCGTGATGCACTTTAGGGGCACAATGTTATAGTGACGATTGACAATGATGGTTCAAACTCAATATATTTATTTCCTCCTACAAAATGTTTTGGTGAAGTTAACATTATTTGTGGATGCTCATTTAAGTTGCTTTATTTGATCAAGTCTGTGTCTAAGTATTCTTAACACTAAGTGCTTATGGAGAATGGTCGTGGGAGTGGAAGAAATTGATGTTCGTAGTTCTGCTGTATTCAAAGACTACAGAGCTTTGAGTGGAAATTTCATTTTCATGGAATTTATTAGACAACCTGATACAGATAAACAGAGACAGCTGTTGAGCCTATTCCCTTTAACTTTTCAGCTACTTTTTCCAGTAGGGTTAATGCATCCCTTGGCTCACAGTAGTGATGACAGCTATGAAAATGAAACCAAAATTAGATGTTGATCTACAAGACAACATCGTGGTTAAAGATTTTGCCCAGCATTGTCTACTTTAGTTCCTAAACTTTTTTGATCAATTCTGATTCTCAACATGCAAAATTGTTATTTTCGTTGAAAACCATAATTGTAGCTAGCCTGATATTGGGCATACTTATTGGATCGAAATACTTCCCAATGTTGAGTGAACCACATGCGTCAAGTTAAGAAACAGCTTGTCGGTGCTGATGCACAAGCAATTTGCTGGTCAATATCTGTGGAGTCATATGTTCCCTCTTTAGCAGATTTCACCATCTTTAAGTCAGCAGTGCTGTTTATCAATATGAAGCCTGAATCAGATAAATTGTCTAAGGAGATATTTGATTGTATGGACCGTCAGATGTGAAATTCTGTTGATTAAGCTCTCCAAGTAGAAAGTTTGTCTTGGATATTACCATAAGAATTTTCGGGACTTCTTTCAATCTTGACTCGGGACTAGCATTTATTTGATTGGCGAGTGCCTTCAACTGCATTTTAGTAAGCTCTTTGCAGTGAATGGGATGCTAAGCATAGTCATGCTGTAGTTTGACTCATCTTGGTATGGACAGTTCAGGCAAAGGCAGTGAAATATTTGAAGAGGAAAGAAATGGAGAGAAGCAAACAGCAAGCTTCTACATTCAGAGAAATCCAACCTGTTGCAAGTGTTCTGTTTAGAGATAGTATTAAGAAGCGTAATGCAAGGATATTTTCAGAGTGCCAGGCTTTGAGGTCAGCTGCAAGAAACTCACACGCCCACACTAAAATTCCAGGTTTTGTTTAGTCTCCTAACCTTGCACATACGGGTGTGGATGTAATAGTTCATTTCCTGAATTTAAAAATATCTGAAAAGCAGCTTAAGGTGTAACCTTGACCCTCTATGTGAAGAGATGGTACAGTTTCGACACTTTAAGAGTTTGCCATATATTGATCATATATATTTGAAAGCTCCAGGTTGCTTGGTTTGTGACCACATATATATTTATAATTGGGGATGAGTGCTACGTTAATTCTGTGTTATCATGTCCAAAAAGCATCTTCGTATGAGTTGTTGGTCCTTTCGAAATGATATATGGCAACTTAAACTTCTGAACTGTTATGAACACTCAATTACAAGATGGATGAACTCATGGATATGGAGCCTGGCTAAGGAATTGTGTTCAGAGTAGATGAGTCTACATCTCGGAGTTCTTCCGTCATATGTCTGAGTTAGAGCTTGAAGTTCATAATAGTCGAACTTCAAACGGGTATTGCTTATGCAGTCATATATTACTAAGGCGGATTGTTATACACTAGGTGAATCATCTGGGCCACGACACAATGTTGGTCCTTCACTATGCATGCATTTCCTTTCTAGGTTGTCACCTTCAAAGAAGTCTTTGCAAGTATCGGATTGGCAAAAATAAGATTAAGTGTATGGGAAACAAATGAGCTGGGTCAAGCCATGGCATCGTGCGCCTGCTGCTTCATCCTAGTCTAATATTTGTGCTCTCGTGATGGGCGATCACGGGAACTCCAAATTTGAATTTTGACCAATCAATTTTGGAGATCGAAAGCCTTTGTCTGTCGAATGCTGTCAAATTGACGGCAATGGTTGCCATTGTCAAACTTTGCTCCTCACTGGCACCCGTTTGTCAGAGTCGAGGAACTTGCGTCCACGTTCGCATTGGAGTTCGTCCGGTTGTATAATTTCTCTACAGCGGGGTTAGAGAATAGAGATGACTGTCCTGTTTTCACGAAGGGTAAATTATGCGTACGGGTTTCTCACCGTTCAAAGCTTTACGAGTTTTTCCACTTCCCTAGAGCCTTTAGGGGTTTGAAACGTAGGTGGACTCGTTTTGCGAGGGAACAAGCCCAGCTAAAGAAAGTGGATCTTTTTATTTTACGAAAATTGAACTATTTAAAAAACATTATCTTAGAAATTATTGGTTATATAGCTTAAAATGATAAGTTAACAAATTTTTTTTTTCATTATCTATAATAATTTATGTTTAAATTTTTTCGTGGATAATAAAAATATTTTTTGTTCATGCATTTTTGTAAGCGATGCAAACTATCTTTTTTAGAAAAATGTTTTGCCAAATGCGGATTTTTCACTAAACAAATGGAAGACTTTTCTTTTTTCCTTTTTGAAATCGAACCGTACTGCTATGGTGAACAACTGTCTGGTGAGGATGACAATACCGTTGGCGCAATCTTATTGACAATCAGTTAAACACCGAATGCCCATGATAATGTGCAAATTATCAGCTCGTAATCCTTTAGACGAAATCAATGGCAAAGATGGAAAGCAGAACCTAGAAAGTTACAGTTTAGTGTCCGATTAGTCTATCTGTAGGCTACGTGTCTCTCAAGAGTGGGTCAACATTAATATCAGGATGGCGCATGTCCAAAAAAAGAAACAAATGAGAAAATAGTCCTGGTCATAAATCAACTTGTTTTACCAAGTCATTTTTGAATTCCCGTCAGAATATTCCTTTGATGCCACAAACTAATCCAACTGCAACTATGACTAAAAATCTACTAGAGATGGATGCTGTGGTCTAAACATTTGGTAGGAAAACTCGACAAGGTGTCACTTTTAACAATCGGGTCATTTCCCTCTAAATCGGCTCTTTTGAGCGCGTAACTAATCTACACTAGGCATGACCGTTCTACTATGTCACAAATACTGGATAATTACCACGTATTGTGTTTCTACCGTAGTCCCAAAAGATTGTTCGATCTCAAGGATTGAGCATAAAAGCTTAATTTCTCACATGATTTGGAAGAACACTGGTTACGAAAATCTTAAGGCCGCCTATTGGTTTTTATCTTATAAGGAAAAAGTTACTCATCGCACATGAGGTTAAATGCTCGTATGTTCACGCTTTTGAAGATGTAATGTGTCTTCATCGTGTTAAAGAAGAGTCGTACATCAAATGCTAAGAAAAAGCAAAGATTCCCGTGAGCCGTCATCCAGGACCAAGGCGGTGCAGTCAGGGCATGACTCGTGCACGTCATGTTCCTCGGAGGACAACAGCGGCCCTCGTACGAAGGCAATAGCCAAAGCAAAGAAGCAAGAATGTCTCGCGTGCTGCGTCGAAACTTCGTTCTCATTAACCTGCTCTTGTCGATGATTTTGTGGTTCATGCTACGACTTTCATGCTCACTCAATTAGGTTTGATACGCAACGTGGTACAACGACTGGGATGACGGTGTCTCGGTAAAGGTAGTATTTGGCTCGTTAAATGCAGATCAGATCCTACCTATTGTGAAACACATCATTGGCAATGGTGGTAATTCTAATTCTTTGTGGCACAACAGTCGGCATCCGCATGTTGTCTTAGCTGAACAAATACCCCGTAGTAGGGTGTTTGTGTGGCTCTAATCTGCCCGCAAATGCTGAAGTTTCTGCTGTGATTTGCATGCTTTGAACGGTTCTACCCTCATGCCGGATCAGAGGATACAGTAGCTATCCAAGCAGCTCTCTCTGCGGTACCATTCAACCTAGTGTTTCCCATGAAGATAGAGTCATCTGTACTAGAACCAGCAATGGACTGCTTAGTTCAGGTACTGCTGGAGATATTGCGATGAAAAGAAGTAGTTAAGTGGAGGCATCAATCCTTGTGGTTCTTCCCAATATTCGCAGAGTTAGCTTCATAAAGTGAATGGATTATGGCTGTGCATGATAAGCTTCCTACGTTTTCTTTCTCACCAGTGGTAAGCTTCGCACTTTGGAAAGAATAGGGAGGTGGATGACCGCCGACCGGTAGTATTCAAAGAACAACTCGTCCTCTCTGTCAATGCACACTGGAGTTGTCAATAAGCACGTTTGGAAACCTTCGCCCTCAGAACTTGCTTTAACCGGGTCACCTCAGCAGTCCAATCACCAGGCTGTCTTGTAATCAAACACAAACTCATGACCTCGTTTCATAAGACGAGCGTGCACTCATTCACATTATTCTGCACAATCAATCATTATGCTACTATTGTTAAGAGAGCAAGTTATTACTTGAATGATACCATAAAATATAGACTATTTTATAAGTTAGATGGAGTATGCACGAGCACAAGGCTTCCCGTAACTCATAGACCGTAAGATTAGTGATGTGATGCATGGCTCATCTGCAGAACTTTAGCACGCAAGAGAACCAACTCACGATGCTTAGAGAGAGAGAGAGAGAGAGAGAGAGAGATTTTCACGAGAAGGTTCGCCGGCCATTAGCGAGCATTCACGTTGGACCTAATTAGAGATGTCACAATATGTAAGGTCGTGGTTTCATGATTAGAGACTTGAAGAGAGTTCTATGTAAACTTGAAATCGAAAGTAAACCTAAACAAGGAATGGATTTAGTCATAAACCTTTTATTGGACCAATTTAGTCCTAAACATTTTCACATTAGTACCAATTCAGTCCATCCGGCCAATTTAGATAGAAAATCACTGATGTGGACACCAGCCATCCTATATGCATGGCTGGTGGACAGCCGGCTTCGACGTTGATATTTTTAATAATATCTTAATGATTTTTTTGAATTTAGTAATAATTTTTATAAATTTTTTCCCCTTTTCTTTTCCGTTTTCTCCTTTCTTTCTTTTTTTCCTTCTCTTCTCTTTCCTTTCCATGTGGCTAGTACTTGGCCATGGCCTGGCCACAGGTGAGGACTTGACCCTTGCAGCCACACTCGCCGGCTTTGCCGGTTGCTGGCCATGGCCGAGTACCGGCCATAAGCCAAAGGGAAGAAAGGAAAAAAAGGAAAAAAAAAGAAAAAAAAGGGAAATTTTATTAAAAATATCCACGTCAATGGCAGTCATCTACCGACTATGCCACGTAGGACGGCCGGAGCCCATGTCAGCAATTTTCGATCTAAATTGGTTAGATGGATTTAAGGGATACCAATGTAAAAAGGTTTAAGACTAAATTGGTCCAAATGAAAAGTTTAGGACTGAATATGTACCAATGCAATAGGTTTATGACTTTTTTTTTTTGGTACTTTTCCCGATATTAGGAAATTAGCCATTTTTGAGAAATAGAAAGTTAGGTTAATCAATTGAAAAAAGGGGTTGTTTTCTTTCTTATACCCGAAAGACAGATCAATTAAATTAATCATTAAATAGATGTGGAGAGAGAGAGTCAAAGAAGAACGTGGGAACTACACAACTGCAGGGATCGAGATTGCCAACCCATCACGCGCCTAGGCGGTGGTCAACCCTCTCCATCCCGTTGCTTATGTCTCAAAACAAAAAATAAACAAAAGCAATTAAACGACTTGGCAGGGAATATCCTAGTCTCCGTCTGTGATCTAGAGCTAGTTCGTTTTCTAATCGAGTAATTATGATGGTGTTTAGATTTCAAAACAAGACATGTGCATCATCGGGCTAGGCTAAGCACGTCCACACTTGTCACCTTCGCTCTAGTATAAACGGGGCATTCTCACATACTCTTTTGTCTTCCAACTCTAAAGCTTGCAATGATGTGCTGCTGCATATGCTGAGTGTCTGGCTTCTTCCTCAACATCAAAAGGAGCAAGTGTTTTCGTAATACTCACAAACTGGGGAAAAGGGAATTATGGGAGGATCGTCAGGATCTTCGCCGTGCGCTTCGTGCAAGCTGTTGAGACGCCGCTGCTCCAAGGATTGCATCTTCGCTCCGTATTTCCCACCCCACGACCCTCATAAGTTTGCCATTGTTCATAAGGTCTTTGGTGCCAGTAATATCAGCAAAATGTTGCAGGTCTCTCTCTCTCTTTCTCTCTCTCACTCTGTGTGGATGTGCAGCAATCAGTAAGCACACCCACCTTCTGAGTGTGTGTGATCCGAAGTAGTTACCTATTTCTAGGTCGATTGATCCGTGTTCAGTAAGTGCAGCTGTACTTTTGGCCTTCAGGTACAGCCATGAACTAGCGCTTGTGGTGCACTAATTTTTTTCCAGATGTATTGACACAACAATGATGGACTATAGAATCTGTGACGTTCAGGGATAAAAATGCGTCGATATATATGGTTAATAAGATCAATCAAGATGGCTTCGGTCGCTTTCATAGGGCAGTTTCAGATCCTTCAGAGCAATTCAATATCTGAGGCTATTAGTGTCTTACTTTTGCAGGAACTTCCGGTGAATCAGAGAGGAGACGCGGTGAGTAGTTTAGTGTACGAGGCGAATGCAAGGGTGAGAGACCCGGTATATGGGTGCGCAGGCACGATATCTTACTTGCAGAATCAACTATCCCAATTGCAGCTTCAGCTTGCAGCGGCCCAAGCAGAAGTCCTTACGATGCAAATGCACCAAAAACCCCATCTTGCAGAACAAGAGAGTGAGATGTCTTTTCTCATGGCTGGGGACGACTTCAACAGTATCTCGCACTACATTGCCGTTGCTTCTAATTTATCTGCCACTGTAATGGAGGATCCTCTTACGAGATAGTCCTTTTCGACTTAACTTCTCTTGTGGTTATTAGAATGACAAGTTCCACTTGTTTTACAGTCATAACTTTCCTCTTAAAGTCTTCTCGCGAAGGATACATATTATTTAAAATCCCAATCCGAAAGTCTAAACTAGTATTACGTGAACTTGTACTCTCTAAAAGGGTATAAGTGTATGCGCATACGTACATGATTATGTACAGAAGGCCCCTTATGTGGGACTTGATAATACGCAACTGCAGAGAAGGGATGTCCAGCGGTCCAAGTCCGAGGCCCAGGTGTGTGTGTGTGTGTGTGTGTGTTCATGTGTTTTGCGCTCCCTCTGGCAAATGAAAGGGCCAAGTTTCGTCTCTAAGTCGATGAATCCATTGGAGGTACGATTGCGCAATTAGAGACTGATAAACACCTTACACAATTCTCTTACCAATCCGTACCGTGTCATCGAGCGAAGATGGAAGATGAAGTGGTCTTTCAAGTCCTCCTCTGGGTAGTTATCTTACACTGTCAAGAAGTAAGTTCAGACAGAAATAGTTTACGTCTTGATAGTCTTTTTATAACGTGAGGCAGCAGTTAGACAAAAATGGAACTAGAATCCAGACAATGTTAAACTCAGCAAATTGCAGCATCATGTATAGAGCGAGGTATAAATTAAGATGCTGCCAATCAAGAATAAGCTTCTTATTGGACATCTATGGGACCTGTAATTAAAACTCCCATACCGATACAGTTACTGTCGAGTTATAAATTCATACGATCTCATGGTGAAGGCTACAAATCAAAGCTATGGCTGTTAAAATGGAAAACAGGGCTATTGCCCTTCCTGCTTAAATCCCGTGACCTGATTTCTTTTGCAACACTGGATTGAAGAGTTTGCGGACCGCACACAATTACACCAACATCCACACAACCCCAGGAATCCGAAACCAATCCAAAAATTTCTGCATACAAAGTTTCAAAGTGTCACCACCAGTATCAACATAAGATCATAAATCACTAAATCAGTAAGCAATGACTAGCAAAATCTGAACTAGCATTATCCTGTATGATGATTAGGAATTAGACGACATTAGGTTCAATCTAAAATTTCTATGACAAGCAGGAAGGCCATTGCGGTGGCCCGATATACATTGGTATCTGAAATAAGAAAACCCAAGTCATTTACTTTATTAGACATGAAGACATGAAAAGTGCCACCAACAACTCGTGAACTCGATCTTTTTTTAAGTATTGTTTGTTTTGTTCTCCCCCCATCTATATATTCGTAAATATGTACCCCCACCAAATGGCAAGATGAACTCAAAAGTGCCCATTAAGCTCTCTACCAATATCTAGGAAATGATTTTATAGCTCTAGTAGCATTTATGGACTTATCATCATCAAAACAATAAGATGAAACTAAGATTGTCAAGAGGAGAATTTTTACCTTTGAAGTCTGGTCTGTGACCATAGAACACATTAGTATTTTCACGAAGCTTGTTTCGTGCTGTTTCTTGATCCACCATATAGCCAATCCTTTCACTCTCTTCCCCGTCTTCCTCCCCAGCTGGAGTCACATTTTCAGAGCGATGCCAGAAGTAGATAACACCACCCCCAAAGATTATGACACTAACAACCATGCACCCCAGAAACAAAATCCCTCTATACCACCATTTAGAGATGCTATATGGGTTTAAGTAGCACACGTCTAACAAACCCAAGGTTATCAGGAAGCCAAGAATGGAAACGATAACATAAGCTCCAGACCATATTTTACTTCCTGTACCAACCAAAACTGACATGCTTCCTCCTCTTGATCTTGTATTCAAGGATGCAGCCTTCTCAATTTTACCCTCTTCCTGCAGTGAGCAATGGCCAAAGCCTCAAACTACAGACTCACAGAAGAAAAAATGCAAGTAGTAGAAAAGAAACAGCAGCTTAACCTACCAATGAAGGTTCTGATTCTCGAGTGACATACACTTGGATGTCGACATTAACTTTATCCGAGGAAGACGGACAAATAGAATCCATGTCGATGGTCGAAAGAAGAGAAATCTCGTTCGATCTTTTTACTGCCCAGATGATCAAAATGTCTCTTGGAAGACAAGGTTTATCATCTCTAATGCGATGAAGAACATCACTCAAAATTGCCAAGAATGGGGATATCCCACTGCCTCCTGCTACCAGAATAAGCTTTTTATACCTGGGGGAACAATAAGGCAGACTTAGTCCTCCCCTAAAACATCTGACGAGAGGATTCTTACTTGTAAGTGACTTACACCAAGCCTATCAAACAAATTACAAGCTAAGATTTGAAGACAAATTGTTCCATGATAGCAATGTAAAGGAGATTGAGTTGAATGCTCTATATTGAATGCCATGGAATGTGTTTGAATTGCACTGACTAGACTAATTGTAACAAATAACTAGTGTCGCTATTGTACATGTCAAAGTAATCGAAAGGGACTCACATCAAGTGGTATGGAGATTCATGCCCGTAAGGTCCCTCCACGGAAGCCACAATGCTAGCATTGGGTTCATACAACTGCGTTTGAGAAACCAGTAGGTCAGATACACTTTCTCTGAGCTTTCCCGTCCATTCACCAACGGACTTTATCAGAACTGAAAGATGATGGCTGCCATCAAGAGGACTCGATGAAACACTAAAGGGATGCCATTGGAGCCGAGATATTTCTTGCACTTGCAGGAAGATGAAACCAAGAGCATTGTAGTGCAGATCTGCAATATCACATGGAGAATTACTTACAGTAAAGAGAAGTGCTCTACCCAGTTAAAGAATCGCAGGAGAAGTATCATACTCTTGGGTTTGGATATGACCAAGCTCACTGATCCACATGGAAAGGATGTTGCAGAAATTACATCAACATTCCTTCGAGACTGGCAGAATCTTAGAAACCGGTCAAGCAGGAACAGGAAAATTCCTCCTGCTGCTTTGCTGACATACGTGTCACCAACGTGCAGAGCGAAGAAGATTACGAACAGTATGTAGAGTTGATGAGTGTAGAAGAAGAGCTCAAAAAATCTCTTTCTTACTGGAGGAAGCGTGGTCACCCACATTGTAAATCCAAAACAATAGCAGATTATGCCTGCGAAGTTTGCACCGCCATCGCTTTTCCACTCTATTATCTGTAGACATACGTATAGATACGATTACGTCATGCGGCAAGAGCTTTCTCCAGGTTCCACCCACTTTGGGTAAGTGATATAGTCACATTACAATGGCATATCAACTTGTGAGTCATTTGCTTAATGCCATTCAGATTGAAATGTTCCGTAAATGGCAAGCATAACCACATCTCTGCTGCCGCAGCAGCACATGTACGAGCGAAATAATCTATTCATCCAAGTGCAAGCTAAGATAGAGTAGGAACTTACACTTACTAATACGATGCCTCGAATAAACCAAACGATAAAGTAGCAGAGTCCATGCATAGTGAGCAGGAACATGGTGAGATTCCCCAACCATACATGATATCTGGTAGCATGCTCGAAAGGGATGCCAATCAGGCGAAGAAGAATTGATCCCCTGGCAACTGGGAGAAATAAAAATGCCAAGCACGTCAAGGCAGTCAAACCGAAGATGTATGCTGACATTTGCAACATCTGAACCCTGAAGGAAGACAGTAACTGAAGTTACTACAGTAGTCAGCTGTTGATGGTAGACATGAACAGAGCACAAACGTTATCTTATAGGCTCACAATATTGCAATGCCTCAAATTCGGATAGCAAAGGAAGCAAAAGCACACACGCGTACCTCTTTTCCAAAGAGGTCAGATCGCCATAACTAGGCAAAATTTCGAAGTTCACCACGGTGTACCAATAAACGGCCCAGAGCACAAACGCGACGAACGTGGCTATGCCAATGAACTCGGCGGCCGTCACAACCCCGAACACGCCGTCCACCAACACCGGGAATGTCCCAAGACGGAGGCCAGGACTCTTCTTTCTACATTTCGAACAGTTGATATTAGACTCCGACAGACCACTGGAGCAATCTATCCACAGCAAAAGAAGAAGCACATACTCAGCGGGAACGTCGTCTTGTCCTCCAGAAAGGAGAAGGTAAGGCACGGCAAGAACAGCTATCAACAGTATAGGCGCACTGTACAGCAGCAAAACGCTCCCTGAACCACAGGGACACAGTCACCGGCGAGCACTAGAAAGTGGATACTCGCCACAGAAACGGAAGTGGGGGAAGCGAACCTTGGGTCCCGAAGAGAGTGCCGCTGGTGGCGTCCTCCCAGTCGGAGTAGAAGTCGGTGCCGAACTCGGTGGGGATGACGAAGAACATGGCGACCCAGGCGAGGAAGAGGGCCCACATGGCGAGCTTGAGGGCCCCCCTGGCGAGGGACTTGGCGAGCGTGGCGGGTCTGTTGGGGTGGCCGCTGGGGAGAAGAAGGGGCTCGGACCCACCATCGTGGACGGCCATGGCGGAAGGGAAGGGAAGGGAGGGAGACGGCAGGAGGGAAGGGGTGGAGGAGGAGCAGGGGAGGCATGGCGGGCGGAGATTAAAAGCCCGGGGGCGGCTGCTGCTTCCGAAGCTCGAGTCTTTTCCCCCCTGCCCCCTACCCGAAGTTCAAAACAGGCCACAACTAACTAAACGACTCTCCGCTCATCTAATCTTCCTCTCATTGCCGACGCACGCTAGACGGTTGAGGAGGAGGTCCTTCTCTGCAAGTGCAAGTGCAAGTGCAGTCCTCCCCGGCAACAGAAAAACAGAGGAATTGAAAAGTGGTTGGTTTCGGGAGTCACACGGGCCGTCACCGTCTCGATCTCTGACGGTCCATTGCGATGCGAGGGGCTAAAAGGCCCGGTTATAGCTTTTAGGCCCGCGTGTTGATATTCAACCAGGCGAATGGTCTCTGCCCGAGATGATCTGCTTCTACCACCATTATTAACTCGTGTCTCGCCGTTGGTATTTTATTTAATAATGGTCTCTCTCCGTCCCGCTCAGCGAAGCAAACCAGACATTCTGGTGAATAGTCAAAGTAATTTCTCCACGACAGAACCCCAACTCACGTGTCTCTTTATGGTCGTCCCGGCCGGACATTTAGCTGGCAACAATAACAACACGCGTTCAATCCCTGAGAAGGCCAAAATCGACCCATCTTCATCCAAAATCGTGGATATTCTTGTTTGGAAAAATGACGCGAATAATCCATGAATTTTAATTTAATATGTAATATTATTTTAGAATTTTTAATTTGTTCAATATAGTCCCTGAACTTTAACTCAATGTGTAATATGATCCTTGAACTTTTAATTTGTTCGATGTTATCCCTGAACTTTTGGTACATGTTCAATTTGATCCCTGAACTTAGTACATTGAACATTTTCATATAGTTCAGGGATTAAATTGAATAAATTAAAAGTTTAAGAACCACATTGAACATTAAGTTAAAGTTTAGCGATTATATTGAACAAATTAAAAGTTCAGGGATCAAATTACACATTAGGCCAAAATTCAAGTATTATTTCTGTCATTATCCTTTGTTGTTTTCGCGATGGCTCGTCATTTGGCCCTACACCATTCGAATGACAGAATTTGGGACGTGGGATGGTCGAGGAGCCCAAGCAATGGCGACCACCGTGTCGTGGTTGCCCTCACGGCCCCACGGTCGCAGACTCTTGAATTTGGATCTAAGAGCGGCGCGGCTCCCACTTGTTGCGGTCGCCCTACTCAAGCAGCCATTGGAAGGTGGTCTTGGGTCCACGATTATGTAGCACGGACATGTTCAAGAGGTCGACTTGTCAATGTCTGACACGCGACATGTGTCCACGCGACACATGTCCGACACGCGGTTAACAGGTGTTGAAAATTCGACACACGGTCAACACGCCAGACACGTTGCCGACACGCGAGTCCGGAATGACAACCGATTTCGACACACACGGGGTCAATTTTAGGGATGAGCAAAATGGATCGCCCAAACCGGGATCGAACCAACCTATTTGGTTCGGTTCTCGGGGATATCGATCCGGTTCCCGGTTCCTAAAAGTGGAACCGGTTTCCAGGCGGTCTGGTTCCCGGTTCTAGGGTGGGAACCGGACCAAACCGATAAATATATATTTTTCTTTTGTATATATTTATTTACTTACTTTTTAAAATTTTTGAAAAAAAAAAAGAAAGATTAATCTAATTTCCCCAATTCTCTCTTGCCTTCTATCAATAAGTGATTGGTCCCATTTGAACCGGACCGGATCGGAGTGTGGACTAGGTCCAGTCTGGTCCACGGTCCTAAGACTAGCCGGTCCGATCCTCGATCCTAGAAACTGAGAACCGGTCCTCCCGGTCCGGTTCCCGATTCTTTAGTTGGACCGAATCGGATCGGGAACCGCTCACCCCTAGTCAATTTTATAAATTTTCAAAAAATTAGAGGTTAAAATGTAAATTTATAAAAAATTAAAAAAAGAAAAAAAGAAAAGGGTGAAAGAAAACCCTAGTCTTCCGTTCTTATCTTCACAGTGCCTTCACTTGCACTATGTTCTCTCTCCCCCTCTCGATTCGCGATTTCTCTTCTTCGCTTGAACCAACAACGTCCGCCGAGAGGAGAAGGCCTTGAAGAGAAACACCGATTGCATCTACTTCTTTCACCATTTCTCATCTTCTTCCTTCGCATCCTCCAAGCTCCAAACCACCGAATCCCCACCCTCAAACCCTGAACCCACCACCACCCTCCTCCATTTCACGGACCAAGAACCCCTCTTGCAGACAGCTCCTCCTCTCCCTCCCGGCGCGCCATCGTTTTTTTTATTACTTAATTTTCCAAGACAAGAAGTAAATTATAGGCTTTTTGTTATTATTTATTTATTTGTGGATTTAAATCAAATTTAAAAATATTAATTTATTATATATAAAAATATATATTTAATATACAACGTATTCTGACGTGTCGAAATTTTTTTTTTTAAACGACGTGTCGCGTTGCGTCTCGTGTCGTATCGCATGTCGATTTCAATACTACATAAGTCCATGAGACGCAATGATTACTGTGCCTTGCATAAACTCTTTATATTGATTTTCTTTGTTTGTAAATTGATGACATGGCCGGACTTACATTATAGATGCAATGTAAAACGTGATATGTGTTTTCAAACGGGTCAACTCAACACTCAATCAATCAAATTTAATTGAAAGACTTACGCCAGATTTTTTTTTTTTTAAAAAAAAGAAGGGTAGAGGGATGATTTTCATTTTCAGGCAAAGTTACATGGATGATCACCCAAATGGTTCGCAACACGAAAGGTGATCTTGACGGTCAACTCACTATTTAAAAGTGTCGAACCAAATCGAAGTCTATTAAATAGTTGTCGAAGGCGATAATGAAGGTTTAAACATTCTTTTAACTTGTTTTGCCCCTCCTTCATAATGGAAATCGTATGTATACGTAGAAACGAATGGATGATGAACCCGTGACAAAGCACGACATGACGCGGACTCTATGCAATTTTCTCCCCTCGCAGCGGGCTTTTCCGTCATTTGTCGCTCCGGCGGTACCCTGCCCTAACCTCCATGTGGAGTTATAATACCCTCCTTCCTACCAGCTACCACCATACGTACTTGACAGCACAGCTCTGTAAGCGTAAGGTGCAAGTCGAAGCAGCTTTCTTCACTTCCTATGACGCTCTTCGACCAGGATCCAGTTGCCATGGGATCGAAACCCACCTCGGTCTGCCACGTCGTGGCCTTGCCTTACCCCGGCCGAGGCCACATCAACCCCATGATGAACCTCTGCAAGCTCTTGGCCTCCAAGAAGCCCGACATCCTCATCACCTTCGTCGTCACGGAGGAGTGGCTCGGCTTCATCGGCCCCGAGCCGAAGCCGGCTAACGTTCGCTTCGCCGCCGTCCCCAACGTCATACCGTCGGAGCTCCATCGAGCCAAGAACTTCCCTGCCTTCCTCGAAGCCGTGTTCACGAGGCTGGAAGCTCCGGTGGAGCAGCTGCTGGACAGGCTGGAGCTCCCGGTGGAGGCTATCGTGGCGGACACGTACATGCTGTGGGCGGTGCGGGTCGGCAAGCGGAGGAACATCCCGGTGGCTACGCTTTGGACTATGTCGATCTCGGTGTTTGCGGTGTTCCATCATTTCGAGATGCTGAAGCAGAAGGGCCATTTTCCGGTTGACTTGTCAGGTGCGCATTGATATCGGAGAAACGTATGTTGGATGCCAATGATCTTAGTGCCTTAGCTAATGTGATTAATTCATGCGTCCACGTGTTACCAAAAAAAGGTCCAAAACATATTAATTCAGTCCTACGATTTGTCAGTGCAATTATTCCTGTCAATTTGACCTGAAATTGGTACTATAGACGTGAGTCATTCTGCTGGCATGATAGACGTTGATGTATATAATTTATAAAAAAGAATTTCTAACTTTTTTTGAAAATGATTTTTTTCTTTTCTAATTTTTTTTCATTGCGGCTGCCGAGGGCTTGCAGACTCTCACCGGATTTTGGGAGAGGCCTTTGCGACCTCGCCGACCGCAAGCGATAACGTACAAAAAATTCAGAAAAATTTTAAAAAAATTAAAAAAATTATCGACATCGGGGTTGGCTGACGTCATCGTCAACAATGTCATGTCAAAATTGATCAAAATGACTATATTAGTAAGTCGTCAAAAAATTTAAGATTCAATTAATCAAATTAAAAATTTCATGACTTAATTGACATTCGTACAATAATTAAAACTTTTTTGGGTAATTTTTTCCGTTATCATGATTAATATGTGGTGCTTTCGAGCACCCGCGTCAGCCTTGACACAACCCAGGTTAATTAGAGAAGAATTGCCTTTCAATGCGCGTATATGGTGTGATTATACAGAGATTAGTTCTGTGCAAAAGGGTAATCTTCTAAATTGACGGTGGGCTATCGCTCATGCAATTGGTTGTTTCGACTGATCTGTTGTCCATGGCCCAGGAAAACGAAATCTCCTCACCATTCTTCTTGGATTGATTTCTATGGCCATGTAGAGGCCCGGGAAGATCGCTTTCCCTCCATAATTGCGAGCTTAAATGTTCCACCAACTTGTGCTCCGGAGGACTCGGCCACCAAACTACGTGCTGTATCCTCCTCTGGTGCTCGAGTCCACAGCTTTAGCCCGATGATTGTGGTCTAGATTCGTCGATGGAGGAAGAACATTTAATCGAGAGGCAAAAATGACGGGGATAAGTGATTGAAGAGAGAATGTTTGCCGTCTTTTGCTTCTCAATCATCCGATTGTAACGGCCGGAACAATCTGGATCGAAACAACTTTGGGTTGTTAGACGTTGCGATCGAGTCTTCCATTTCGCTCTCTTTCACCAAATTGATACAAGTTGCTGATAGCGACAAAAGGATACGTTATGTTATGGGTGCCAATATCAATCGAAGTTAAAAGATTTGATACCACGGAAGAGTTTGAGGACTAGTGCAGAAACAAGATGATCCAATTTAGTTTTCTGAGGAAACCCACAAAATCGTTTAACGAGTATAGCTCATAGTAACCTCGTACCGAAAGTGAAGTGCGTTGAAACAGAAGCTATACGCAGGATAGAGGTCACTTTTTCTTAATTCTTGAATGGGAAACCAGTAATTGGATTCGCCCGTTTTCTCTCTTTGTTTGTGTGTTGGCAGAGCGAGGAGAAGAGGAAGTGGACTACATTCCAGGAGTCGCCAAGACCCGCCTCGCAGATCTTCCTACCATCTTCCACGGAAATGGGCGCCAGGTGTTGGGCGGAGCACTGGAATGCATCGCCTGGGCCTCCAAGGCCGACTACTTCCTCTCCACCTCCTTCTACGAGCTCGAATTCCCTGTCCTGGACGCCCTCCAATCTCAATCTCAATCTCAACTATCTGCGCCCGTCTATTGCGTCGGCCCCACCATCCCCTTCTTCGACGGGGACGGAGACGGAGACGCGGCTTATCTCCGATGGCTCGACTCTCAGCCCAGAGGGTCGGTCCTGTACATCTCTCTCGGGAGCTTCCTCTCGGTCTCCAAGGTTCAGATGGAGGAGATGGTGGCCGGGGTGCGGGACAGCGGAGTGCGGTTCCTGTGGGTGGCGCGCGGGGAAACGTCACTGATCGGGAAAGCATGCGAGGAGGACATGGGCCTGGTGGTGCCCTGGTGCGAGCAGCTGAAGGTGTTGTGCCACCCTTCGGTAGGCGGGTTCTGGACCCACAGTGGGTGGAATTCCACGCTGGAAGCCATCTACGCTGGGGTCCCCATGCTGACGTGCCCCATATTCTGGGACCAAGTCCCCAACAGCAAGCAGATCACGGAGGACTGGAAGATCGGGTTGAGGGTTAAGAAGGAAGAAGAAGAAGGCGGCGGCGGCGGCGGCGGGGGCAATGAGAATTTGGTCACCCGGCAAGAAATTGCACGGCTCGTGAGAAAGCTGATGGATGTGGAAAGTGACGAGGGGAGAGAAATGAGGAAGAGAGCTAGAGAGCTGAGAGAGGCATGTAGACGGGCGGTTGCCAAAGACGGATCGTCGGATCGGAATTTGGATGCCTTCATCAGTGATATTTCAAGGGCCGAATGAATCCGATTGCGGGATTCGATATGGTGGGGTTGAGTTTGCTTTGTATTTCCGAACAACCATTTCATTTTGTTCAATCAAACACTGCTCCCTCTCCTTTCTCTTCGGCACTTGAAAGAACCAAAAAATGAAGATAAGTGGCAGACTCACCGAGTCGCAAACAATGAGAGGGACTCTTTTGGCCTCTAGTGCAACATAGGTGCCCCGTGGTGACTGCTTTCGATTTTAAAAATGTCAATAATTTGCTGTATCAAGTTGGTAATGCTTCTTTCGGTCAAAAAAATAAAGTTTGGCAATGCTTGACCATAAAAAAAAGTTGGTAATGGGACACCATATCCCTTATGCTCTGGTCATTATAGATCGCTTTAGTGAGAAAACCCTTCTTCTTCCACAGCTCCTTCAACACACCAAAGCTCTTTCTTCCTTTCTTTCCTTTTCTTGGACATGGATGCGGATGAGCTTCAACGTCAGCCATGCCACATAGTGGCGATGCCTTTTCCTGGGAGAGGCCACGTCAATCCCATGATGAACCTCTGTAAGATCCTAGTTTCCTCCAGAAGCAGGCAACACCCTCCCCTTATCATCACCTTCGTTGTCACGGAAGAGTGGCTAGGCTTCATCGGCTCCCACCCTAAGCCCAATAACATCCGCTTCGCCACCATCCCCAACGTTGTGCCCTCCGAGCGGCTCAAAGCAGCCGATTTCCCTGGCTTCTACGAAGCCGTCATGACGAAGATGGAAGCTCCATTTGAGCAGCTCCTGGACCGGCTTCATCCTCCCGTGACCGCGTTCTTGGCTGACGTCGAGCTGCTCTGGGGAGTCGGTGTGGGTAATCGCAGGAATATACCGGTAGCCTCGCTCTGGACCATGTCTGCTTCCGTGTTTTCCATGTTCCATCATTTTGACTCGATCCTGCAAAACAGTCATTTTCCGGTGAATTTGTCTGGTGAGTCGATGCTCACCAAATAGCGCTGATATCTCTTAAACAATGGAATCGGGGTGGTCAACAGGGGACACAGAGCAGAGAGCAATAAGATATTTTCTCACTGTGCATGCAATGTTTTTGTCCGTTCAGACTTCAGTGTCACTGGAAAGTGTAAAAGGCTTATGCATATGCAGGAAAAAAGGGTTATTGTTGGATTATATTCGTTTGTCCTGATGATGTGTTGAATTGATAATCCTACATATCTTGAAGAAGTTCACTAAAATTGGTTTGTTTTAATTTTTCGAATTGTCTAAATGAGTCAAGTCAACCACCTAAAATTGGTTTCTTTTTGGTATCTCTGATATTTCTCTTTGTTGCAACATACTACCGAAACACAAAGCCTTTAGCGAAACAAGCAAGCTTTCCCTTTTGAGTTCTCTCGATTTTTAACCAGCTTAAATAAAGGCTTTGAGCTTTAGAATCTTGCATATTGCGTGCCATATACAATTGATTCAGTGAGTATTCATTTTTCAACTGTAACTTAAATGATTCTACCTACTGATGTGCTAGAGCATGGAGCGCAGCGCGTGGAATACATTCCAGGGATTTCTCCCACGAGTGTGGTGGATCTCCCCACTAGGGCCGATCCACGAGTCCTAGAGCGAGCTGTGGAATGTGTTTCGCAGGTGTCAAAAGCACAATATCTGTTATTTACTTCTCTGTATGAGCTTGAACCTCGAGTCATGGATGCTTTAGAAGCAGAGTTCTCTTTCCCCATCTTGCCTGTTGGTCCAACAATACCGTTTTTAGACATTAGCAGCAACCATTTAACAAGATCTGATAATGTTCCTGACCATCTAAGTTGGCTGGACTCCCAACCCGAAAGATCAGTCTTGTACATCTCATTGGGAAGTTTCCTGTCAGTTTCAATGGACCAAATGGATGAAATAGTGGCTGCGATGAACGAGAGCGGTATTGGCTACTTATTAGTGGCCCGTGGAGAGACTTCGAGGTTAAACCCAAAATGTGGGGAGAGAGGATTTGTCGTGCCTTGGTGTGATCAGTTGAGGGTGTTGTGCCATCCTTCTGTGGGAGGGTTCTGGACGCATTGTGGGTGGAATTCAACACTCGAGGCTGTATTTGCTGGCGTCCCAATGCTCACTTTTCCAATATTTCTAGATCAACCTTCCAATAGCAAGCAAATAGTTGAAGATTGGAAGACAGGGTGGAGGGTGAAGAACCAAGCGGATGCTGATGAACTTTTGACAAGGGGAAAGATTCGAGAGCTTGTGCAGCGATTTATGGATCTTGAAAGCAGCAAGGGAAAAGAAATCAGGAAAAGAGCAACAGAACTTGAAGAAATTTGTCAGAGAGCAATTACAGAAGGAGGATCATCTAACAGGAACCTTGATGCTTTCATCCGACATATATCACAGGGCAATAGCCGGTAATCATAAAAGGTATCTCGTATGTTCTCAGGTGAATGGAAACTATTCTAATTGTTAGAGCGAGGAGCAGCTCTATCCTGGCAAGTAGTTTTCCCATGCATATGAAGATAACTGGAATGAGTGTCCATCCCTAACTCATTGGAATTGACAGATTACAGCTTTTTATGTACATTGTACGTTTATCCATTACCTTTTCAATCGAGCTAGACATTGCATTCTAAACTACTTACTGTCATAAGGTGGTGGATTTTGCTTTCACCAAACTAAATGATTTTCTATGATAAAACACCTGCCCAGGTTCCTTCACTGGGTTCAGCACCATCCTAATAAGCAACACGAAGCTCTAGCGTTCTTGAATATGCCGGGAAGTCCAGATGAGTACGACTTATTTGCTTTTTGTCCAAGATTTCGATGCTTGCCTCCAGAAGTAAAGACTCTGAAGTGTAAGTTGGAGTTTACAAGTACAAAACATGCGAGAGCGCACGCATAGCAATTGCAAGTTTTTACTCTGAATAGCAGCTAAAACCACGATGTAGGCTGCTGGGAGTGTGGACTAGTTTGGGGCACAATTTCATGAAAAAGCAAAAACTAAATCCGGTCCTTGTTTACCCCTGGAAGCAGGGTTAGCTAGTTCATTTCGTTTGTCTCTTATGAAGAAAGATATTACATCCTGACAACTCTAAAGCTTCGCTGATAAGAGTTGCATCGGTTGAAGAGGAAGACAATTGGCGCGGGAACTCGCGGGAAGAAGTTCCCAGGAAAATGCACGTGTTCAGTCTAGAAGACGATGATAATACAACTTGAACTAGTAAACGGGACGGAGTTTGTGGCCAAGTTTTAGTCGGGATTGAAAGTCGATTTCTCTTTAGTCAAAAGACTAGAAAGGTATGTGAGCGGTGTAGCAATAATGAGTACCCTGTATGCCCCAGTCCGTGTGGATACCGACTCCTGTGACAAGTGTCGTGCTGATGCGACAACACAGGCCGAAATCTAACTCAATGAGGATGCCATCAACAAATCAAACTCGACTCTCTTTCCTTTTGGCATCTTATCTTTATCAAAAAAGTCCGAACCATTTTTAGGTCTCGAGGGAGGACGGGAGGAGTTACTTGGCAGTCAGTAACGAGGAGAAAACGACCAGGATCCTTTTGGCTGCAATAAAGATGTGATTGAAAGATCCTTATTCTTGGCAATTCCAGGTTAAAGATGAGGATAAGGATCTTTCTCAAACTTTGTGACTATTCTAAGATTCGGTGTCATTCCTGGTCACGAGGTGATGTTTTATGCTCTGTTTTGGGGAAAGAACTAGAAATGTTATCGTCCTCCCAAGTCGGCGACGTTACTGCTTCGTTTCTTCCATGACCCACCTCGCGATCTCTATGGCCACAACAGACGCCTCTATGCTCTCTCCCTCCGCCGCCTGATTATCGCTCCGAAATGGAGACATCCGCCCACGACGGCCTCCGCTTCTGGCAATTCATGATCGCCGGTTCCATCGCCGGCTCCGTCGAGCATATGGCCATGTTCCCTGTCGACACCGTCAAGACGCAAATGCAAGCCATGGGCTCTCGCCCCGCCAAATCCGTTCCCGTCGGAGTAGCACGCTCGCTCCGATCCATTTTGAAGTCGGACGGTCCGATGGGCCTCTACAGGGGCATAGCCGCCATGGGCCTCGGCGCCGGCCCCGCTCATGCCGTCTACTTCTCCGTCTACGAAGTCTGCAAGAAGTTCTTCTCCGGCGGTGACCCGCGCAGCTCGGCCGCCCACGCCGTTTCCGGAGTGTGCGCGACGGTGGCGAGCGACGCGGTCCTCACGCCGATGGACATGGTGAAGCAGAGGCTGCAGTTGAGGGACAGTCCTTATAAAGGGGTGTGGGATTGCGTGAGGAGGGTTCTGAAGGAGGAAGGCGTCAGGGCTTTCTATGCCTCGTATAGGACCACGGTGGTCATGAATGCTCCGTTCACCGCCGTGTATTTCGCGACGTATGAGGCGGCGAAAAGGGCTTTGACGGAGGTCTCTCCAGAGAATGCGAATGATGAGCGGTGGGTGGTTCATGCCACTGCTGGCGCGGCTGCCGGGGCGGCAGCGGCGGCCGTCACCACTCCGCTCGATGTGGTCAAGACTCAATTGCAATGTCAGGTACAGCATGATACACGAAAAGAATTTTATTCATATATTTACCAGATAGTTGAATGCGGTTCTTAACCTTCCGATACGAATGGGGTCGAGATTGTCAAATTTCAGAAGGATATATTCTCGTTTGTTTGCCCGAGAGATAGTAGAACAGTCGTAACACAGAAGACACCTGCGAAAATATTTATCTCGAAAGTTCTATTTCAAAGCACATACTACTTTGTTAATGATTCGAAACTATTTGCTTAAATTACTAAGACACTCTTACTGTCATTCTCAGACTGTCGGATAGATTACGGGGCTCCTGCTGCTACAGTGTTTAGCACTCAGATTGTTCTTCTTTACTGTCCTTTGTGTCTGGCTCCAACCATGATCGTGTGGTGTTAATATGAATACTGCATGCAACAGACACATGATATAATTATCCTCCCATGTCCAGCATCTCAGCCTTGAGCTTGGTAGGAGCTAAGTATTGCTAAACCATGTATCTTGTTGTCAACCCTCTCGAGAAAGAAGTTGGGTGTTGCTTGATTCTACCTTTGCTGAGCAATCAGCAGGAGCACCTATTTTTGCACTACATAAAGTTCACGGTATTTTAGCATCACAAATTATGCACTTAGGCCAGTCTTTCTAAACGCACGTTCCCTTTGTTTTCAGTCGTTTGGTCATTGTAGCCGAAGGCCTAGATTTTAATCTGCACCAACAGTGAGCGCGGATATGTGCTGATCTTTCCCTGCTTCTGTGTTCAGTGGGTAACATGCTGTTTGCTATTGCTGTGCTTTTATTGGTAAACATGCCCGGTTGATGAGTTGTTTTAAGTGCGTCTGAGTTGCGGTTTGTGGCCAAATTCTAATCTTTGTAACGGCTTTCATGTGGGGTAGGGCGTCTGCGGTTGTGACCGGTTCAAGTCCACTTCAATCGGAGATGTTATTGAGTCGATAGTGAAGAAGGACGGATACAGAGGGCTCGTGAGAGGATGGATTCCGCGAATGCTTTTCCATGCTCCTGCTGCCGCAATATGCTGGTCTACATACGAAGCCTCAAAAGGCTTCTTCCAAGAGCTTAACAACCGCAGAGATAACGATGCAGTCACTTGAAAACTAGAAGCGAATGGTTAACATTGTTTTTCCAGTAGCATCGTACTACCGCTGCCTTTTCCCATTGAACAGAGAGAAGGATAAGTACAGTGCCTGTGTGGATTGAGGTCGAGAAAAAGAGAGCAGATTCGGCCCCTAGTTTAGCAAGAGGTGACTGTGCTATTGTTGTTCTCGTAATATCAGCATGAGCATTTGATACTTGCGATTAATGTTGTTGAGTAACTCCATTGCACATACCTTGTTTCTGTTGAGATTTTGGAAAGTAGACCTTACGTTTGATTCGTACCGGAAATGTTACTCTTCCCTGCTCTCTTTTCAGCGAGACGTTTTGGTAACTCACGTGAGCAGGTCTTAGAGGACAACGACCCAACACACTGATACGGTGACTTGCACTCCGTGCAAGACTTAAAACACAATGGAGAAGTCTGATTGTTTGATCATTAGTGGGGTAAAATAGAGGTCGGGCACAACCCCTAGGATCTAAGCTTGAAATAATGCGAGCGAGTCTCCAACGGAGAGATTCTAGTGCCTACATGCTTTCAGGGTCAGTCCCAAATTCGTATTCAATGAAAATTTTTTGTAACGGTAAACTTTCAGCCAAAAGCACCAGTGGTCTAGTGGTAGAATAGTACCCTGCCACGGTACAGACCCGGGTTCGATTCCCGGCTGGTGCATTTTCTTTTTATGTCCTCGTCCGTCGTCGCTTCCGTTGCATTTTACGGGGCGAGGAGACCCTTCGGTCATTCGTCTGCGTTGCGAACTCCCCCCCGGTGCACGACGGCAAAGAGCAACCCCGCAGATCTCCAACAACTCAAAACGCCATGAACGCCGTGCCCTTTTCATCTCCCGATCATAATATGGATGGTACTGTTTTCGATCGTCGCTCTCTTTTCCTAATTTTGAGTTCCTTCATTCATCGTCTCTCGATTTGCAGACAACGGCCCCGGAAGCGACACGGACTCGAATCCCGACGAGCCCGCGGAGTATTACCAGCCGATCTCCGCCGTCGATGACGCCAGTTCCGAATCGGACTCCTCCGCCGATCTCCCACAGCGTCTCCCCAACGGCTACTGCGTGGACAACGGGGTGTCGTCGCTCAGCGTGAACGACAGCTTCGAGCTGAAAAGCAGCGAAGAAGATGAGGCCGACGACGACGAGGAGGAGGTAGCGGAGGAAGAGGAAGAAGAGAGAGCGAGGGAGGCTTATGATGCAGCGATGCGCAGAGCGTTCAGGGACGATGAGACCCGGAGGAATGCGCCGCTGACGCCTCACGCCGCCACGAGAGTGATGGAAGCCATGCGCGGGGTGTCGTTTGGTGGACTGGCTCCCGATTGGGCCCAGAGCGTGCCCGAGGATCAGTGGATCGAGCGTCTCCAGAGGCTCCGGCAGCCACCGCACGCCTCCGATTGACGGAAGTAAGGGGAATTCCGTATGTGCTATGGAGGTTAGGATATATTCTTGTCTCGAGTGATTAGTGATTTGATGCGCGGCTGAATGCCCAAAAGTTGTTTGAGGAATTGCCCGAGAGACCATGAGATTGGATGGACAGCGCAAGGTTTTTCTCCATTCAGCATTCATTTCCATAGTACTGTCGAACATACTGTTCTTGAATGAACCGGAGTGCACATTCGAGTTTTAGCCTAATTCATGGCTCGATTGAGAGAGATCGTTCCACCTCTCACTTAAATGGCTTCTTTTCTTGTTTTTTCTGGAACATTTGCTGCTCCATAGAGCATGCAAGTGCCTCCTCTAGTATTGTAAGTACTGAGATTTGTTAGCATTACATATTCCAATTTACAAATTTCTATGTGTATTACGCCCAGACAATCCTCCATATATTGAATGCACACGGGATAGTTCTTCCCGCTCAGTAGAAAAATTTGTCCTGAAGAATCATTACTTACATTAAACAAGATCACCCTATGAGAGCTGCTCTTGTCGTAAATATCCACCACCAAAGAATATGATTCATCTCTGTGTGTGAAACCGGCTTCGGCATTGAATACTGCAATTGTGTTGCCATATAACTCACTGAAGAGCGTGTGACTGTTGGTGGTGAGGAATACGAATTCAGTACGATTCGAGTCAGATTCTTGCTACCACCATCAAGCTCATCACCTGAATCAGTGTCGATTGTAGGCTGAATAAGCTCCTGGGAAAGAAAGTTTGGTTATGCATGGGAGAAAAAACAGAAACCAATAACATTGCTTCTAAAATGGTCGAGAAGAAGGCTCCAAGTGAAATGAAGATGAAGATGAAGATGAAGAAGACACTGAAATAGTACTCCTGTAGGTGGAGGATCCGTAACCTCCAGGCGCTTCACATTTTATTGATGCAGACTTGTTTTTGTAGTTTTTGCCTAGCATTGAGGATTTAGCAGACAAAGCTGTTGCCTATTTATTAAACACTTGCACCAAGTTCCACTATGCATATACGCTCATGATGGAAACACCATACGCCATGTCAATTCCGAAAAACTGCTCTGGGAAAGCCAATAACAGAGTGAAGAACAGAGCTCTCGGTGTCATACCCTGTTGCTACACTGCTTGTCTATGTGTAGTCTACCACATGAAGCTCACTAAGCATGTCCCTTCTTCCCTTTATCGCTCTTGCTTTCCCATCCACAATCTCCAGAACCTGAAGAACAGGAGTTAAGAAGCAAATCCCATCAGTGTCGCTTCTCCTTTGCCTCGACTGAAACTGAATCTCTCGAGGAGGAACGTGCACCATTAGGCAAAATTCAAGTGCAAATTTAATCTGCCGCGAAGGACCTTTTAAACACTGTAGAAAGACCACTTTACCTCAGGTCTTGAATTAAGAACTCCGCTTGACATCCCAACATCAATCCTCCATATGCTACGGTTGTATTTACTGCGATTCATACCCGACAGGATATCAAAGAGTACAAAATTACTTAATATTCAACAAAGCAAAACTGAAAATGTTTGAGACAGGTGTTTCGCACTTCACGGGCAAGCTGTATAGTCTCTTACCAATTTACTCCAGCAGTTTGAGGAGTATGCCCCACTACCATTGCCTTGGCATCCACAGCTTGCAAAGTCTCTTCAAGAATAGATTGTATCTGGGGAATCACATTGTTGCCTTTTGTTAGCATAAAAGTTTACAAGTATTCACAAACCATACAGAAATTCATGATAGAGGAACGATCAAGAGGCCGCTTGAGTTTACATGAAAAGCAGAAACCAAAACAATCGTCAGAAAAGAACTTCCTGCTTTGAAACCATACTCATTGTGTTTCCGTGTATGGTTGAAAGATAAACAAGAATAGAACAATTTCCCAAACCAGATGATTAGTAAGATGAAGAATTTGAAGCTGTTATAAGCTCTTGCCTGACTGATTTGATAATCGTCAAGATCTGATACATCTCTCGAGTACAAGCGGCTCCAGACAACACTATCATATCCCCGCGTGGCAATGAAAGGGAGTTGAGGACCAAGATCACTTTCAGAGAGACCTCTCATCCAGTTAGATACTTGAAAGTTCATCCTTTCAATACCATAGGCAACTAGCAAAACACCAACACTTCCGTCAGGCATCCCAGGCTAAATTGCAGCAACAATCTGGACATGATATGGAGAAATTCCACTAGACTTTATTCAAGAGTAGAAAGTCTTTACCATGGTGAGGAAGGAGGCCACCATGACAAAAGACCCAATCGTTGACCCTGAGAACAACAGCATGCCGTGCCAACTCACATGCCAATGGACCGCCAGGTCGCAGTAAGACTGATCTGGCAATAACCCCCTTCTGCCTCTGTCCTAAATTTCCATATAACCGTGCATAAATCCAAATATCACAATAACAAAGGCCAAAAGTACAATACCAAGAACTTCTAGAAAGATATTGGCCGTTGATAACTTCAGCAAAACTTGTGATGCCTTAGGCAATAGAGCAAGCTCTAGAGATGGTATTTAAAGCTTAATACATATCTTCTTTAAAGTTAATATGTCTTGATCGGAGGTCTTTAGTATAGATGTCATTAAGCAGTTTTACTTTCCAAAGTTGCAAAGCATTGTTTCAGTCAAAAAAATATCACTACCTTCACTAAATTCCATGAGTCCCAATAATTTTGAGATGTCTTCTGGTCTTGCCTCCACTTTTCAGACTCAGCAACCCAACAAGGAAAAGCTTCTTCCCATTCATATCCATAGCTAACCAAATAGTCCAGGAAGCCTGCACACTCTTCGAATGCGCCAGTTTCAACATATCTGAAGTCTCCTTCTACATTCATGGTCTCGTGATTCCCATTGATCTAAGATAATTAGCAAACATCAAAATACAGGACTGTCGAGAAGAATATATGATGTCTGGCATATTTTTATTAGTGATCTGCAAATATCTGGACAGTTTTCAGGATTTTAAGGATGCATGTAATGTGATGATATCACTATGGGCAGATGCACACTAAAACATGGCGAAGTGTGTTGTTTCTGAGAAGTGCCTGAAAGTGCTTCCATTTTCAGCAACACAAACCTGAAAAACGGCTCCACCTTCTTCTTGTGCCTGTTTATCCATGGAACGCAACAAGGATAAGATGGCTATTTCGTCATCTCCTCGATCAAGTATGTCTCCCAGCTGAACCAAAACCTAAAGCATGGGCCAAATGTTGATTTATCAGATAATTAAAAGCTCGTATCGAAAGCCTTCTCATGAATCAGCTATTAAACTGAATCACGATGAATCGCTAGATCAAATCTCTTTAGTTCATATTCACAGAATCTATTAGAATAAGGCATACCGTTTCTTTACCAGTCCATATGTCTTGACCATCGGAACTCAAGACACCAGCCATCTGAAATGCACGTCTCGCCTTTTCAAGATCGCCATGTAGATCCCCAACTACATAAACAGACAGAGATATAACTTAAACTTAAAGCGCAGGGTCTTCTTTTAGGTTACACGGTTGAAATATAAATCCCGTCACAATTCATATATCAGCTTTCCTCAGAACAGGTCCATTATAACTGGTGTGTCCCTTAAAATAGGTGGAAGGATCAATCAAGTGAGGCAAAATCAACTTTAAACCTATCTGTATTACCCCAGCTAATCACCTTATAAGCAAAACTCCTGTCTCCCAAGTTTGAAAACAGCTCGGAAGAACAAATTGAGTGGACAGATGGTGCACTTCACCCATTAATGCACGCCAAAAGCTAAACAAAGTTGAATAGTAGTGTGCGGAGTGAGTACACGTATAATACTCGTTCGAATTGATGCAAAAAGGAAAAGTCAACAATGACTATACTAAAGCCTAAAGGAAGCCGTACTCACAATTCAGCTGCCAATCATGACAACAACAGGAAGCTAATGGGATTCAGAAATAACAAAAGCAACGAGCCTTTGAAGCTGAATTGAGTCCAACCGTATAACGAGGCCTAGTAGATGTCGCCCGGATAAAGAATACTGAGTAAAAGGGTTGGAGGGTGAAAAGAACGAACCGGCAACGATACGACGACCAGGAGCAGATACGAAAGTGGGGGGATTCCCCTTTACCACAATGGGCTTCAAGCTTCCAATGCTGCTGATGCTGTTGCTGTTGCTACTTTTTGGTGTAGCTGAACAAGAAGGAGAAGGGGGAGGAGAAGAAGACGAAGCAGAGGAAGCTTCTGTTAGCCTGCGAGAGTGTGGCGAGGGCAGCAAATTAAGACAGAGGGAAGCCATTGTTGTTGCTTATCCTTGTTCCTTTGGCCTCGGATAATGAACTATGAAGGCGCCTATCATCATATCAGAGACACGGGAGGAGAGAGAAACTGAAGGCACCCTTCTTTTTCCCTTTTTAGTTTTTTAGTTTCGTTTCTGGTTTTTATGGCCACCAGTGATTCGGGACGAGAGTTTCTGGCCGTGTAATTTTGCGTCTATATGTATTCGCGTCTTCATTTGGATCTTTCGTTTGTTTTTCTTGTTCTCTATTGCGGCTACACTGTACTTTGCGTATGTATTCGGATCTTCCTAGTGATTTTTTGAGTATCTACTTCGTCTCTCTCTCTCTTTTCTCTTTCCGTTTTCTCCTTTCCTTTCGGTTTATATTTTCGTAGGAATTTTTATTCCTTTTCTATATTCTTTTTCGGAATGATTAAAAAACTTCGTAAAGTTTGCACCCAATATCAAATACCGTTCTCACTTTTAAAACCTATGTTTGAAATACTGAGTTTTATAAACTTTCATCCTCGCAACCTCATTTATACACAAAAATTGTCATTTTCTAACTCTACTACCCAGCATGGCCGGCCGCCTCCTCCCCGCTTATCCCCTCGTTGTCCTTGACCATAGCCAACCTCAGACTCAAGGCCGTCGATGGTTGCCGTCTCGGACTGGTCCAAATCGAGGTTGGGCGACTTGACCTAGACCAAATCGAGCCTGGTCTCCCCGTGAGCAAGGAGATCGCAGGGCGAGCCCATCACAGTCGCGCTCGCTTGTGGCTAGTGCAAGTGCGGCCTCCCATGGTCACGAGTTGCAAGCTTCAGTTGACTCGAGCCACATTGTCAACTAAAAATTGATCACACAATTTCACAATTATTGACAACCTTGAGGGGAAAATCGTCTTTCCACGTATAGAATTATATTTTGCCCGCACATTTGCTGCGTAATTAAAAATTACCCCTTGATGTTTCGATAATTTTGTTGTATGCCTCTCGATCTTTCGAGATTCGTGGCAATCTTCCCTATTTAATAATTATAAAATCGAAAGAAATGAATCATAACTAAAAGAGATGAAAGAGAACTAAGAGAAGAAGCGTTGCTAAGGGGGACATTGAATTTTAAGCTTCGGATAACAATGTGATCGGGGTCGACGATAAGGGGGACGTGATTGGAAAACTTGACGGGGATTTATGCCAAAATTGAGATGATGAGGGGCAGGTTGCCACGACTCTAAAAATTTTGGGGCAGTAATTATTCCCAAGAAACATAACCACTAATAGCCCAACAAGAAGTTAACATTTGGGCAAGTGGCCCCATTTTTACTGCTATTAAGCAAAACTCGTCCACTTCATTTGCACATGTCCCTGTTTTACCTACTTTTCTTGATTGGCCATACCATTAGCAGCAAAACCCGCACCGTTTCACCCACTTTATATCGTAGTAGTGCTGTACAAGAGTGTGTTTTGCACACCGTTTTGCCAATTCGTGTAAATACAAACGAACTCAGCTGCAACTGGTCATTCATGCGGTGGATGAGCGAGTGGGTGAACATCTTAAACATGTCGAATTCACTGATGAAGGAAAGAAGGTGAAATTTCCGTAGCTTGCTGACAATAAACAGTATATATGTACTCTCCCGCAGGAGGTGGTGAATATTAGATAAACGAAATTTTAATATCGAAGCGCCTTCAAGTCAAAGCGAAGCTCACGGTTCATTGAACTGTCAAAAACATATGTAGATTCAAGTAAAATTCATCTACATTTGGAGCGCTACAACAGAAAGGGGAAGGGGGCGCATAGGGACAGATTCTTTTGGGGCATATGGGCCTCTCGGACGTCATTAAGAGGCCCTATGTCATTGCATGAGATTTCCATAACATCATGCTTTAGGTTGATTGGGTTGAATTTGACTAAGCCGAAGAGCTTCGAGCTCTTATAGCATCTTAAATTCTTTTGGAAAAGAATCGGGTGGATGGACTTAAGCCGATCGAGGAGTTTCATTACAAATTCTTCACTGTCCATCTCCAAGGAAGTAACCTTGCGAAACTGAAAGCAAGAGTGCTGAAACCATCGTCTAAGGATATACATGTGCTTATAAGAGCAAGAAAGGGTGCGAGAAAAATGCTAAAAGATTAGCTCTACTCTGAGATACATTAAAGCACCATTCACAAAAGGCATAAAGGAATCGCTAGAGGTTGTAGCGTCCTAGCATAACACGGAAATAAGTGAGCCTAATTTAAAGAAAACACTCTCAAAAGTCTTTCTTAGGCATGTATGACCACTGTGTCCGTGATTCTACAGTGACCACCATTTTCATCCCTTTTCCATTACCTCGGATGCCGGAGTATCACGCCTCGCGGAGGTTGTTCTTTCTTTAGCTTTTGAACCCCACCGACGACATCTGGGCTTAGCAACTGTTGGCTCGTATAGCAAAGTATCCACTTGAATTGACAGTTTGCTCAACTTGCTTCTGAACCACTTCTTTTTTATTTAGAGGCTGTCACTGATTGATTGTTGTTGACACCAAAAAATGATCAAATCCTTTTAAATGACATGATGACAACACAGAACATTTCGAATATCGATAAGAAGGCAGGAAGAGAAAGCTTATTGATAGAAACAAAATGTTAACGAACAACAACGTCGATATATAGAATGTCTAGCGATTGAGTTATCGGCAAGATGTTAGAGGCTAACAAGTTTGCCGATGATTATGAACATTGATGACCAAATGCTGTTATCAACATACGATGACAAATGATCGATGATTTATACTTTATAAATTTAACCAAATGTTAAAGACAAGACTAAAAGCTGGGAAGACATCAATAGTTCGCTGAAGAAACTACCATATGATTGTGGAAAGTATATCATGGAGCCTGAAATGAGCCCATCGATGGTTATGGAATTATAACCGCTCGTTGATAAGAAGAAACAGTTTCCAAGCATTATCAGGTTGACGAAAATCAAGGGCATTGCGGTTTTGATTTCAATTTTGAATATTAACCGTTTACAAACGGTTATGCTAAGTGCAGGCTATATAAGCCACGTCGAATAACTGTAAAAGGCCCCCGAACATTCTTAAACACAACTACGTACTTTTCAGGTTATCAATTCATCAATTTTCAACATTCAAAACTATCTTTCGCGTAGATCCAACTAGTGCAGCGTAGTGTAGATTACTCGTTACACTTACATATTCCTGTCCGAATTAGGGTGGGAAACGACCTACTTGGGAATTGATCACCCATAATCCGAACAGTAGGTATATGACCGGTTGGGTAATTTTCCCTATTTATCATACTTGTAGATGAAGCCGATCTTATCATGTAGGAGTACCTAATTTGAGATTGAGTTGCATAACCATGTGTGCACATTTTCTTTCGATCTATATTCTTTTTGTTGTGGAGAAATCGGGGGTACGGGAGGGTCTCACGAGTAGATCTCCGTCTCCCCAAATCCTTGGTGAGAGGGGGAATCGTGATGATAGCTTCAGTTGATCAATTTGATGCTAAGCCAACAACCTTGGATAAGATGGAAAAACCAATGGCTGTTCCCGGAAGCGCTGCTTTTACGACATGTCATGAAATGATTGGAGGTGCCCTTGACTTAAACTCCGGAAATGTCACAGCCTTCTCCCTCCGTTGTCGGGAATCCAAATACTCGGCATTAGCACTTGATTGGGGAAGAGCCAGATTTTTATTAGATGCTGTCTTTGGCAGTCTTTGCTTGTGCACAGTGTGAAACCACGAAGATTGATTTGTATAGATGTACATCGAGCGATTAATTTTGCCGATGTGATCTTAAATTTTCGTACAAAATTTTAATGTAATTTTTATTATCAATTTTGGCTTGAAAATGTTGACGTGGACGTCCTGTCCTTGCCGGCCGTCTGATGTGGCGCGATCATCGTATAAGTCGACAACGTTTTGCTTGTTTTTATTTTTTGTTTTTCTGATTTCTTTTTTTTCCTTTACTTTTTCTTCTTTTTTCTTTTTGTGGGTACAACTCAATCCTCATCTTCCTCATCCTTCGTTCCTGTAGTGTTCATCTCCAAGCCATCACTTCAAACTGGGTGAATTCCATAAAAAACTCTAAATTTTAGGTCAAGTCCCAAATCTATCTCGAATTTTATTTTATGTACAAAAAATCAGCAAATTTCGATTTATTTTAAAAAATATATCCCCATGATCCAATCCCAACTTGACGTGGCACTTTCACGTCGATAACAAATTGACATCAGCAAAATAATTGGGCGATAGGCACAGACCGACGTCGTATTTCCACTTTGATAACAAATCAAACCAAATAAAAATTGTTGAAATTCTCCAAAATAAACCATTATAGGGTATGCAAGTTAGGATGATAACAAATCGACCCCAAAAAACTTTTTTTAATTTAAAAAAAAACCTAATTTTTAGGTTCAGTCCAAATTTGCTTCGAACTTTTCTTTGTCTAAAAAAAAGCCCCATTGCTTTGTTGATGTGGATTTGTTATCGACGTGAAAGTGCCACGTCAAGTTAGAACTGGATCACGAGGGTATATTTTTGAAAATAAATTGAATTTTGGTGATTTTTTTAAACAAAATAAAATTCGGGGTAGATTTGGGACTAGACTTAAAGTTTGGGGTTTTTTCCAAGACAAAAAAAAGTTCGAGGCAGATTTAGGACTTGACCTAAAGTTTGGGATTTTTTCTTAGATAAAAAAAAAGGTCAGGGCAAATTTCGGACTTGACCTAAAGTTGGGGGTTTTTTAGGGAATTAGGCCCTTCAATCATGATCCAAACCTTGAGCCATTTATCGACAATCATCTCGGTCACGACGGCATGGAACTTGGAGCCCACACAACTCCGAAATCGCCGGATATTTCTCTTTGAATGTTGTAATTTACTTCGACTTGATTTTTACAGACAGTGAGGTGAGCAATGGGGAGGAGGGATTAGGGTTTGGGCGCATGAAGTGCGTGTGAGGTATAGGGAGGAAGAGGGTCGGGATCTCAAAGGGTGCCGGACGGCGGTGTGGGTGGCCTATTCTGACTTTGGACCTCTATTGATGAGGCATGAGCGCGAGGTTAACTAAACAACTTCGAAAAGTCTGATCTTGAATGTGTCGCCCCAAAACGTTACGTACAACACGTTATTTTT